TATCAGTGTTGCAAGTAGGAGCACCATGATTCTGGCACAATCAAAGGAAATAAATTTGACTCGCTTTCTATTTCAACGGCTCTTATCTTTCCAAAAAGCCCAGGGACAGACGTTAGAAAACTTTTCCCATCGGTTGGTTTGGTGGAACAAAATAAGATTAATTCCTTTTTAAAATATACTGCTCCTTTTAATACCCAGTCAAAGTCGTTCCAAAGTTGAATAATAAATGTAAACTGGATTTCATTACCATCAGTGGTTTCTACGGATTTTAAAGATCCGTTTTTCTGAAGGATAAAAGTTTTCCTTCCTTTTTGAATGCAGATGATATCTTCAGAAGGACCCTTTATATTTATATTTTGAGTCAACTTAGTGTAGATATTGTTACAATATACTTCTGACTGATCACGATATCCATTGCTAAATATTAAGATATTATCTTGATAAGCAACTGGAGTGCCATTTACTCTGCTCCACAAATGAATCCAGTTTGAACAAGTCTCACGTGAATTGTGTGAGTGAACTGGGTCTTTAGTTATAACAACAAATGTACCATTTACTGAAGTTAATTGAAAACTGCTATTTCCACACAATTTACCAATAACTGTTGTATTTTTTGATGGATCAACTGTTGCTATTTTTTTTTCTTCACACTTGTGAGCTTGTTTAGATTTATCAAAATCACACTCAGATAAATTTCTATTTGAATATATAACACAAAGAGTTGATTCAATGGAAGCTAAAGCACATATACTTTTACTTTTAAAACTGTTAATAAACAATTCAAGTTTACAAGTACATTCACTGTTTAGGCCAAATAAATAGATTTCTCCATTGCAAATGTATGCCATTACATTTCGTTTACCACTACAGTTTCTATAAGGGATGACAAAGTTACTAGGAAAAGAAACAGATCTCCATTGGTACAACAAAGCTTCGTGTACAATTGCAAGTGCTTCATCGCATGACTTTATCAAAGGGTGAATCAGTAAATTCTCGAGATAACTTCGACTGGCTAAAAATGTTCTGGCTGTAGATAACAGTTCAACAAGACACTTTTTCCTGTCTATCTCCTTGTTGTCTTCTCCATTAATCAACTTCTCCTGGCTCTTATAGTTCTGTATTTCATCAGTTTTTTCTATAGCTGTTGCTTGTGTATAGTTTGTTTCACTGTCACTGTCTTCTACGTGAGGTGGTTTTTGTTGTACATAAGAAACCCAGTTAATGATCGATTCTAAAACTAAATCTTCAGAGTTTACTTTAAGACGATCATCATCCACAAAGGAAAACAACATTGGAAAAGAAAATTCTAGAAATGTCTCAGTCACACAAAAAGGTTCATAATTTTCTTTCATGAATCCAATTGTAAACTTAATGACATTCTCTGAATGTAAAAGTTTTGCCATTGGATAATATGTAATGTAATTATCTAATGACATATTTTCCACAACAAATCTTTCACATTCTTCTATAAGAAAAGGTATATCCAACATATGAGAAGCTTGCCACACACTAATGATGTTGTCTTTTGTCAGCCCGTCAACACCTTTGTAAACTGAATTGATTATAACATCAAAAGTCTCTTTACTCATGTTCTTTAACTCAACACATTCTTCTTTCTTTTCTCTGAAATCTGAACTTAACAAAGTTTTAAAGAAAGTGGAGCAGGCACTTAGAATAAATTTGTGACAGAAATACTCTGAGCCATCAACAACAACTCTAAAGTCCCTGAAGTTATCTCCCATCCATTCTTTACTCAGACATTCTTGTAGTCCACAAGCAAGGGTTGATTTCACCATCTTGTTTAAAAAATACGTAGTTCTCTAAAACTAAAAAAGAGTATAAATCTTATTATTTAATTATAGTAAGTATGAATCTAATTCATTGTAACTTAAAGTTATTCTCAAAACTATTTGTGGCAGTTTAATAAACCTATGTTTACTTTTTAAACACAAGAATACATGTTATTGGAGATAATTAAACAATTAAAGATTTTCTTTGCTCTAACATCATTGTACTGACGAACTTTTAAAATAGCGTAAACGAATAAAGGATTATAAAATACAAAAATATGAAATCTAATTAATAATAAAACATATAAAATTATTTTAAAATTTGCTAGAAAAGCGAATCATTTACAGGAAATGGCGATGGACTGGGCACACGCTTAGTAAGGACGCTGGAAATAGAGCAGTGGAGTGAAATAAAGGTCGACCCATTATGACATGGCGACATAGCGTGCTGAAGGAGGCTAAAGGATAGGAAGGAGTTGGGAACAGTTAAACTAAAAAGAGTGACAAGAGACAGTGTAAAGCTTTGACAGAGTCCAAGGAACGAAAAAGAAAAAAAAATTGAAAGATTTTGTTAATAGATTATTTATAAGGCTTTAAATAAAAAAATTAAAGATTTTCAATTAAACAAAACATAGTTTATTATATAGAGAAGCCCACCTGTCTGTACTTGGAGTTTGGTTGCTAACAACATCAGCTGTAAATCGTTCTAAAAATAGATTTTTTGGAAACAGAATAACTACGGGAATGTCCGATTAGTAGAATTTTTAGTGTTATGATAACATACCATTTTAATAATAATATTGTCGCCTACTGCAGAACTATTTGTTAAAACAAAATCAATTAATGTTTTAAACATGTTTTTTTAACCTGATAAATGAATGTTTCGGTTGCTTTCCTTCTACAATGTTATTCATCTGAATAACTTATGTGATTTTGTATTTACGTTTCTAGCATTTCTTTTATGGTTTTCCTTTGCGAGTTGTATTATGTGGTTTCTTTCTTTCTCCAAATTTATCAAAATTTTCCAAATTTTGAATCGTTTATAATAAAGTGCAAATGGTAAAACAGCATACGTCACCAAAAGCGAAACACCACAGGCAATTCGGTCTTCCGGTTATGGAGTTTTAACCCCCCCCCCCCCCCCCCACATTTTTCAGTCAACTTTGGATGAATCCTCGTCCTGTCCACCCCACCCCTCCAACAGCGTCCTTGCCCAAAATGAAATAACATAAGTAAGCTCGCATAGTCTTCACAATTTCTTGAAATAAATAATGCTTCAACCTTCAAGAATACATTCCCTTGAGCATTATTCTAACTGATTAGGCGATGTTCGTGGTTTGGTAACAGTAAAAAGTAGTATTGCATTGAATGTGTTGATTAAAATTATAAAGGTAAGAACTATGATACTTCAAGAGATAATAATTTCGACCTCTAAAAATTTAATTGCAATAAATAAAAACTGTAAAATATTTAGCCGTCACCATTTGATTTATTACTTGTACTTTTACCAACCTATGCTAGTATAAAACAGTAAACCTACATTATAAACATACACATTTAAGACACTCTTTTTCGTTATCTAAAAATATTTATTGACCAAATATAAACACAAAATGTATTTACATTCTATTAAAAATCTCAAACAATGCTTCGTAACATTTAAATTTATTTTGATGTTAATTTTTATCAGCCTTTTAAAACAGCTCAAACAAACAGAACTATTTTGAACTAAAGGTTTGTTATAAGTAAATGCTTTCGAATTTAAAAACAAAGAAAAATAACTGATTACTTTTGAAATGCCAGAATAAATATTAATTCTGGTAAAACAGTTTAAGTATTACATATTTATTTATATATACAAAGTCCCATTAAGCGATGTAATATTTTCATAGACTCATAACCAGAAATAACTCAAGCACAAACACTTGCTGATAGCATTTGCATGGCTGACAATTCCAGCTTACAAAAATGTTCTCTTCAGTGTTTTTCATTAAACAGTACGTTATATATACATGACTGTGTTTGTGTGTGGGTCTGTGTGTAAGTCCAAATTTCTAAATTTTTACCATCAACAAACGTATCTCATTAAAGCAAGTATGATTTTAAAAAATTAGTAGAAAAAAGTGTATAATATCATACATTTTAATAACACCGCAAAACAAAGTACTTAAAATATTCTATTGGTGGTTCTCTGCTTTACTCTTTAATTTTAAATATGAATTTCGACACGTTTATTGTCGTCTTTGATTTTTTTTTTATTTCTGCGGCACAAAAGCCAATCTCATTCATTCAAAGTTATGTATTTAAAAAACATAGTATTAACACGAGTCATATAAAACACATTAACAAAAACATTACAAACCTCATGAACTAGAGTTATTTTATTCAAACTACTTTAAACATTTAAAACAACAAAAATATTTAGTTTACATTAATGTATGACTTAGTAATGACTGTAGGCGTAAATCTTTCTTTACATCTTCTGTAATACATCTGGTAATACATGTAGACATAACCACGTTTTCACCTATGCTTTGAAAAACATGTTTCAGAATCAGTGATGTCTAAAACAGGATTATTAGCTACTCTATGTTTATTTTATTACTTTAGCGGTACAAGAAAGACAATAAAAAAAAGTAGACGTCAATGAGACTCAAACAGTTTAGCCAAACTAATTGACAAGTGGGAAAATAAAGATTCTCGACCATGACATACCTAGCATCAAAAAAGTACTGAGATTAAAAAAACATAACATTTACAAGAGTAATTGAAGCAAAATTAAGATATTAGTAAATATATTTATAATGATAATAATGAATACATCTTAACATAATTTAATGCAGCCTTTTCAAATTAAATTATACCACCTAAATAAATAAAATACAAAGATGAAAATAAACGTCACCTATTTAAAAAAAAACTACCATTGAAATACAACGCAATAAAATAAATGAATGTAAGCAATTTATCTACAAGATTTTAAATGAATTATTGTTTAAGGCATCAACAAACGATTCGTTTTATAACAGATTTTAATGACAACTGTAAGGAGACCCACAAATATTGTCATATGGTTATTTAAAAAAAATTATTAACAATATTATGTAGGAAGTAGCACACAGTTTAATTTATTTGTACATAAAGAAATCTGCATTTCATTGTTCTGTCTGTTCCCAATAAGTATCTTAAAAGCATCCGCTTCAGAATATTTCATTTTTCATTTTGGGTGATCCAAGAATCTGGCACAACCAACGGAACTACATTAGACTGAGTTTCTAGCACAACAACTCTTATCCTCTCAAACACTCCTGGTACAGATTTCAACAAACATGTGTCTACATCTGGGTGTTTTTCTGAACAAAATAAAATCAGTTCGTTTTTGTAGTACACGGCACCCTTAATTAAAGACCATTCAAAATTTTCCCAAAGATTAATAATAAAATTAAATTGAATCTTTGTATCTTCTGTAGTGCATACTGATGATAAGAAACCAGTACTTTGTAGAATAAACATATGCCTTCCTTTTTGAATACTTATGATATTATTCGAAGGTCCTTTTATAACAACTTCGTGAACTGACTTTGTGTAAAAGTTGAAACAATTTACATGGGAATAGCATTTAATTCTCTCTGAGAATCCCAAAATAAAATCTTGAAAAACACAAACTGAGCGCGAATGTAATAAAAATCCGTAGTCAATATTGAAAACATTGACATTAAAAGACTGCGATTCTCTTTGAAATGTGCCATTACTTAAATTGAAAAAAATACCATTAAATGAAATCAGTTTAGTATTATAACAATAATCACTTTTGTAGATATTTGTTATTGTTTTGGTTGAATCTATAATCGCAATAGTTCGAGTTCCAGTTATAGAATGAGAAAAGCAAAGTGTTGATTCTGTAGATGCTAAATTTGTGTCACATTTTAACTGTAAATTCATCTCAACCTCACTCTGACTGTTTAATTCAAATAAATGTAATTTCTCATTCTTAACAAACGCCATGACATTTCGTTTTCCGCTACAGTTTCTATAAGGGATGACAAAGTTACTGGGGAAAGAAACAGATCTCCATTGGTACAACAAAGCATTATGCACAATTTCAAGTGCTTCTACACAAGACATTATCAAAGGGTGAATCAAAAGTTTATCAAGATAACTTCTACTTGCTAAAAATGTTCTTGCTGTAGATAACAGTTCTGTTAGACATTTCTTTCTGTCTAACGTTTCGTTGTCTGAGTTTGTTGCAGAATTTGACATTTCGCAATTTCTAAACTGTGGCAAACTTAAAGTATCATTGTTGGTGTTTTGACACACTGGGACAACATTATTTTGATCTATTTGGGTTGTTGGTAAACTGTTTTCTACTGTTTCACTATCTCTGTGATCAATGTTTTCCATTTCCTCTGGTTTCCTTTTTATATAGGAAACCCATTTGATAATAGATTCCAAAACTAAATCTTCTGACTTCACATTGAGACAATCATCAGCTACAATAGTAAACAAAATAGGAAAAGAAAGTTCTAGAAATGTTTCTGTCTCACGAAAATGTTCAAATTTTTTTGCCATGAATCCAATCGTAAAATTAATGACAGTCTCTGAGTGTAGTAGCTTTGCCATGTCATAATATGTAATGTAATTCTCCAATGACATGTTTTCCACAACAAATCTTTCACATTCCTCTATAAGAAATGGTACATCCAACATATGAGTAGCTTGCCATACACTAATGATGTTGTCTAGTGTCAGTCCATCAACACCTTTGTAAATTGCATTGATTATAACCTCAAAAGTTTCTTTACTCATGTCGTTTAACTCAACTCTTTGTTCCAAATTTTCTTTGAAATTGGTTCGGAGCAGACCTTTAAAGAAAGTTGAGCAGGCACTTAGAATAAATTTGTGACAGAAATACTCTGAGTCATCAACCACAACTCTAAAGTCACTGAAGTTATCTCCCATCCATTCTTTACTCAGACATTCTTGTAGTCCACAAGCAAGGGTTGATTTTACCATCTTGTTCAAAAGAACGTTCTGGAGAGCTATATTTCCAAATATAATTTTAAAGAGCATTAGAATTTTTATGGTGAACTAACAACTGCAACTATGTAAACAACACATACTTATTCTAAGTGTACATTATGAAGTTGACGTCAACATTGTTGTTAAACCTACGTCTCCGCTTTTATAGCACAGGAATAAATAGTAACTTAAGTAAAAACAAGTTAATAAAAAGTCTAGTGACAATTTAAGCGCAATTTCCTTAATTAATTTTTTGTGACCGAACGAAAGGATATTTTTGAAAACTTTCTTCGGCAATATTGTTTTAAATTATGGCAGGAATCGATTGATAAATGTTTCAAGTCGCTAAGTGGTCTGGTTGCCGAGATATGGACCAAAAACTGCATTTTTTTCGAGGTTTTTTTGGCTTTTCCGGGAAATCCAGAAAGGAATTCCGGGAATTTTTTTGGCCCACAATCATCCTCGGAACTTGCTTAACATATTTGCTTTGGAACTAGTCCTCGATATTGCTTCGTTGAGGAGGAGATACGACTTAAAGCTGCGGACACATATCCATCCATCACCAGAAATGACGAGTTAATAATCGCAATTGTCAGTATGGAAATTGCGCTAAAAAAGAATCCTCTTTATACCTAGATATCCACGGGGCAGAACGTATAGTTCATGTTATTTGACCTCGGCATGTGAAGGGATAATGTGGTCAGCACTATGCCCGGCCACCTTTACTTTCCCTAACGTGAGTTAAGTACCTATCAGTGCTGGGTGGACTCTGTACTTTCTACAGACTTTGACCCGGTTTCGAACTCAAGACCCGGGTTACCAGTAATTTAAGTAAGTATAAATAATTTTAAATTTAAAAAAATAGAAATGGTTGTCTGATGCATTTATTTAAATGAAAGTCAGTTTTCTTATAAACAGTTTAAAAACAGTGATTGTTCATATTGTCATTTCATAAATCCCTACCATCCATCTGACCCCCCCTCCCTCTCTTCACACACCGTCACAAATCTACGGACCCCTCCTCCCCTCTGTGAGTGTGACGTCAGTTATGGACGACCCCCAATGTGTTTAAAGACAAGTAAAGTAAAATAGAAGGTGAGAGAGAAGAGATGTCATCAGCTGAACATAAGTCTGCAATCTGATTTCATCAGCACTATAAACTTATTTAAGTGGTAAGAAGCAAATGTCGACACATTCCTAATTTTCTTGATTCATAAAGACTTGAAACGTTAAACTATCTTAACCAGAGTTTCTTCCAGGCATCTCTTCGGAGGGGCAGAGCCCCCCCCCCTCCCCCCGAAGAAAGTCTACCGCTCCCCCCCCCCCCCCCGAACGAAATGGAATTTATATAGAAAATATATACATTTAACAGTGTACGCTCCCCCCGCCCCCCCCCCCCCTCGAAGAAAGTATACCCCCTCTCCCGAAAATTTCAAGTGCTCCCCCGGAGAAAAAAGTCTGGAAGAAACACTGATCTTAACGCATAGGTCATGGTAGACACCAAGAAAGCTTGTTAGGATTAAAGTCTACAAATAAACCAACTTTTGACAAACGTTTTCTTCTAATTTATTCATAAAATATATGCGTACGATTTGAATAGTATTGTGGGTTTTTTAATCAATTATAAAACTTGTTTCAGCATTTGCGTCAACTTTTTTATCAAAACAATTCTAAACAGTAAGGAGTCGCCCATAAATGTCGTCACACTCATAGGGGAAGGAGGGGGGGGGGAATCGTAATTGTATGACGAAGTGTGATGACGGGGGGGGGGGGTCCAGATAGAAAACTATTTTAATACGTTTTAATAGAAGTGTAATAGACAATGATTAAAATACTCTGTTGACTGAGCTAAGTCAATATTTTAGAAAAATGTCGATGTTTTTTAAAAAAAAATTCAACTGCAATTTTATTTTATTTTTTGGGGCGGGGGGTTTATGCTGAGGTGTTACGTCATTTTGGTTTTTGTGACGATGTGTGACGAAGGGCAAGGGGAGGTGAAAAGTCGTCAAAACAGCGTGACATCTTTTATGGATGACCCCCCTAAACACTTTAATATTTAATTTTAATATAATATTGCTTCTCATTAACATATTTGATTTAACACAATTTAATCAAAATAAACCAACACCTCACCCCCCTCCCAATATAATGTGCATCACCCTCAGTCTGGTAACCCGAATATCTTTCCTGTTTTAGTTTAAACGAAGAAAAGTATTTTTATATTCAGCTATATTATGCTCATAAATATTTATTAGGATTGTGTTTAAAATCTATTTTTGTTCTGTTATATACACAGAATGGTAATAAGCAGCAGTATAGTAATGAAGAATACATTACTTAAAAATCTAAAATTTAATATTAAAATGTATTACTTACTATAAGATATATATATATATATATATATATATATATGTAACTAGGGGAAGTTACACCAGAGACATAGGAACGCGGTACAGCGCTGTCAACTTTGACACGACTGATGCAATAACACAGGTGGTGGCTGATAACGATCAGAAAGCCAAGGCGTAGTATCTCGGGAAGCGATACGAAAGACGGTCTGTCAACTTTGATGTGACAGGATGCAGATGGCTTATTAAATCGGACTGTACAACAGAAGCGGCGTAATGCAACGATTACGATTACGATTATGATAGGACCGAATATGAGTACGATTATGAAGGGGATATATATGGGAAGGCGACGGCTGGGTTCGGAGGGACAAAGAGAGAGACGGAGACAGGGATCTCTGGAGACACAGACACAGAGAGACAGAGACGGAGACAGAGACGGAGACTCTCTCGCCCGCTCTCGATCAGTTAGTCTGTGTGGCAGTATCAAGTTGGTTATATTGTGTTAAGAAGGACGTTAGACATGTGTATTCAGTTAGATGAAGCCTAGTGAGGACTGTTGGGGGTCCGTTGATTCAGACTATTATTGTGAAACATCTCTCTTGATTCATTATATTATTGTGAAGCATTCTTTGATTCATGTAATAAAAGGATCAATAATGAACCTGCATCTTCGAGTATCTATGCTGTGGTCAATGTTGTGTGGAATGAGTGGTTAGACTCGGGAAGGTCACATTTGGCGTTGTCGGCAGGGTAGCCAGAGACTCGTTACATTTGGCGTTGTCGGCAGGATAGACTCGGGGACTCGTTACATTTGGCGCTGCGACCAGGATGAATTCAACGAGACTTGCCGCGTTAGGCACCCATAGTCAACCTAGTTCATAACTGTGTTTAGTGTGTGTGTGAATTCGGACATTCAGGAACAGTGAAAATTGAGGAACGAGGAAAATTTTTTTTCATACACACACGGTAAGAAAGGTCTTTTTTTATTTGAAGGAAATAAATAAAAGGGAAGACTGAAATCAGAATTGAGTAAATTGAAAAGAATAGAGATGAGACACCTTTCATTATCATTCTGGCTTGGTGTCACATGCTCTTTTGCTGCTGCAAGCATGTGGCTCAGTATACCCCTAGTTGTAGCACCAACCACCCTGGGGACAGCTATGGGGCTGACCACCAGCATCCAGATAATTGGTATTGGTATCTCCAACTTGGTTGTGGGACAAATACTAGATCTAGGCAAAGATGACAACCAAGATATAGATGGAACTCTTAGACACTGGAAATGTGTCATGATCTCCCTTTTGGGCAACACTATCTGCTGCATAGCTGCAGCATTTTTCCTTGGTGTGAGGGGCAGACGCGGGAGTGGTATTTTAGATATCGGAAAGGGACAGAAACTCCTGCTGGCCCAACAATCTGAGCCAGATAAAGATAGCCCAGAGATAGGCAACGGTGAGGATGACCCTTTGCCTCCAGAGGGACCAGGACAAAATTTGGACAAAAAGCCGATCCATATTGTGGTCCTGCCCAGTGAGTCCCACATCAACAAATTTTACGGGGACGGTGATCCAACTTTAACCAACAGGTTCAGTGAAGAGGTCAGGGCTGCCTGGGCCTCGAGACACATGTCACCAGAGGAAAGATTAAGACTGCTGATGGGCAGTATAGGAGAGACGGTTAGGGCAGAGGTCAAATGCCACGATAAAACCGTCCAATCAGATCCAGATAAGGTGCTGGATCTAATTATGGAGACCTTTGGAGAGAGACGGTCGGGATCGCAACTGCTAGCGGTGTTTGTAGGTATAAAGCAGAGACTGGCGGAGAGTGTGATGGAGTATTCACACCGAATGAACGGGGCCTTTGAAGCTGTAAAAGGCAAAATACCCGACATGGATGCGCGCCTGCTGAGGGACCATTTCATCGAGGGGCTGGCGACCCCTATGGCAAGAAGATATTTGAAAGAAGAGGTCTACAAAGACCCGCAGTTGACCTTCCTTCAGGTCAGGAACTCAGCGATCCGCAGGTCCGAGAATGATGACCGATCGAACTGTTCGGTAGACAAAGTCTCTGTGCCGGAACAGAAACAATCCCCACCCAAGGGGACCGGCACGATGGAAACCATGATGGCTCAGCTGTTGGCCCACCTGGATAAGGTTGACCAACGATTGGAGAGGCTAGAGAGCAGGTCAACAGCTGCGAATCAGGGCAAAAACGGGACAAAACAGGGACGGGTTGGACAGCCGCGACCCGCCGGTCCATCGCTCCGGTGGACGGCTTATGGTCGACCAATTTGCCTGTCCCGCTCACAACCCGGACATATGGCACAATACTGTCCGGTGAAACGATCGCCCTCTGTAAGGCAAGGCAAGGCTACAGAGAGGCGAGGTTATGGCTTAAGAAACAAAATGGGACAAACAATGAAAGAGTCTCAAACAAGACTTGAAGAGAAATTATCAGATATGGAAAAAGAACTTCAAATCACAGCAAGGCTGGGATCCATCGAACAGCGATGGGCAGCAGAATTGGCACTCTTTGACCTGGAGAGAAAATATCGCCCAGGGCAGTCCAATGGTAATGCTGACGCGTTATCAAGGAATCCTTACGAGAGACCGGGCGATGAGGAAGAAACGCTGACAGGAATATGTGAGGTCAGAGCGTCAACAGATATCCCTCACGGGGTGCAAGTGAACAATTTGTTGGTAGAGAAAAATGATGATAAGAAGAAAATTGGTAGACTTAATAAAGGAATTCAAAGTCTAACCAGGAAACTGGATAGGAAAAGTTCATGCAAATTAAAAGCACAGGAGAAATGTTCATCTTTAAAGTGTCTGTTATCGGAAGAAGTAAATAAAAATATTCGACAACAGAACAGTGTTGGCAAACTAGAAGAAATGATAGACAAAGAAAGGCTAGTGATGCAAAACGGACGGACCGGGGTGGAGCACATATCCACAGAGCCCCGTCATATGGACATTAGTGATTTTAGTTGCCTTAATCACAAAGAGATAAGAGATGCCCAGAGAACGGATAGTGGCTTACAGCCGCTGTTGAAACACGTCCAGGAACAAAAATTCCCAGGAAGAAGGGAAAGAGAACAATTTGGTCGAGAAACAAAGAAAATACTGAGTCAGTGGGACCGTCTCAGTATACAGGATGGTGTTCTCATGCGGAGAATTCATGACCAAATTGATGGGACAATACACCAGGTGGTGGTGCCTGGACAATTACGAGAAGAAGTGCTAAGGTTGGCACATGACAGGGCAGGACACCAGGGTCAGGACAGGACGCACAAAATATTACGACGAAGGTGTTACTGGCCCAATATGGAAATGGAGGTCAAACGCCATTGTGAGGCTTGTGTGAGGTGTCAGCATGCGAAAATGCCAGTTGTCAAAATGAGACAGCCATCGGGACACCTATTAGCGACAAAACCACTAGAGATTGTGGCTATGGACTTTACGTCGTTGGAGCAATCATCGGATGGGACGGAACATGTGTTGGTAATGACTGATGTTTTCACCAAATGGACTGTGGCGGTGCCCACACGAGATCAGACTGCCAAAACAGTGGCAAAGGTCTTAATAGAACATTGGTTCATCAAATATGGCATACCAAGACAATTACACTCTGACCAAGGAAGGGCCTTCGAGTCAGAAGTAATTAACCAACTGTGCAGCCACTACGGGATCAACAAATCTAGAACAACCACATTTAATCCGAAAGGAAACGGACAGTGCGAGCGGTTCAACCGCAGCATGCATGATTTGCTGCGTACCCTAGAACCTGAACAGAAAAAACGTTGGCCTGATTTTCTCCCAGAGTTGGTATATCTATACAACTGCACCCCCCATGCCACAACCGGCTTTTCGCCATACATGTTGCTGTTCGGACGGGAGGCTCGACTGCCCCTTGACTTGTTCCTAGGAAAAAAGGAGAGTATGACTGGCTCATACACTGCACTAGAATATGTGAATGAACATATGAGACGAATTAGAGAAATGTACAGGGTAGTACAGGAAAGACTAGAACATGAAGCACGGCGAAGGGAACCGCCGGTACAGACAAAGGACCCGCCACTCAAACTGAACGACAGGGTATTACTGCGTAGCCACCCGTTAGGCAGAAACAAAATCCACGACCTCTGGGGACAGGAGATATGGCAAGTCGTGGAGATGCCTAAAGTAGCAGGTGGCCCCTTTAAGATAAGACCCATCGATCACACCAAACCGGATCGGTGGGCGAATATTGCTCAATTAAAGAAATATTGTCATAGTCAAGAAGAGCAGTTACACACAAGGAAACCCAAGACAATTAGGGAACCGGAAACTATAACGGAAATTCACATACCCATCCCGGAACCATGTCACCATCAACAGCGCAACAGCGACACACAAAGGGAGGATACCGGCAACAAGGAGGATCCCGGTCCCTCCAAAAGCAGAGAGACAGTAGACCATCAGATAAGTGGTCCGCGGAGAAGTTTGAGAAACAGAAAGAATACGAAATTTTTTGTCAGCAACCATCAATTCTTTCATGGTCGCGCTGGTATGAGAACAGACTGTTCAAAAAGTCATAAAAGTGAACTGGTGAAGGCACCAAACGAAAAAAGGTGGATGTGAATTCTAGAACTGTTTTGTGTCTGAGGAAGATGATGTAGACACATTTGATATGTGAAATAGGGATAACGGTCAATCTTATACGAATGTGACGACATTGACAGTGAGTGGAACAATGGATTTTTTTACGGTGGTGCGATGGACTTTGAAGGACTGCACCTGCCGGGCGTTGTTTGTGGTTGATAACACACAAAAAAAGGCAGGGGTGGATGTAACTAGGGGAAGTTACACCAGAGACATAAGAACGCGGTACAGCGCTGTCAACTTTGACACGACTGATGCAATAACACAGGTGGTGGCTGATAACGATCAGAAAGCCAAGGCGTAGTATCTCGGGAAGCGATACGAAAGACGGTCTGTCAACTTTGATGTGACAGGATGCAGATGGCTTATTAAATCGGACTGTACAACAGAAGCGGCGTAATGCAACGATTACGATTACGATTATGATAGGACCGAATATGAGTACGATTATGAAGGGGATATATATGGGAAGGCGACGGCTGGGTTCGGAGGGACAAAGAGAGAGACGGAGACAGGGATCTCTGGAGACACAGACACAGAGAGACAGAGACGGAGACAGAGACGGAGACTCTCTCGCCCGCTCTCGATCAGTTAGTCTGTGTGGCAGTATCAAGTTGGTTATATTGTGTTAAGAAGGACGTTAGACATGTGTATTCAGTTAGATGAAGCCTAGTGAGGACTGTTGGGGGTCCGTTGATTCAGACTATTATTGTGAAACATCTCTCTTGATTCATTATATTATTGTGAAGCATTCTTTGATTCATGTAATAAAAGGATCAATAATGAACCTGCATCTTCGAGTATCTATGCTGTGGTCAATGTTGTGTGGAATGAGTGGTTAGACTCGGGAAGGTCACATTTGGCGTTGTCGGCAGGGTAGCCAGAGACTCGTTACATTTGGCGTTGTCGGCAGGATAGACTCGGGGACTCGTTACATATAGATATATATATATATATATATATATATATATATATATATATAATTCTATACATAAATATTTCTAATAAGTTACAAACTTACTATTATTTGTGTTTTAGGACGGCCATTGGAACAGAAGTCAACTTGACATTAGTTATAAATTTGTTTCTAGTAATGGAATCTAGCTATCCATGTATTGACAAAATTCGCATTTATGAAATTAAAATGCAATTCAGTCTAAAAAAAAGGATTAAAAGACAAAAACAAAATTCATTGTATTAATAAAAGCATTTTTTAAAAAAAAACGTTAACATACCAGTTTAACCTTGTTTATACTTCCTGATAGATCTAGATAATAGCGGTAATTTCCTGTTAGATCTTCTATTTAAAAAAACAATTTGTTAATATAAGATGAATATATAAACACACTGAATATGCGTGTATATTTTATAAAGTTAGATCCAATACCGTAGCGATAAATAATTTAATTGCCTTTATAATTAAATATTTATTAGCTTCATTGAAAAAATAACAATAGCATACAGCCCGATATATTTTAATGTATAATATAGCTCTAGTCAGCGCACAATCATAAACCAATTAAGAAGGTCATTTAAAAATGAATACAGAGCACATTTTTTTTAAAAGTGATTACTGTCTAATGAATGTTTAACCTTGTAATTTCCAGTAGAGAGCCCTTAAAATCAATAATTAAATAATAATTTGTAAACCAATCATGGAGTTGAAATTAAAATCAAAATGCTTTTCATATTTTAAACTATACTGTGACTATATTGTCTTTTTCACGTTTGTGAACATTGTTTCTAACCCTAATCCAAACCACACTACAATCCTAAAAATCTTAGGATGATTGAGAATACCGACGTCCGATCAAAGACGCTTTTGATAATGGGTGTGTTAGTTCGTTAACAGTATTGCTATCGTGTCTAGTTTTAGAATTAGAAATTAGTATTAGAGGTAAGGGTAGGACTAGGTTTAGGGTTATGATTTAGAGAAAGGGCTAGCATTGTCGTTATTTAATTACCAGTAATCTAACACCCCTTCTTTAGAAGATTCTAAGGAGGTTGGTTACCGCTCATGGATGCTGAACCGAAAAGTCCCGAGTTTGAACCCCAGATAAGGGCAGAAGAGGCTCTATTGGTGGGGACAGTCACTGATCTTTGAGAGACAACTCAAAAATCAAACAACTGCTGCCTTGTAGTTTGTACTTGGTCGGACAAAGGCTATGGAAGCAAAACTAAAATTCTTAAAGTAAAATCTTTTCCAACATTAAAATTAAAAACGAAGAAGAAGATTATATTATTGGACTCTTATAATATAAAACATCAATCAAATCTTAAAATCGCGTGGTAAAGAACGGTTAACCCACTATTTTCATTCATATTAAAGAAACTGAAAGGAAGAAATTCTAGTATCCATTACAGATGTTACAGCGCCTCCTACAGAAGGATCAATGACTGCTTATATCATAACTTGAGCGTCAATCATCTGTCATCTACCTTGTATTTAGGGGCGTGTCTACAAAGTGACGGCGTTGAAATCAACAAATCGATAAATACATGCGTTACCAAGGTTATACATCACGGGTTATGTTGCAAACAACACTGAGCGTTATAGCTCTTGTTTAGTCTGGGATGTACAAAGACTATTGAATGTAGACCGCGTTATTGTGAGCAATTACTATACAATGACAAGCTATTACGTCGGCCACTATCACTGAAACAGGTGAACTCTACTTCATCTGCAACACGGACTTTCAGGTTCGAAAGCTCATTTATATTAAAGTATAAGTAAACTTACGCTTTAGGACTTTAGGGCAGATGAAGTAGAGTTCACCTATATCAGTCCGATGCCGGGTCACTTTATACTTTCCCAAACAACTGGATGGCGTCGAGGACAACTTACGTACTTGAGTCAAGGACACGAACTCAAGATTTTCGGGTTAGCAATGTTGACCTCTACCTCAACTGAATCAGTAGCTGCAAAACCCTTAAGAAAGCAGACTAAATAAGCTCGCTTCTGTTGTGTGCCAAATAACGTTCGCTGCCAAAAAAAAATTTATTTTTTTCTTATCTTAACACTGTTCACCCTCTTGAATTACATCATGTGCCGAAAATAACAAATGAAAAACACATCAAAGTTAAACTTGGCATCGAATATATTTCGGTTTAACTTCACTTTGAAACAAGAATGTGCTTAGATTACCCAACTACACAAACACACAACATCAATTAAGATAAAAACCAGAACCTCTTTTATATAGACAGTTTAATTAGTGTGAACCAAAAATCATCTAATTTTATATACATTTAATTTTTAGAAGAGCAGAGGCTTGAATGTCCAGGTAATAATTTCCCCGGGTTAGTTTACAGTGTCAAGGTAAACAACGAATGGGAGGTAACTCTATAAGAATTGCTATTTTTTTTCTTTAACTCTCATTATCTCCCGTGAGCACAGCAGGACTTCCCTTTAACATTTCCTTCATCATAAGCATTTGCGCTTAGATTTTTTTTTGTAAGGGTTGTTGCGAGATGTTAATGCTATTTATATCTTAATTAGTCTTAAAGTAACATAACACCTAGTTTTAAAAAACTGAGTCATAAGGTTTGTTACGATAGTAATAATTAAACTAATTACAACCTACACCCGTGATCCTTGATATCAAGAGCCTACAGTAAATAAGAGGTGAAGAAAAAATGGATATTATGTAAGTTAAAATTTAACGTTAATTAATCTTTATAATGAGAATAAAATGAACGTTGTAGTTTGCACTCTGGCGAAGAGCTATAGTCGTAGCATCTATAGATTTGTTTATTTAGGTTGATTATTACTGTATAGACTACGGATTAACTATTGTTTGTATGTTTAAGTGTTTCGCAGTTTCTTATATAGGCCTACTTCATATAGGTGAGGGCATAAACCTTCCTAGCTTTGAACTATCTTTGAACTATCTTTGAAGCCTACCTGTGAGAACCTACCTGTGAGAGCCCTACCTGTGAGAACCTACCTGTGAGAACCTATCTGTGAGAGCCCTACCTGTGAGAACCTATCTGTGAGAACCTACCTGTGAGAACCTACCTGTGAGAACCTACCTGTGAGAACCTACCTGTGAGAACCTACCTGTGAGAACCCTACCTGTGAGAACCTACCTGTGAGAACCTACATGTAAGAACCTACCTGTGAGAACCTACCTGTGAGAACCTACCTGTAAGAACCTACCTGTGAGAACCTACCTGTGAGAACCTACCTGTGAGAACCCTACCTGTGAGAACCTACCTGTGAGAACCCTACCTGTGAGAACCTACCTGTGAGAACCCTACCTGTGAGAACCTACCTGTGAGAGCCCTACCTGTGAGAACCTACCTGTGAGAATCTATCTGTGAGAGCCCTACCTGTAAGAACCTATCTGTGAGAACCTACCTGTGAGAACCTACCTGTGAGAACCCTACCTGTGAGAACCTACCTGTAAGAACCTACATGTAAGAACCTACATGTAAGAACCTACCTGTGAGAACCTACCTGTGAGAACCTACCTGTAAGAACCTACCTGTGAGAACCTACCTGTGAGAACCTACCTGTGAGAACCCTACCTGTGAGAACCTACCTGTGAGAACCCTACCTGTGAGAACCTACCTGTGAGAACCCTATCCGTGAGAACCTACCTGTGAGAACCTACCTGTGAGAACCTATCTGTGAGAACCTACCTGTGAGAACCTACCTGTGAGAACCTACCTGTGAGAACCCTACCTGTGAGAACCTACCTGTGAGAACCCTATCTGTGAGAACCTACCTGTGAGAACCCTACCTGTGAGAACCTATCTGTGAGAACCTACCTGTGAGAACCTACCTGTGAGAACCTACATGTGAGAACCTACCTGTGAGAACCTACCTGTGAGAACCCTACCTGTAAGAACCTACCTGTGAGAACCTACCTGTGAGAACCTTACCTATGAGAACCTACCTGTGAGAACCTATCTGTGAGAACCTACCTCTGAGAACCTACCTGTGAGAACCTACCTGTGAGAACCCTACCTGTAAGAACCTACCTGTGAGAACCTACCTGTGAGAACCTACCTGTGAGAACCTTACCTATGAGAACCTACCTGTGAGAACCTACCTGTGAGAAGCCTACCTGTGAGTAGCCTACCTGTGAGAACCTACCTGTGAGAACCTACATGTGAGAACCCTACCTGTGAGAACCTACCTGTGAGAACCTACCTGTGATAAACTATCTGTGAGAAGCCTAAAAGAAGCCTACCTGTGAGAAGCCTAACTATAAGTAGCCTACATGTGAGTAACCAAACCTTGAGAAGCATAACTTTGAGACGCCTATCTGTGAGAAGCCTAAAAGAAGCCTACCTGTGAGAAGCCTAACTTTAAGAAGCCTACCTGTGAGAAGCCTATCTGTGAGAACCTACCTGTGAGAACCTACCTGTGAGAACCTACCTATGAGAACCTACCTGTGATAACCTATCTGTGAGAAGCCTAAAAGAAGCCTACCTGTAAGAAGCCTACCTGTAAGAAGCCTAACTATAAGAAGCCTACCTGTAAGAAGCCTAGCTTTAAGAAGCCTACCTGTAAGAAGCCTAGCTTTAAGAAGCCTACCTGTAAGAAGCCTAGCTTTAAGAAGCCTAACTATAAGAAGCCTACCTGTAACAACTTACCTGTGAGTAGCCTACCTGTAAGAAGCCTAACTATAAGAAGCCTACCTGTAAGAAACCTAACTATAAGAAGCCTACCTGTGACAACTTACCTGTGAGTAGCCTACCTGTGAGAAGGCTAACTATGATAAGCTACCTGTGTGAAACTTATCGGTGATTTACCTGGTAGAAGGCTAAGGGTAGCCTAACTGTAATTTGTCTATCTGTAAATAGTCTACATATTGGTAGCTAGCCTCAGGGTGCTTACCAGAAGGTAGCCTACTTATGAGTAGCCTAGCTCTGGACAGCCAAGATATGTGGCCAACATATGTGTGGCCTAACTCTGGACAGCCGATATATAGGTGGCCAACATGTGAGTGGCCTAACTCTGGACAGCCGAGATATAGGTGGCCAACATGCGAGTGGCCTTACTCTGGACAGCCGAGATATAGATGGCCAACATGCGAGTGGTTAACTCTGGACAGCAGTTATAGAAGTGGCCACCAGCTATACAATATTTACCATACCCACTATCCCTCGAACTTAGCAGGAAAAAGGTATTTTTTTTCATTGTTTATCATACCCAAAACCATCACACGGAAATAATCTTTTTAAAAAATCTGGGGGTTTTTTCCAGTCATAAGACCATCACTGGGAGAAAAAAAAATTAAATGGTGCTTTCCATCCTCAAGGCCATCACATGGAAAAAAAGGCGTGAAATTCAAGTTTTGATGTAGAAGAAACCCACAATGAAAATTTTAATACTCAGGCCTCTTGGATACTACAAGTTTTCACCCAGTAGTCAATTAAATGATAAACAACTTAACTGCTTGCATATTATTTCATTACCAGTATTCGAGAATTATTTTAATCAATAGATATTATCAATATAAACTCTCGAATATGTTAGTGCACAAATTTCTGTTCTTTTTTTTTTTAAAGCCAACACCAAAATCATGTTACAATTTGGCAATAGGAAAGTGGCCAGATAAAAAAAAACGTTAGCGAGAAAGTTCTATCAATCAATTCGTCTGCTCCGAGATTATTTAAGTCTCGTCTCGGTCAGGCTAACTTCTCTCACCTTGAAGGCAATCAGCTCTTTACCGTCTGCTACCCCCACACGCTTTTGCTTATCGCCACTGTGAAAAGACATGATTCCTTCCCCCTGGAACTTTTTTTTAATATCACGTGACTTGTTTTTCTACCTATTGCATTTGGCAGCTTCTCGGTATAGCGAAGGAGGGATGTGAGAAAGCAAAAAGGAGGTGGAGAAAAAAAAACAGGTAGATCTAGCTTTAAAATATTATTTGATTGAATTTTCTCAGAAAACTAAAAAATGTATTTGTTTATTAATTTGAACGTTTATATTTAATATACAAATATATGTTTCTAATATAATTTCGATGTCGAAATAATATTTCTGATATTAATTCGATTTTTTTAAAATGTTTAAAAATTAATTACCTTCTTTTTTTTTAGACGAGTTACCGTTCCTGTGTGATGAGTTATCGTTCCTGGCGCGGCTAAATCTAGAGAACTAGTAACACAGTGTAGCTGGAACTTGTACAGTGTGAAAATATTGTTCTATATATTTATCTAAACATGCCCTGTGTGTTCCCCTGCAAGCTACTCATGTCACGATGTAGGAGGCGAGTTTCATAGAGCAGGGTTGGCTACTTGCTGTAGAGGGATTTTATTTCAGTACTTGGTGAGTATGAAGACGTCTTTTTAATCATTTATACTAAATCATAGACTATCGTTTTGCTCTGTTTAAGCATTTTATTTCATTACATGGGGAGTATACTCGGAGTATGAAGACGTCTTTTTATTTTATTTATACTAAATCATAAACTATAGTTTTGTTCTGTTTAAGGACTTTATTTCAGTACGTCGTGAGTATGAAGACGTCTTTTTAATAATTTTATTTATACTAAATTATAGACTATCGTTTTGTTCTGTTTAAACATTTTGTTTCAGTACATGTTGAGTATGAAGACGTCTTTTTAATTATTTCATCTATACTAAATCATAGACTATCGTTTTGTTCTGTTTAAGGATTTTATTTCAGTATATCTTAAGTAATTAAAATAAGATGCTAAGCTTGTTGTATTTTAACCTGAAATGTGTTTAATACTGCTACCTTGTGTATATGTGTGTGTGTGGAAGGGGAGGGGGTGTATAGTGAGGGTTTACTTTCAGTTGCGAATAAAACAGACGTAGTAGAGATCTTATGTTATTTCCGCTATGTCATTTTATTTGAGGTGTGGCTAGCTGTCTGTGTAATTGCCAAAAACAATTTGACGAGTACTCTTTAAACCTGGGTAAGTTCAAGAGCGTTTAATTATTATCTAATTCGCTACTCAAACCCGAACTCTCTAGCTAAGAAATAATTTTTTTTAAACGTGTACATGTATATTGTATGTCGTTGGTCGTATGTTTTTAATGTTGATTGTTTTCGTCTTGTTTGTTTTAAATTAGCTGCCTTAATCCTTGTTATCTTAAGCGTTGTTTATCATTTTCTAATGTTATTAAATCAGTATTTAAAAATCACTCATTTATATTCTGCATTTTGGAAACTGGAATTCATTACTATGCAGTAATAAAAATGGAAAGTTGTTAATCTTAGATAACATATTTAGGAACAGTTTATTTTTAATTGATTTATTCTACTTTTAAAAGCAATAATTGTTTAGTTTGTGTTAGTTTTTAAAAAAACAAAGTATTGAAGGATGTTGTAAACGGAATATGCTCCAACGGGAGTTGTAAATTAAGACGAACAAGAAGAATTTTTTTTTTAATCGTATGTATCTTTCAGACGTGTGCTAATCAAAACGCAGAAAAGATAGATAAAATGGTTAGGGTTGAAGATTGTGACCGAAAGAGTAAGGTCAGTTATGGGATAAGTTTAGCTCTAAGCTTAAAGGAAGTAACTTTTTATTATGCTATTATGTTACACGATTACCGTTTAAAAAAAATGGAATATTAGATGGGTGGATCTTACATTGATATGGATTTGCATATTGTCATTTTATGTCAATTCGATAATCATCGTTTATTTTCGGTAAGCTTCGGTTAACTTGCCAATATTTCAGATGTAAGTTATTTTTATCTCATCAACATGTTTGCCAGTTGTTGGATAAATTGAATTAGATTGTCTGCCAAAATATTGTTGTTTTTTTTTTTTTTTTAATGAAACAAATTTATACGTTCTTGACCCTAAATGTATTTTTTAATAATAATGTAATAATTGATCTGGGAACCAACCAAACCTGACATCTTTGAAATCACAGCAGACGACTACAAAAACAGGAAACGCATCGGCGGGTCTGCTAGGGGTTGTTCGCTTTTTGTTTTCGCGGCAAAACAAGCAGAAGTGAAACCCGAGTTCCCTTGAGTTGTCTCCCCTGACACGTCATAATAAACCACTTCAAGGGCGGTAAATGTGAAAACATTTTTTTTTTGTATCCTCATAAAATAATTTTCGCCAAATAACATCGCAATTACAGGAGAGTATGGGAGGGTGGGGGGAAGGCTGTTTGTGAAATTAAGAATTTTTTATTTCAGTATTTCTCTGAGCACGTGCCTTGCCGTTAGGATAGTCAGACTAACTGTGAGCATTCAGGAAGATTTAAATATGTACATTCTTTACCTTTGTGGACTGTGTTCCGATTCGTTCTCCACATTGAAACAGCTTCACCTAAGCGGTTACTCTCAGTCAGGTTTGTTTAACAACAGCGTATACTTAAAAATTTAAAAACAAAATGCGACAAATATTAAACTTTGTTTTTAAAGTTAAATTAGCTCCCTTTTATAATTGAAAGTCAACATAGAGAATTATCACGTTAATCTGTTTATTTGACCTTGGAATTCGAAGGGTCAACACTATCGACACCGTTTTCATTTTTTCCGATTTTAATCAGGAGCGCATTAGAGCTGGGTGGACTCAAAGACACCCAAGAGACGCAAGCGCGGGAACCACCAAGACTTTCTGAGGAGTTCTACAGTTGTTATAACATTGGTGTACGCTTAGTATAGAAACCCGATAGCTGGGGATAGCAGCTCATCTAGGAGAGACAACTCCAAAAAAAATAACTGCTGCCTTGTAGTTTGTTCTTGGTTGGACAAAGGCTAAGGAAGCAAATCCAAAAAGAAAAGCAGGCTGAAATCGGAGTCAATTGCCTCAATGGCGTGTAACAAGTTAACAAGTAATTCTTAATTGTGTTGGAAGAAGTATAGGAAAATCAGCTTCGTGTACTATATTTGTGCCGTCCTATTCATCGTTTACTAAGGATTATCTACTTTTTAAATCGTTTAATTTAGAATTTAAAAACTTTCACTTCGCCCTTTTTTTTACATTGCAAACGAATATAGACTAAAGTATGAAGCATATTTAGACGTGTAGTTTTAAAAATCCTTGTCTCTAGGCTAGGTGTATGTTGTGAATCAGCTTTTCTTGAAACTCACAAAGTGAGGTCAAAATAACAGCAGAAGGATAGTTAAACCTATCGGCGTTATAGGCAGCCCTTTATCAAAGTTACATACTAAAAATCTTCTTCCAATTTTGCCCCATCCCCTGCCCATCGTACTTACAATTCAGCCCCCACCCCTCCCTTATGTACTTACAATTCAGCCCCCCCCCCTGCCTTATGTACTTAAAATTCAGCCCCCACCCCCTGTCCTGTTTATCTACAATTCAGCCCCTATCCCTGCCCAGTGTACTTACAATTCAGATAATTTTTAATCTAATTAAACATTAAATTAATCATTCAAATGTAATTAAAAGATTATTAATAAAAGGGGAGATAACAAGGTTAAATTATATCGATTGCTCTATCAGCTATTCGACGATGATGAACTGTTTTTTTTTTTTCTTTTCTGGCTGGGTGATTTTTAGATTCTAAGCTACTGATCGGGTTTTTAACAAGACATATTAGTTGTATGTGGTATTAATTAATTTGGAAGGAATTACTAAAACGTAGAAAATAAAACAAATATTAAAACACTAGAATAATAATAAGCTTTTAAATGAAGATAAATATAATCTGGAAGAGATGTTATTATTGTTATGTTCGACCAATGCTCATGATAGAGAAATGGTTTAATGGATAAAAAGTAATGTAAACTATGGCATTCCCTAACAGCCAGTGATGAAAAAGTAAGTTTTATATATAGGTAAAATAATAGTTCAGTATATAAAACTTTACAAAACTGAGGCAAAAAAAAAAAAAAAAAAAAAAAAAAAAAAAAAAAAAAATGCTCATGAAAGCACATAGTTATAATTTTCTTATTTTAAGTGCATTTAAACGTTTATTGTCATAAAGTTATTTTATATTTTGTTTCCACCAGCTATACAATATTTACCATACCCACTAGCTCATGAACTTAACAGGAAAAAGGTATTTTTAGAATTGATTTCCATCCCTAAAACCTTCACAAGGAAATAATGTTTTTAAAAAAGCTAGGGGTTTTTTTTCACCCATAAGACCAGGGGTCTCCAAACTTTTCAGCCCGAGGGCCGCATTAACTATAAAATATCAGGTCGGGGGCCAGAGTTTCTTCTAGGAAGTTCTTCGAGTTGGCGAATCTCTCCCCCCCCCCCCCACCCACAAGAACGTCTACCCCCCCCCCCCCTCCCTCCCCCCAAAAAAGTATAATTTATATAGAAATATATACACATTTCTGAAAGAAACACTGTCGGGGGGGTGGGGGGGGGCAGACAACGCACTCGAGGTCCAAGTATGTTCTCAAATTGTTGTTCACATATTTTATTCTTGAAAATGTTCCGAAATTTGAAAGGTACTTTGATGCAAAAGTTTTTAAATTAGGAAAGTCTTCCTTTGGCAAAAACTTATTTAAAAACCTTATAAAAACCCACCCGCCCTACTTTGAACTTGTTTCAAAGAAGGTCATTTGCTTGCAATTCAATGACCTCCAGCTGTAGTTCATCTGGGAAACTGGCCACATTTGCTTCAAATGGGTTTTGAAACCGTCTCACTTCTTCTGCCTTTGAATCCAAGTCAGAAAACCGCCACTGAAACTGAAGCTGGAGGTCCTTGATGATCTCATATGCAAATGACTAAGCTGTTGCTTTAGCCATGAAGACCCTGTACTGCTGAAAGTGTGTCAAGTTTTTGGCCTGTACTTGTTCCAAAAACAAGATCCGTTTGGATCTGAAGGCCTTTAAGTGGGTGTATAGAACAGAAACTAGATTTTACTTTCCTTGTAGTTTTAGGTTCAGAAAATTTATAGGACTAGTTATGACTGCAGCAAAGGTCAATGTCTATACCCACTCTTCATCAGACATTAATGGCTGTGGCTTGCCTTTACTTTCCAATAAGGCACCCATTTCCCTGCTTAACTTAAATGCTCTGCTCAGAACTTTCCCACAATTTAGCCACCTTACTGTTGTTTAATATGGTAAATGCTGCGTTTCTGTGTTTAATATGGTAAATGCTGCGTTTCTGTGTTTGCATCTTTCAACTATCTATGGTTAAGCCCATGTGGCTTTATTATATTCACCATCTTCACCACAGGATTCAGTACACTACCAATGTCCATATATTTAGCAAACAAAGCTTGCTGGTGAATAATACAGTGCAGGAACACTGGTTGTAAAATGTTTTTCTCATTCGCTTGTCCAACTAAGCCTTTCTTTATGCCACTTATGTACTTTCCTCCATCAACATTCAGCTGAGGTTAGTCCAGTCCAAGTTATAATCGCATTTTTAAAACTCATTGAATATAACCTCTCCGGTAAAAGTGGCATACATGCTATGTAGGGAAGACAGCTCTTGTGTTATGTTCATGTCTTCATTCACACCTCTAATGAACACAAGCATTTGAGAGGTGGAACAGCTAATCCATTGCAATTGAAAAAATGGCGTTACTTGCTTGCATTTTTAGCTATTTGAGTCACGATGTTTTCACCAATGTCTGCAACACGGCGGGCAATGGTAGTTGCACCCAAAGCCACATTTTCAAATTGTTTTGAATGTTCTTGGCAAAGTTCTTCAGCCTCCTCCAACAAAAATCTTTTCCGTGGGCAAAAAGATCTACGCGGGCCGGATGAGAGGTCCTCGCGGGCCGCATACGGCCCGCGGGCCGTAGTTTGGAGACCCCTGCATAAGACCATCACAGAGAGAAAAATAAAATTAAAAGGTGTTTTCCATCCACAAAGCCATTACATGGAAAAAATGTAAAAAAAAAATATTGTTTTTCAGTCATAAGACCAACACACAGTTTTTAAAAGTTTTTTTTTTACCCATAGGACCATCAAAAGGATAAATTCCTATGAAATTCTATATTTTAAATGGTGCTTTCCATCCCCAAGGCCATCACGGGGGGGGGGGGGGAGGGAACTGTTTATAAAATGTTATATTTTCCAGCCATAACACAATTGTGTGGAAAAAGTCTAAAAAAAGTTTAGTTTTCCAGCCATAAACCATCACATAGAAAAAAGTCTTTAAAAAGTTTAGTTTTCCAGCCATAAACAACCACATGTAAACGTGTCTTTTAAAAAGTTTAGTTTTCCAGCCATAAACAACCACATGTAAAAATGTCTTTTAAAAAGTTTAGTTTTCCAGCCATATACAACCACATGTAAAAATGTCTTTTAAAAAGTTTAGTTTTCCAGCCATAAACCACCACATGGAAAAAAGTCTTTAAAAAAGTTTAGTTTTCCAGCCATAAATCACCACATGGAAAAAAGTCTAAAAAAAGTTTAGTTTTCCAGCCATAAACCACCACATGGAAATAAGTCTTTAAAAAGTTTAGTTTTCCAGCCATGAACCACCACATGGAAAAAAGTCTAAAAAGTTTAGTTTTCCAGCCATAAACCACCACATGGAAAAATGTCTTTTAAAAAGTTTAGTTTTCCAGCCATGAACCACAACATGGAAAAATGTATTTTAAAAAGTTTAGTTTTCCAGCCATAAACCACCACATGGAAAAAAGTCTAAAAAAGTTTTGTTTTCCAGCCATAAACCACCACATGGAAAAAAGTCTAAAAAAAAGTTAAGTTTTCCAGCCACAAACCACCACATGGAAAAATGTCTTTTAAAAAGTTTAGTTTTCCAGCCATAAACCACCATTTGGAAAAATGTCTTTTAAAAAGTTAAGTTTTCCAGCCATAAACCACCACATGGAAAAATGTCTTTTAAAAAGTTTAGTTTTCCAGCCATAAACCACCATTTGGAAAAATGTCTTTTAAAAAGTTTAGTTTTCCAGCCATAAACAACCACATGGAAAAAAGTCTAAAAAAAGTTTAGTTTTCCAGCCATAAACCACCACATGGAAAAAAGTCTAAAAAAGTTTAGTTTTCCAGCCATAAACCACCACATGGAAATAAGTCTTTTAAAAAGTCTCGTTTTCCAGCCATGAACCACCACATGGAAAAAAGTCTAAAAAGTTTAGTTTTCCAGCCATAAACCACCACATGGAAAAAAGTCTAAAAAAAGTTTAGTTTTCCAGCCATAAACCACCACATGGAAAAAAGTCTAAAAAAAGTTTAGTTTTCCAGCCATAAACCACCACATGGAAATAAGTCTTTAAAAAGTTTAGTTTTCCAGCCATGAACCACCACATGGAAAAAAGTCTAAAAAGTTTAGTTTTCCAGCCATAAACCACCACATGGAAAAATGTCTTTTAAAAAGTTTAGTTTTCCAGCCATAAACCACCACATGGAAAAAAAGTCTTTAAAAAGTTTAGTTTTCCAGCCATAAACCACCACATGGAAATAAGTCTTTAAAAAGTTTAGTTTTCCAGCCATGAACCACCACATGGAAAAAAGTCTAAAAAAGTTTAGTTTTCCAGCCACAAACCACCACATGGGAAAAATGTCTTTTAAAAAGTTTAGTTTTCCAGCCATAAACCACCACATGGAAAAATGTCTTTTAAAAAGTTTAGTTTTCCAGCCATAAACCACCATTTGGAAAAATGTCTTTTAAAAAGTTTAGTTTTCCAGCCATAAACCACCACATGGGAAAAATGTCTTTTAAAAAGTTTAGTTTTCCAGCCATAAACCACCACATGGAAAAAAAAAATTCAAAAAATAGTTCTATTCTCCAGCCATAATACAATCACGTGGGAAAAAAAATGTTTTCAAACGTTTTGTTTTCCAGCCCCAGCCTCTGGACCATCAGAGGATGAAGGTAAACCGCTTGACCCAGGTCTCGACTATCTTCGTGCTGTTCATCACCTTATCCACCGTCGCCCCTAAAGACTGTCGTAAACCCGTCAGGACCGGCACCAAATGCAACCCACGGAGGGAGAAGTCTGGCCGGAAGTCTAGGAGCCCTTTAAAAAACGGTGGGTGGGGTGTTTCTGGTGTGTGTTTGTGTGTATAGGTTTGGATGTGTGTGTGGTTGTGTGTATATGTTTGGATGTGTGTGTGTTTGTGTGTATATGTTTGGATGTGTGTGTTTGTGGTGTGTATATGTGTTTGTGTGCGTGTTGTGTGTTTGAGTCTGTGTGTTTGTATCTGTTGTATTTATGCGTGCGTGTATTTGTGTTTGTGTATACGTGTATGTGTTTGTGTGAGTGTTTGTGTCTTAATGTCTGTGTGTGTGTTTGGGTGTTGGTTTTTGTGTGTGTGTTCGTGTGTGTATGTTTGTGTATATGTGCTTGCATGTGTGGGTGTGTGTGTTCGTAAGTGTGTATTCGTATAAGTCCGATTGTTTCCATTAATCGATGTATTGTTTTTTCCTGATTTTTACTATTTGCTTGAGAATTAAACACAACCAATTTTTAAAAATTGTGATGTAAGTACAACAGACAAAAAAAACATTGAAAACTGTAGAAACTACTCCATGTTGTTTTTTTCCTTAACTAGACAACCGAATGCAGTGGACACTGGCTAATGTCCATGAAAACGACCATTTAAACGGTAATTAATTACAGTGTCAGAGGGAGGCTACCTGGTCACGTGATCAGTTATTTATGGCTTTAGAATAAATCCAGGTAGACAAAGAGCCTGGAACTGGTCGTCTGGTGAAGAACCAGTTCTGGAACTATTCTTGTCCCTTTCATCGTGTTTCAGGCATTTCAGTTTCAGCTGTGTGTTTCTGCTAATGTGTGTTTCGGCTAATGTGTGTTGCGGCTAATGTTTCTTTACCTCAAAGAAAGCGGGATGTAGTTCTGGATGATGATAAACACGGGAAGCTGAGACAGGATGTTCAATGAGATAGGGCAGTGTGGCCATCAGCAAACCTTACAGTTTCACACACTTTTGTCACCCCACACTTCATTAAAATTGTTTACGCGAATTCAAGTTCCAGAAAAAAATGTTGATCAAAATGTCTAAAATCGTTCCTTGAGCACCCATCTATGTATTCTCTACAATTGCAAACTTTTTTTTACACCTGTACTTAGGTTCTAATTGTCAGAGTTCATAGCACCTGATTAGGTTGTTTTAGGCTCTGCCCCCCCCCCCCCCCTAAGAGATGCCTGGAAGAAACTCTTCTAATAAAGTGTTGAATTAAATTTTTTTGGCACTTACTGTTCTAAGTACAACGGGTTAACAAAAGTGTAACAAAAACCTTGTTATTGTTTCGGGAACAAGATTTGATGTAGAAAGATGCTCTTCATCCCAACCATCTCGAATATAAAATCGAAGTAGAAAAACCAACCAAGTAAAAACTTAACACTTAACATACAAGGAAAAACCCCGAAATTTTTTGCACGCTCAGCAAGATTTGGCTCGCTTATATCGTTAAAAAAAAATTGGAATATTTTTACGCTGCAGAACACCCGAAACGATTTACCCGCAAACTTTTTCTGCAACGAATATTTATTTTATCACTGGTTTCCGATTAACTTCATTTTTTTTTCGCGGTTTTATTTTTATATAAATATTAAAATTGAAAAAAAAAGATATAACTCGCGCTTAAGAGAAATAAAATGTTATCTTTATGGTTGTCGTTTCGTTTTTGATTATCTAACAGGGTAATAAAAAAATTTTTTTAGGATCTATCGTACTTTTTTTTAATCTAATGTATAGTTTTTATTTATTTATTGGATTTGACGATTTTTTAAAATTTACTTTTAGTGGCGCCATATTGGGAGAGGAAACCTCCAAAAGACAGGAATATCGACGCGAGAGAAGGCTCTGACGTCACGTTATACTGCAATATCAAGGGGTCGCCCGACCCAGATTTCCATTGGCTGATGAATGGCAGGAAGCTGAGAGCAAAAAAAAGCAAAGTGAGTAGGGTTTGTGTATATAGGGTTCAGTGTTGGAGGGTCATTCAAAGTAGGGTTCGTGTATATAGAGTTCAGTGTTGGAGGGAGGGTCATTCAAAGTAGGGTTCGTGTATATAGGGTTCAGTGTTGGAGGGTCATTCAAAGTAGGGTTCGTGTATATAGGGTTCAGTGTTGGAGGGAGGGTCATTCAAAGTAGGGTTCGTGTATATAGGGTTCAGTGTTGGAGGGTCATTCAAAGTAGGGTTCGTGTATATAGAGTTCAGTGTTGGAGGGAGGGTCATTCAAAGTAGGGTTCGTGTATATAGGGTTCAGTGATGGAGGGTCATTCAAAGTAGGGATCGTTTATAAGGGGTCATACATAAATGACATCACGCTTTTTTTTACGATTACCCCCCTCCCCACCCCTAAAATGACGTCACCCCTCAGCCTAAAATCCCCCCCCCCCCTTGAATTTTTCTTAAAACATCGATATTTTTTTTTCCAAAATCTAGTCTGAACTCTGTCCACATAGAGTATTTTCAACAATTCCTATTACAGTTTATTAAAACAGTTTTCTAAAACGCGAAATTACGGCTAAAACTCGTTTTCCAACATTGCTTTTTTAAATGCAACCCCCCACCCCTCCCTCCCCTCAACACACGCCGTCACAAAATTTCGGACCCCCCCCCCCCCCCCCAAGAGTTTGACGTCATTTATTAACGACCCTAAAGGTTTCAGTCAGTGTTTCTTCCAGACTTTTTTCTCCGGGGGGGGGGGGGGCACTTGAAATTTCCGGGGGGCGGGGGGGGGGGTGGCGATAGTCTTTCTTCGGGGGGGGGGGGGGCAGACACTGTTAAAAGTATATATTATCTATATAAATTTAATTTCGCTGGGGGAGGGGGCGGTAGACTTTCTTCCCACCCCGAAGAGATGCCTGGAAGAAACTCTGGTTTCAGTGTTGGAGGTTCAATAAACATAGGGTTCATGTATACCTTGAGTAAAGTGTTGGAAGGTCAATCTAGGGTTCGTGTACACCTATAGCATTGCTGTGTTTGGTGTTGGAGATTTGATCCCGGTATGGCTTATATGGTCAAGGCAAGGGTCAGGTACAACTTGAGTCAGGATTAGTGTTGGGATTATAAGGCTTTGATTATAGCCATGGCTAGAGTTAGAGCCTGGTGTTAGCGTTAGGCATCATGGATATCGATGCTAGCAAAACACTAGAAACGATACTATCCACCAGGATATCGATGCTGGCAAAACACTAGCATCGATACTCCCCACCAGCTTGTACTCTAGCAAGTGAGTAGACCACGATACTTCTACAGTGCGGTGAAAAGACAGAACAGTCATTCTACTTTCAAATTGTCAAAAGGGCAAGTAAAGTAGAGTTCATCTGTTTCTGTGATTTCGGCATATGAAGGAATAGTGTGGTCAGCACTATGCCCAGCCGCCTTTATTTTCCCTTACGTGAGATAGGTACCCATCAGCGCTAGGTGGACTCAGGGATGTTCTACTGACTTGAACATTTAATCCGGTGTCTTGTTTTATTGTGTTCCCAGTTTAATTTCGAATGTTCTCACATTTAATCCGATGTCTTCTTTTATTGTGTTCCCAGTTTAAGTTCGCACGTTCTCACATTTAAACCGGTGTCTTGTTTTATTGTGTTCCCAGTTTCTGTTCAGACAGCACAAATCTAAACTGGTGATAAGGAACGTCACTCTCAATGATTCCACGGATTACTCGTGTGTGGCTGAGAACAAATTTGGACAGCTGAATCACACGTTTAACCTGAGGGTCTTAGGTGAGTGAACTTTGAACTTTGGACAGCTGAATCACACGTTTAACCTGATGGTCTTAGGTGAGTGAACTTTGGACAACTAAACTATACGTTCAACTTGAGGGTGTTAGGTGAGTGAACTTTGAACTTTGGACAGCTGAAGCATACGTTTAACTTGAGGGTCTTAGGTGAGTGAACTTTGAACTTTGGACACCTGAATCACACGTTTAACCTGAGGGTCTTAGGTGAGTGAACTTTGGACAACTAAACTATACGTTCAACTTGAGGGTGTTAGGTGAGTGAACTTTGAACTTTGGACAGCTGAAGCATACGTTTAACTTGATGGTCTTAGGTGAGTGAACTTTGGACACCTGAATCACACGTTTAACCTGATGGTCTTAGGTGAGTGAACTTTGAACTTTGGACACCTGAATCACACGTTTAACCTGATGGTCTTAGGTGAGTGAACTTTGAACTTTGGACAGCTGAATCACACGTTTAACCTGATGGTCTTAGGTGAGTGAACTTTGAACTTTGGACACCTGAATCACACGTTTAACCTGATGGTCTTAGGTGAGTGAACTTTGAACTTTGGACAACTAAACTATACGTTTAGCTTGAGGGTGTTAGGTGAGTGAACAGCTATAAACTATACGTTTAACTTGATATACTAAACGTTTAACCTAAGGGTCTTCGGTGAGTGAACTTTGAATTTTGGACGGTTGAACTATACGTTTAACCTGATGAACTATATGAGAGTGTTATGTGAATGAACTTTGAATTTCGAATAGCTGAAGTATACGTTCAGCCTGAGCGCGTTAAACGAATGATCTTAGAAGGTTGAATTTTGGGCAAATGAATTAAACTCTTAACTTGTGGGTGTATGGTGAAAGGTTTTAAAAAATTTAATTTCAGACAGCTGAACCATACGTTAAAGCTTTGAATGTTAGGTGGGTGGGCTTTCTGTTAAATTTTTGAAAACTGAGCTATACGTTTAGGTTTAGTTAGGTAAATGAGCTTAAGGTAGCTCCATTTTGTAGACCCCATTCTAAATCTGTTGACAACTTCATCATAAATTTAACCTAAGGGATTTTATTTCCATTAATGCCTTGCTCTTGAGCTCCATCTTAGTAGCTCAGATAGCTTAACAATACTCTCAACTTAAGCTCTCTAGCTGCGTATACTCAACGCTGAGCTTATTTGTCACGTGCTCTGTTATACCGATCCTGAATTGTACGCTAGAAGAGGTGGTTTCGTGTGAGTAGACAAAATTATGAAACCCTACTCAGAGGCTTAAGGACCCTTCCCGGGCCCGGGGACAAACTTTCGATTTGCACCGCCCCCCCCCCCCCCCCCCTCGAACTTTTTGCACCCCCCTCGAACTTTTCATTTGCACACACCCCCCATCAAACTTTCTATTTGCATACCCCCCTCGAACTTTTCATTTGCACCCCCCCCCCTCAAAATTTCAATTTGGCGCCCCCCCCCCCCTAAGGTCGTCGCCCGGGGACATATGTCCCCCCACCCCCCACCCCACTCGCTACGCCTTTGACCCTACTTTAAGTACTCACGGTCTAGGAATCCATACCTTTAGTACTCACGGTCTAGGAATCTATACCTTTAGTACTCACGGTCTAGGAATCCATACCTTAAGTACTCACGGTCTATGAATCCATACCTTTAGTACTCACTGTTTAGGAATCCATACTTTTAGTACTCACGGTCTAGGAATCCATACCTTTAGTACTCACGGTCTAGGAATTCATACCTTTAGTACTCACGCTCTAGGAATCCATACCTTAAGTACTCACGGTCTAGGAATCCATACCTTTAGTACTCACGGTCTAGGAATCCATACCTTTAGTACTCATGGTCTAGGAATCCATACCTTTAGTACTCACGATCTAGGAATCCATACCGTATATACCACGGTCTAGGAATCCATACCTTTAGTACTCACGGTCTAGGAATCCATACCTTTAGTACTCACGGTCTAGAAACCCATACCTTTAGTACTCACGGTCTAGCAGTTGAAAAACATGAATCGTAAATTTAATCTGAGTGGAAGACAGATGGTGTGATTAGAAGATAACACTTTTTCAGCAGTGTTGTTTGGAAAGTGTTAGAGGTTAGAGTTAGGACTAGCGTTAAAAGTGGGTCGTAGTGTTAGGGTGAAGAGTCAGATTAAAATAGTCAGGCTTTTTGTTTACTTACAGGTTTTACCATAAAAAAAATAATATTTTTATGGTAAACCTTTGATTTATTCATGTTCTGAAGATAACCCTTGAATACGTGATTGATTTAATCATGAAAAGCAGTGATGCTCAATTTTTCTCATTCCATATACCACTGTCAGTCAGGAAATTATAATTGGAAACTTTTATAATTTAGCGTAGGGTTAAAGAAAAAAAATAGTCGGGTACTTTTTATTTAAAATATTGTCATGGACTTTCCTATACAAACACACCCACCTACGGAGTCTGATAAATCCCAGTTTAAGAACCCTTGATCTAAAGTTACCTACCTACGCTGTCTATGCGGTGGGTGTTAACATTAATTTTAAAAAAAAAACCTTCACAGTTTGAAAGGGGGGAGGCTGGATGCAGAGTTTCTCCCAGACATTTAAGAAACGAGATGGAATTTATATAGAAAACATATACTTTTACCAGTGTCCGCCCCCCCCCCCCCAATTTCCCCCCCCCCCCCCCCCCCCCGAAAATATCAAGTGCCCCCCCCCCCCCCCCGGAGAAAAAAGTCTTGAAGAAACACCGGCTGGATGTTTTAATACAAACGAAAGAAACACCTTAAACGAAATGGAAAGAAAATTTTGTACCCAACATGGAGTCGAAAAAAAAATGGAGGTCAACCCCCTATGCTTGTCAAGGTCGAGATTTTAGATTTAATATGCGGCTGGAAATTCCCGTTGATATATTTAGCTCTGTGGATTTGAACGATTTTTATTTTTGCCGTGTAGATCTACTTCTAGACTTCTATGTGAAAACCTTCAGTGAGTGTTGTTTTATGTGGTGGGTGGGGGGAGTCATTTTTTTTTCTATTTTCCTTTCTACGTCTTTCTTGTTTAACCGATTTTATAACTAAATCACTTAATGCCTTTACTTTTTTTTTTTTTGGAGCAAAACCACAGTATTCGTTGTTTTATTGATGGAGCAAAATAGTTCTTTTATCTTTTATGTTAATTAAGTAATGTTACGAATTATTATATCTTTTTTTTCATAAATATTACGAAATTATTTTATCATCGTTTTTTATTAATATGAAGAATGGTGGGCATTATTTTGTATCTGTATTTTTTAAATAAAACTTTAGAATCTTTATTAAATTTGCGTATTTTTGTGCTAAAATGTACTTTTTGGTTTGGCAAAATCAAATAAATGTATGTTTTATTATAGATAAGTACGATTAGGGTTATGTATTTGATAATAGCGGATATGTTGGTGTACCAATTATTATTTGTTGTGTTAGTTTTTTTTTAAGTAATCGGGAGGTTAGAATTGTCCGAAGCATATAGTCTAGACAGTCTATGTTCTTCACATGTGTGTTAGCTATAATTAGGGTCAACCAGTTTTATAAAACAAAGCAGGTTTTATTTATTTTTTATAAAAGGTCGCACATCAACTTTTCTTGACGTGATTCGAACCTGGCACTGTTTTTCAACAAGCCAGGACCTTATCACGGGACCAGACAGGGCGCAGACGCACTGCACTTAAGGAACCGGGTGAAATCTACCCGAAAGTTTTACACCCAAGATCAGCCAGCTTTGGGGGGGGGGGGGTGAAGTGAAAAAAAAAACAAGAAAAAAACTTTTGTTATGTAAACAAAACACAGTTTTATGGCCGGGAGATAAGACACGTCGGGGTCGCCGTGTGCAGGTGAGAGAACTGCACGCGCAAGGTCAGGTCATGCTGACCTGGTACCTGGAAAACCTGCCCACATTCTAGTGTTATTGCGATCACCCATCCTCTTGTTTTAAAATGTAAAAAAGTTCTCACAAAACATTATTTACAAGTGTTTAGAAAAATGTGTTAACATTCTTAGAGTTTGTTTTGGAGCATGGTGATCATACGCAATATATATAATATATATATATATATATATATATATATATATATATATATATATATATATATGTGTGTGTGTGTGTGTGTGTGTGTGTGTGTGTGTGTGTGTGTGTGTGTGTGTGTGTGTGTTTTTATGTGTATGTGTGTGTGTGTGAGGGAAAGGGGCACTTAAAACTTCTTGGGAGGCGCACTTAAATTTCCGAATGGCGGGTAGGGTAGAGTGATTAAAGTAAATATTTTCTACATAATTTCTTTCTATTCTGTTCCGGGAGGGGTGGTGGGATGTGAAGGAGAGAGGACTGACAAGTCTTTGAGCCTATTTCTCAGAACATATCCCTAAAGTTCTATAAACTTTTTCCAGAGAACATGTCCCTAAAGTTCCATAAACTTGTTCCAGAGAACATCGCCTTAAAGTTCTATAAACTTTTTCAAGAGAACATGTCCCTAAAGTTCTATAAACTTGTTCCAGAGAACATGTCCCTAAAGTTCCATAAACTTATTCCAGAGAACACGTCCACATGTCCCTAAAGCTCCATAAACTTGTTCCAGAGAACATGCCACTAAAGTTCTCTAAATTTGTTCCAGAGAACATGTCCCTAAAGTTCTCTAAACTTGTTCCAGAAAACATGTCTCTAAAGCTCTATAAACTTGTTCCAGAGAACATTTCCCTAACGTTCTCTAAACTTGTTCCAGAGAACATGTCCCTAAAGTTCCATAAACTTGTTCCAGAGAACATGTCCCTAAAGTTCCATAAACTTGTTCCAGAGAACATGTCCCTAAAGTTCTATAAACTTGTTCCAGAGAACATGTCCCTAAAGTTCTAAAGTTCTATAAACTTGTTCCAGAGAACATGCCCCTGAACGACATAGAGATCGTGACACGACCAGAGAACCAGACGGCCTTGATTGGGGACACGGTCATCTTCATGTGTAGGTCAGACGACTGGCCCATACCGACAGTCACCTGGACATGTAAGAGAGACAGTCAGGTCATGTACCAGGTCTTGAAGGTTGGTCTCATTACTTCAGCATCATCTTGTCACGTTCATGCTCAAGACGCATAGGGCAGGTGAAGCAGAGTTTATCTGAGTTTATGAATGTGCCATACAAGGGATAAATTGGTCAGCGCATGTGCCTCGTTGCTTTTGTTCCCTAACGTGAGTCATGTACTCATCAGTGCTGGGCGGACTCAGGGACGTCTTACAGACTCGAGCCCGGGGATCCGAACTCGACTTTCGGGTTAGTAGTCGTGAGCTCTACCATCCGACCAAGTCTTTTCCAGTCTCAAGTGTTAGGGCAAAAAAATTTGCGAAATATGGGAATTAGTCCATTTTGTGAAATGCAAATATAGGCTACGCCAGAAGGCGGCCTAATGTAAATTTTTAAGGCAACAACCACACTGTACATGTTAATGCTAAGTTAAAGATTGACTTGTGTTACGTGAAGTAAATAATAATATATTATTCGATGTAATGGTGCGAAACTTCTTAAAAATATTTCGCTTTTCTTCTTTCCTTTTGAATTGTTCAGAGTACATACATGTTATTGATCAAATTGATCAGTGTGTGAGAGATCCTGGGGGGGGGGGGGGAGGGAGAGGTGCTTATAAAAGTTAAGGGATGGGAGTACTAGATGGGGGTTGAGCATGAAATAGAGAATATTTAAAACAAAATATTTTGCCATATACAGTAGGTCCCTACACCCATTTATTTTTTTTAACTCTAAATAAAGTCAGATTCTTAATTTCACTTTATTAGGTGTGGGGCGTCCAAATAAAGCCATGATTTTTTTTTAATTAAAAAAGAACTAAAACTCTTAGTGTGCCTTAAATCGTAAAGTATGCATCCTAACCATCTTTTGTTTTTAAAAAAAAAAAAAAAATGTTATCCAGATGTTTTATCACCTCTGAATTTTGTACCCCTCCCTTCCCCCCCCCCCCCCCCAGACTAGTGAAAGTAACGGTGACCTGGTGTTGCCCAACGTGACCAAAGACGACCAAGGTGAATACGTCTGCACCATCGGAAACAACAAGGCTCACAAAACGTTCACAGCCACGCTCAGAGTTATCGCGCTTGGTGAGTGTTTTTAAAAAAGTAGAGTTGTCTTTCTTTACAACTTAACGACCCTTGTAATAAAAATGTGTTTCGGTGCGTCATTTTTTAGCGCAATTTCATTTTCCCTTAAAATAAGAAAGTTTGAAATTTGAGTGCAGTGTTCTAATTTAATTATCGATCTGTTTGCATGATTAAAAAAATAAAAATAAAAAAGATTTTCCTTGTCAGAATTAAAATAATGTGTCGTATGCCTACAGACGAAGTGTATATTTTTACTGTTCAGGTGGAATTTTAACTTAATTTTGATGCAGGTGAAAATGAACCGTGATATTGTGCATGTGAAAGTTTATTTTTGTATTGTGCGTGTGAAAGTTTACTTTTATGTTATTGTGTGACACTACCTTTATGAGGTTCTTTACATTCTGTAGGCGAAGATTTAGTTTACATTATTGTGAAAGTTAACATTTTACCTGTACATGTGAAGGTTTACCTTTTTATCATGCAGGTGAAGGTTTACCTTTTTATCATGCAGGTGAAGGTTTACCTTTTTATCATGCAGGTGAAGGTTTACCTTTTTATCATGCAGGTGAAAGTTTACCTTTTTATCACGCAGGTGAAAGTTTACCTTTTTATCACGCAGGTGAAAGTTTACCTTTTTATCACGCAGGTGAAAGTTTACCTTTTTATCACGCAGGTGAAAGTTTACCTTTTTATCACGCAGGTGAAAGTTTACCTTTTTATCATGCAGGTGAAGGTTTACCTTTTTATCATGCAGGTGAAGGTTTACCTTTTTATCATGCAGGTAAAGGTTTACCTTTTTATCATGCAGGTGAAAGTTTACCTTTTTATCACGCAGGTGAAAGTTTACCTTTTTATCACGCAGGTGAAAGTTTACCTTTTTATCACGCAGGTGAAAGTTTACCTTTTTATCACGCAGGTGAAAGTTTACCTTTTTATCACGCAGGTGAAAGTTTACCTTTTTATCACGCAGGTGAAAGTTTACCTTTTGAGCCGTTGTGCTCCCTACACATGAGGCGTGAGGTGCTAGTGGACCATGAAGGAGGGTGTAAAACACGTGAACCAGTGGACATGTACTACTGCATGGGTGAGTCATGGATGAGTGGCTTTGTTAGAGACTTGACGTCACGCTCACGTTGCAGTAGTGGATTAATGGGGGTGGGGCTGAGAGGGCTGCAGTAAAGGGCCCTAGATTTTTAGGGGCCCTTAAATTTTCATTTTTATATATATATATATATATATATATATATATATATATATATATATATATATATATATATATATATATATATATATATATATATATATATATATATATATATATATATATATATATATATATATATATATAGGGGCCCCCAAACAATTTCAGCCGAGCGGCCCCGTTCGAGCTTAATCCGCCCATGTCGAGTTATTTCATTCATGACGTCATCGTGTGTTGTGACATATCGTCACTTAGAGCTGTGGTTTGATGACGTCGGAGCGGTGTTGATACTTCATGCAGGAGTATTTGAGGCTGTTGGAATAGCAAGGGTGCAATAACATATGGAGCTCTGTGGTTGAGGAATTAATGACAATATGTCATAACTTAACAAGGGGGGAGGGAGAATCATGGTCGGATGGTAGAGCAAGCAACTGCAAACCCTTAAGTCTCGAGTTCAAATCCCGTACAATCTCCAGTTCAGATGGGGGACTTACGTTAGGGAAAAGTGGAGAGGCTTGGCATAGTAGTGACAGCACTATTCCTTTATATGCGGAGGTCATAGTAACAGACTATTATATCTGGCCCTTGTGTCTTGGGTAGTATTGACTTTAAAAGAAGATGATTTCATAACTTGAAAGTTGAGCTTATGACATTTTAATGCAGAATTGAATTTAATTATGAGGGTATATTTACAATGATGAATCCATGAATCATAAAGATACTTAACTACGTAATAACCATTTGTTTTGTGCTTAGTTAGAAATTTTTTTTACATATTTTCGCCCCTTGAGTCACCGCAGCCTAGTAATGCATGACCTTGGTTCAGTGGCGTAGCGAGGTCGGGTGTCACCCGGTGCGGCACTTAATGGTGTCACCCCCCAGAGGCGCAACGACCCTTCCCGGGGACAAACTTTCAATTTTCGATTTACACCCCCCCCCCCCCCTCAAACCTTCGATTTGCACCCCCCCCCCCCCTCTCAAACTTTCAATTTGCACCCCCTCCCCACCTCTTAAAAGGCTATTTAACACTCTAATTAATCGCTCTATTAAGTGGAATTATCATTTTTCTCTATATATTTTGCTATTTTTTGCCTTGGTGTCACCCCCCTAAATGGTGTCACCCGGTGCGGTCCGCACCCCCCGCACCCCCCTCGCTACGCCCCTGCCTTGGTTCACTATAGGTTCAGGTGTTGTAATTTTTGTCCACACTTTTCTAATATGACTGTATTGCTTACAGGGTCTTGCGGCAGAAGCTACTTCACCCCTCAGCTCATCTTCTCCGCCAACAAGGACCCCAACGCCATAGAAACCTTTGCCACACAGTCTTGCAAGTAATGCTTCATTTAATACCCACGGGATCCTCAGTGTTCGGGGAGGGGGTTCTGGTGTATGACTTTAAGGGTTAGGGTTGATATCGCGATACGATTGGGGTTACTGTTGGGGTATGGTGTCAGATTTAAATCAGGATCAGATTCAGGACTTACACTGGTGCCAGGGTTTGAATGAAAATGTTTGTTTTTGGCTAACGATATCAGGATTTAATAGACTGAAAAGAGCAAAAACATCTTTGGTGTGTTGATAAATATATATATATATATATATATATATATATATATATATATTATATATATATATATATATATATATATATATATATATATATATATATATATATATATATATATATATATATATATATATATATATATATATATATATATATTACAATCCTTGACATGCATCTCTTCTTCAAAATCCCTTGCAAAATTGTAGCTGTGTCGCTTTAAAAATAAAAATAAATAAAAAACGCATATTTCATAATAATATAAACATCTTATTTTATACTAATGCTAACTAGTCAGCTTAAATTCTTAACAATGATTTAAAAAAATGTTGTATCTTCTGCACCACACACCCTCACCCTACCCCAATACGAGCAGGTGCTGTGTGGGTATAGTTGAGAGGCTGAGAATCGTGGAGTTCGAGTGCCCCTTTGGTAAGAAGAAAAAAGGATTTTTTACATTGCTCAATGGATGCCAGTGTCAAACTTGCCACACAGAAAAAAACTCAGTCCGACAAGGTAATAACGCTCTGTAGTTTTAAGTTTGAGTTTATATATATATATATATATATATATATATATATATATATATATATATATATATATATATATATGTTTGTGTGTGTGTATTGTGCGTGCTACGCGCGTGTAGGGGTGTGTGTGTGTTTAAATATATATATATATATATATATATATATATATATATATATATATATATATATATATATATATATATATATATATATATATATATATATATTTATTTCTTTATTTATTTATTTATTTATTTATTTAAACACACACACCTACACGCGCGTATATATATATATATATATATATATATATATATATATATATATATATATATATATATATATATATATATATATATATATATATATATATATATATATATATATATATATATATATATATATATATATATATATATATATATCATAATTACAATTTTGTCTTTTTTCAGATGAAAAATTATCGATTCAACAAAAAACGTAATTCAGAAACTACCATTCTGTGTTTTATTTTTCTGAAATTTTAAATTCATGTTTTAACTAGTTTAACGTGTAGCTGTGGGGTTGTTGTTATTGTTGCTTTGTTTGTTTGTTTGTTTTCAAAAATATTATTGAAGACAAAAAAAATTGAGTTGTTTTGACATAAATTTCAAAGGAGCGTTCTTGCCTCTCTTTGAAATATAAGTGGCTGAGTTATCTCCCTGATTTGCTCCGGGGATGTTTTGCACTTGTTGACCCGATGATCTTTTCTCATGGCTGAAGAAGTCTTGGTTTTACAATAGAGCCGGAAGTGACGCTATCTTCATCAAAATTATAATTTGATGTATCTACTATTATGTTGACCTATTCACAGTTGGGGGTCGTCCATAAATGACGTCACACTCATAGGGGGGAGGGGGATCCGTAATTTTGTGACGGTGTGTGATGAGGGGGAGGGGGTGGTTCATATGGTACGACGTCACACTTTTGCATTATAAAAAAGCAATGTTAGAAAACGAATTTTAGACGTTATTTCACGTTTTAGAAAACTGTTTTAATAAAGTGTAATAGGAATTGTTTAAAATACTCTATTTTGACAGAGTTCAGACAAGATTTTGCAAAAATATCGATACTTTTAAAAAAAATTCAACTTCAACTGCAATTTTGAGGGGGGTTGTAGGCTGAGGTGTGACGTCATTTTATGGTCGGGGGTCTGGCTCTTTGTGACGATGTGTGACGGAGGGGAGGGGGGGAGGTAAAAATCGTCCAAAAAAGCGTGACGTCATTTATTGATGACCCCTTTAGACATAGGCCATCATTCAGGAAAAAACCGACGACCATTTCTTCTCATCAAAAATACAATAACATTATCTACTTTACAGACAAGTATTTTTAAAGAATGAACACCCTTAACTAACAGAAGTATTTATGATGTATTTATTTATTTTTAACATAGCTTAACCAATGAGGCTCCGTAAATTAAACTTACTAGTAATGTAAGTCACGAGTAATGTTATTTTTTTTTAAAAGTTGTTCGAAGTATAGTGTAGTTGGTAGTTGTCTTAGTTGTTGTTGATTCTGATTGTATAGTAATTTCATGTATACATTATGTTTTTTAACTTGTTTTGACAAATAAACTTATATGTTTCATTCACGAAGTATTTGTTTTGTATGCGATATATATATATATATATATATATATATATATATATATATATATATATATATATATATATATATGCGTGGGTGTGTATATTTTGAGTGTACTCAGTGTATATGTAAAAACTGCAAAATGTCTGATTGAAATATTTCTTACAATATACCTATATTTTATCGAAAATGTAAGTAGCAGTGATGTGCTCATTAAAGAAAAAGTTTTTCTTCATTCTAGTTTTTGTAAAGTGTAATATCTTAAACACATGGTTTAGTATCATCATCTTTTCCCGTTAGTGCCCAAAACACATGAGATAGATGAAGTGATAGTTTGATCAGCATTATGCCCAGCAGCCCTAATTTTCCCTAGCGTGAGTTTGGTGCCTATTTGGGAAGTTTCTACTGAATTGAACCCGGATCCGAACTCACGACTTTCGGGTTAGCCATATCGCTAGGATACGCCGTCCCATAAATTTATAAATTTTTTATTAAGCAATTTCAAGTTTCGAAAAACAGTTACTTTTTTCTTTAGTTTTCAAAACTGTTTGCCGTAAAATGTGCAACTACCTCCCCCCCCCCCCCCCCCCCCCTCCCCAGCTGTGCATCGAGGATCATAGATCTGCCACATTAATGATGCATTGAATAGGATAAAAGGACTAAAGCCAACAATATGGTTACTGTTGGGCGGTTATTTAAAGGCAATCGATTGTCTCCCATTATTTAAGCATAATAAAAAAGGGAGGGAATGTAACATTAAACTTTTACATTGAAATAAATTTATTTTTTAAATTGCAAGAATATAAGTATAACAAAAAAATGTATCTTTTGTTTTAAATTTTGGAAATGAGGATTCAATGTTGATTGTAATTTCAAAGCTTTTGGTTAATTAAAATTATTATGTATTTTGAAACAGAAATAATTTACTAGTTTTAGTATTGTTTAGCATAATAAACTTTAACCCAGCAATTTATCGGTGCTAAGGAAGAGTAAGGTATATTTGTTTGTGATCTGTCACAATACTCAAATCTCAGATGAATCATGTGAGTGGTAAAATAGAAATTATTTGATTAGTTCAGTCTCTTTAAAAAATAAAGTTTTATGATTGCTTTGATTTATCCACTAAAACACTAAAACCTTCATTAAACACTTGAAAATGCGAAAAAGAAAAAAAGATACCATACCAACGACAACCCAGACTAACGGGTTTCTCTTGACATCGAGTAAATCTTTCGCCTTTTACAAAAGATTTCCACATTATGATGAGGCCATAATTTCAAGTCTATCTACGACAAGATTATTTGAGTCAAAGACGACCTGAGTTTAGAGGCGTAGCGAGGGGGGGGGGGGACACGACATAAATTATGTCCCCGGGCGAAGACCTTAGGGGCGCCAAAATGGGTTGGAAAACAAATTGAAAGTTTGAGTGGGTTGCAAATCGAAAGTTTGAGGGGGGGGGAGGGTGCAAATCGAAAGTTTGTCCCCGGGCGCCGGGAAGGGTCGCTACGCCTCTGCTTGAGTTATCACTAGGTTGACATTTTTCTAACACAACAATGTCATATGCACATAAATGCAAAAGGGTTGCACCTACTTATGATCCCCCTTACTACTCTTTTTGTTTAAAAACTGCATGAGTTTAACCCCCCGCAGTGGTCAACCCCCATATGGTCAATCACACTATAGTCAAACATCCTATGGTCAAACATCAGATGGTCAAACATCCTATGGTCAAACATCCTATGGTCAAACCCCCTATGGTCAAACACCCTATGGTCAAACATCCTATGGTCAAACATCAGATGGTCAAACATCCTATGGTCAAACATCCTATGGTCAAACCCCCTATGGTCAAACACCCTATGGTCAAACATCCTATGGTCAAACATCCTATGGTCAAACATCCTATGGTCAAACATCCTATGGTCAAACATCCTATGGTCAAACCCCCTATGGTCAAACATCCTATGGTCAAACATCCTATGGTCAAACATCCTATGGTTAAACAACCTATGGTTAAACAACCTATGGTCCCTCGATTGTAGGAAATAAAGTCACAGGAAAAAAAGTCACAGGAAAAAAAGTCACAGGAAAAAAAGTCACAGGAAAAAAAAATTCATAAAAAACGTTTTAATAACAAGCTTTTATGTAATGATGCACTAAAAAGTAGAAAATAAATTATACACTACTATTTAAATTACTATAAAGAAAATCGTGGGTCACTTTAGTACTTTAGTACCTATTGGATACCTTTACTAATATTTGAGAAGAGACCCACGCTTTTCTTTATAGTAATTTAAATAGTAGTGTATAATTTATTTTCTACTTTTGAGTGCATCATTACATAAAAGCTTGTTATTAAAACGTTTTTTATGAATTTTTTTTTTACAAGCTTTTATTTAACTCACTTCCTCTGTCTGTCGTCAGTCGTCAGTCGTCAGTCTAGACCAGGGGTCTCCAAACTTTTCAGTCCGAGGGCCGCATTAACTATCAATTTTCAGTTCGGGGGCCAGTTTCTTCCAGGCATGTCTTTGACTTTTCTGGGCAAAGTTCCTCAGCCATCACCAACAAACGTTTTTTCCGTGGACAAAAGATATATATATATATATATATATATATATATATATATATATATATATATATATATATATAGGGGTGTGAGTCCATGGAAGGGGTTATAACCCCCCCTAACCCCCCTATACTTTTTTGTAGGGGGGTGACACCATTAGGTACCTCATCGGGTGACACCCTATCTTGCTACGTCACTGCTCTAGATCTGTATAAAAGAATTAGCCTAAACCCAATACCATGCCAAGGGCATCGTAACTATAGGGACCACATAATCAGGCAACTCATCAGCCACAAGCTCACATTACCTCTTCTTCTTCTTTCTTAAACTTAGTGTTGGAAAAGATTCCCTTCAAAACAATTAAGTATACAACTGGTTATGCGCCATTTAGGTTGTTGATTCCGATTTTAGCCTGTGTTTCTTTTTCGATTTGCTTCCATAGCCTTTGGGGCAAGTGAAGTAGAGTTCACTTGTTTCTGTGACCTCGGCATATGAAGACATAGTATGGTCAGCACTATGCCCAGCCGCCTTTACTTCCCCTAACCTGAGTTAGGTACACATCAGAGTTGGGTGGACTCAAGGACGGTCTACTAAATTGAACCGGGATTCGAACTCGAGACTTATGGGTTAGTAGTCCAGCTCTCTACCGCTAGACCACTCCATCAGCCTGTTTTCAACCAAGATTAAACTACAATGCAGCAGTTGTTTGATTTTTGAGTTGTCTTTCCTAGAAGAGTGGCTGTCCCCCAGCTATCGAGCCTCATCGGCCCGAGACACTACGTCTGAACTAGGGTACATTCGACACCTGGTACTTAAGCTTAGGTGCCTTGACGTCACCAAACTTCACAACACCGTCAAGACCCATTGACTATACACAAAGAAATTCACTAACTACGACAAGACAGGAATAGACGGAACCCTGAGATGGGAGTTACCCTATACTAAGCAACGAGACTCTCATAAGAACCATTCACTATGATTCACCATCATCCCCATACCAACAACCGAAATGTACCGTTTACACAGACAAGCCAACAACAATCTCACACTACATCACAATGAACTAAAAGACAAATCCATCACCATTCTCACAGCTTTACCAGGTAGGAAACAACCTTAGCAACACTGAGCATTCACACAACACTGCACAAACCACTGCAAGCGAGCACACCTAAGCTTACCTCAACCGATAACACCAGTACCATAAACAGACACTAACCCTTACGTGTTCATATTGTGAGGTTCCAGACTCCGACTTTACAACAAAGAAACATCTAAAAGCACACGTTAAAATCTGGCATCCAATGATCCAGGTAACAACGAAGTCGGAGCCTATTGAAGAAAATAACCAAACCAGCAAGTAACATCCATCTACAAAAACTATTCCAATACCATTACATTGTTTAGGAAATAACAATCTACGTCTAGAAAAAAAAACCTCGCAGCAAAATCAATGTTTTATGAAAATATTTTATCCTATGGAGCATATAAACTAACTTGATGCGAGTTGTTGTTTTTCTAGACGTGAATAGTAATAGCGTGTGTTATCTTTTTCACACGCGGTTCATTTCCATGGTAATCATGGCGGCGTCTTTAGACGTTGTTTCCTTGCTTCCGGCTTACCTCTTTGTTCGTGAGGCCTATACATTCGGGTGACCTATGACTCACAAGAGTATCCATGTCGCAAGTCTTAGCTCGGACCTGTCAACGACAGTTTGCCCGGTCCTACTCTTGTCATAGCGTGGCGGGTCGGGTGTCAAGTGTAGGCAGTGTTTCTTCCAGACTTTTTTCTCAGGGGGGGGGGGGCACTTGAAATCTTCGGAGGGGGCGGTAAACTTTCTTCGGGGGGGGGGGGGGCGGACACTGTTAAAAGTATATATTTTCTATATAAATTTCATTTCGTTCGGGGGGGGGGGGGGGGGGGCGGTAAGAAACTCTGAGTGTAGGCCTTAACTACATCACGGGACATGCTCTACGGACGAGCGAGTAGATCGATTTTTCCCAATAGCTCTTCTTAGCCCTTCTTCCCCCCCCCCTTTCATTGTTACTCCGGGGGGGGGGGGGAGGACACTGGTAAAAGTAGACCTATATGTTTTCTATATAAATTCCAAATTCCATTTCGTTCGGGGGGGGGGGGACGGACACTCGTAAAAGTAGACCTATATGTTTTCTAGATAAATTCCATTCCGTTCGGGGGTGGGGGGTTGACTTTCTTCTGGGAGAGCACGCCCCCCCCACACACACACACCGAAGAGATGTCTGAAAGAAACTCTGGATCCTAGTCCCCAAGCTGCCCCGGGACAAAGTTTACCGATATCCGTTCGAGCTCTATTTGGTGCAGATAGTTAAAATTAAAATACATAACACAGAACTTTTCATAATCATCTTTGCATCTTAATGATGTTTAAAAATATTTTGTGACTCTGCATGTCACTAGACAAAGGCTATCGTGGGAGCAAATTGATTAGGTTCACTTTTTATTTACGATACCATAATTATGTGCTTTTAGCAGCTTTCAACATTGTATTACGGAGATTTGAAATGATGCGGTGTATAGCAGTCTAATAAATCATATAGATGTAGTCGATCCAAGATTTAATTTGATGGAAACATGTACAGAGGCGAAAAGCCGTTTTTTTTTTTGTAACAAACCCGGATGGGTATTTTCAACGGAATAAAAAAAAAATAGTTTTTATTCCCTAGACCTATTTACACTGCTGTTACTTTTTAAATGTAAGGTGACATTTGTCTGAAAATTTGATGGACTACTTTTGTAGAAAAGAAATACATTACAATAATATAAAATTTTTAATTTTATAATAGATCATTTCTTATACTTTCAGTAATCGTTTTGTATATCAATTTATTTTTCGGTTCTTTTAGATTTCAGAGGGATTGCGGTAATTGGTTGAACCTAGGCAGTAGCAATAGTTAGGAATAAGCTAAGCTGTTATAAAATCCTAGTGTCTAGTATTCTTAGCTAGTTCTTGCTTGTGAAATCACTGAATATTTACAAATGCCGTAATCCTAAACATCTAAACTTATTACATCAGTAAGCCTCTTATATTGTAATAGTTCTAGATTCTAATTAGATCTATTGTTTTCGTCAGTTGTCGGACCCAGATGAAAAGCCCCAACAACACAGCTACAACTACAAAGTACTGACTGACTACACACTACTACACAGACTTCACAGTCCAGTGCCTACTCTCTACTGTTTACAATTTTGAATTTAATTAGCTTTATCGGCGCACTATTCGACTATTTATTTTATAGTCATATAAGTGGCTTGAAGTTAAAGGTTTGCCTATTTTTCATAGGCCTACAACTTTTGTAGGTTTTTTTTTCTGTACGCTATGGTGTGTGTTAGCAACTGTAGAACAATCACTGCTGCAGTCGATTTGTGTTTTTACAAAACCACTGGTCTATCAAGGTGCAAAAAATATAATTTTTTGTCAGATTTTTTTGCTTCCCTCCCTAAACGGCCTGCGTTATGTGTCAACGACGTTTCTAAACGTTTGTAGTCAGTAAGTAGATCTATATCCGCTGGTGTCTTTTGGTTGATATTTGATTTAATGTATCATAAAGGATGTCAACCAGAATATTATGTTGTCCTAATTCTTGGAATTTCTCTTCCAAAGTCTGTAGAGCACCTTACGGTCTCCGAACACTTTGTCGGTTTTTGGCTCATAGAAACTTTAATTAGCATGTCTCATGCGAAACCACAGTGCCTGCATGTAAACTGTTCATTTATGAACACTTCCGTGTCAAGTACTTCCGTTTTCTCTCTAAAGAATTATTTTTAGAAATTTTTTAATGTTGTATGGTACGCACATTTCTATTTTTACACAAGCCGGATGAAGTGACCTAGGGTTGGACTTAGGGGCAAAACTTGAACCAATCAACACTTAGCTAAAAGGTTATACTTTAAATAGCTTCTATATATGTATGGAACATCGTAAATGTCAAGGTTAATGGGTTTTTTTGTGCTTGAACAATGAAAAAGGGGTGGTCGCTAACTTTTTTGGCCTTACATTGGAGCGGACAGCAACACAAAAATATTATTAAATAATTATTAAATAAGAATTTAGAGCGTAAAAGGGGCCGGTTATTGAAGGGAAAGGGTCAAAATAAGGTCAAGAAGGCAGTGGAAGGCGAAAGAGGGGTGGAAATGATGTGACCTGGCTGGCTTAGCAGCGAACTGCGCGAGCCGTAATCTCCCTGGCTAACGAGGTTACTAATTCAATGTGAGAGAAAATAAAAGATCTACAAGCTCTATCAAAAATCAAAATTGCATGTGTTTTACTATGTCGCGTCATGCGCTAGAGCAATCACTAAATCAACATTAAAATTAAATAATGATCTGAAATTTTCAAAATCAAAAGATTTAGATTAAATATTATATTACCATAGGTGTTGCTAGGGGAGGGCGTGGGGAAGGGGAATGGCCACCACAGGCGCCGATCTAAAAAGGTCGCCAAACGTGATAGGTAGTAATATAAAGAGCTCATTACTGAATTATATACAGTCGAAATAACGAATGTTGACAGCTACCCCCCCCCCTCAGAAACCTCGGGAGTATTTTTATCAGCTCCCTAAAGTTTTATGGCACTCTAATAAACTGTCGAATCGCATACGACTTTCATTTTTTAAAATATACCCTGTATAGAGAAGAATTGCACCCTCCAGGCTCACCACCCTTGCAAAATTAAAAAAAGATTTTTTACAGAAACCTGCCCTGGAGTGTTCTAATCAACTCCCCAAAGTTTGATGGTTATCGGATGAATGGTGTAAAACCGCAGTCGACTTTTATTTTTGTATACCATATATAGAGAAAAAACAAATTAGCCCTTGCCGGGGCACAACCCTTGCAAGTTTGAAAATTATTTTTCCACAGATACCTCCCCAGGAGTATTCTCAAAAACTTCCCAAAGTTTCATGCCGATCGAATGAAAGGTGTAGTAATGCATAAAAGACAGACATCCAAAAAAACAAACGCACATACATTGCTTTCTATATATATATAGATAGATATTTATTATTTATTTATTAGGTTCTATCTAATAATGGCGATTTCACATTTTTGCGCCCAGTTCGCCTTATAGGTAGCGCCAGCCCTGGTTAGCCATATGGTACGACCAGGGTTGGGGTTAGGGACATGGTTAGCAATTGATATTAGCCAGCCATGTGTGTATTTAGTTAACCACCAGTAACCTAACACCTCTTTTTTAAAGAAGATTTCTTCGGACACGGCATAAAAACTCCCCCAAAAATATTTTTTTCTAACTTTTCTATATTTTGTGTGCATATGTTTCTAGAAATCTAGGCTAGAGTTATCAGAGTTTATCTAAGTTTCAGAATCTAATCAGCTAGGTTTAGAAAGCATGATAGTGCAAATGTTAGCAGATAATCTAGATCTTGTTTTCAACCCAATAAGTTCCTACTGTTGCAAGGATGATTTTTTTTCTATGCTTTTAAGGAAACTGCTAATCTAAGTAAAGTATTCTAAGGGGTCGGCCATAAATATTGTCACACTCGTAGGGGGAAGGGGGTCCGTAATTTTGTGATGGTGTGTGATGAGGGGAAGGGGGGGGTTCAGATTGTGTGACATCACACTTTTGCATTATAAAAAAGTTGATACGGATCTACAATTTTGATATAATACTTATATATGAAATTTCATCAACCTAGCTGTAATGGTACTCAAGTTATCATGTTTACACACACAGACATACGGACATAATTGCAAAACTATGGTTTTCCGACTCGGGGAGCCCAAAAAAGTCAAGATTTAAATATATTTTTTTTGCACGATTACAAGACTTCGTATATATAAAAAAGTAAAAAGCAATGTTAGAAAACGAATTTTAGCCGTTATTTCGCATTTTAAAAACTGTTTTAAATTGTAATAGGAATTGATTAAAATACTTTATGTTGACAGAGTTCAGACAAGATTTTGGAAAAATGTTGTGGCTAAATATATCAATATATTTATTTTTTTACTGAAAAGTTTTAATACAATTGTTTGAAAACAGGTACATTAATGAAACTTTGAAACATTTTTGTAACTTTCAAAACATAAATCCTCCTAAAAATGTGGACTAATGACTAAAATTTAATGAGTCACCTTTTTTTCACTTTACTAGTCTTGGCCAATTTTACGTACCTAAAAGGATAGATTACTGAAATGACTATGCATACTAATTGATACCTCAAATCTGCATCCTTACTTTTGCTAAGATTTAGATCTAATAGAAGCATAGTTTCTCCCATAGTTATATTTTAACTTTCAAAACATAAATCCTCCTAAAAATGTGGACTAATGACTAAAATTTAATGAGTCACCTTTTTTTCACTTTACTAGTCTTGGCCAATTTTACGTACCTAAAAGGATAGATTACTGAAATGACTATGCATACTAATTGATACCTCAAATCTGCATCCTTACTTTTGCTAAGATTTAGATCTAATAGAAGCATAGTTTCTCCCATAGTTATATTTTAAATGAAAAAAATTATCTTAAAAAAACTTCAAAGGCCACATTTTATTTGATTAACCTGCTTAATTTTATAAATTTAGTTCAAAGTATTGCCTTATTAATATTACCAATATATTCACTGTATCAAAAATTTAGGTTTATGATTAAAATATTTTCCTTATTAGTTAAACCTGTCTTTCTTTATTCTAAAATTATTATTTCTAAAATTCAAGTGGGGCTAATAAGAGAGTAGCTCTTTAAGTTAACTCTTTCTTTGCAACTAAATTACATCACTATCTTATTTTGAAGTTATTTCTGTTAACCCTAATTGTCTGATATTGTTGTTTTATGCTTTCAATGAATTTTCTAAAGAAATATGGCTTTTTCTTTTTAAAACAATCTAAACATATTATTTGTTTTTTCAGGTTGCTCTAGTTTTAACCCCGTATTATAATAAAATTACCAATCCAATCAAAAAATAAAATGGGAGTCCCTAAGTTCTACAGATGGATTAGTGAGCGCTATCCTTGTTTAAGTGAAGTTGTGAAGGAATTTCAGGTTTGTTGAATCTTTTGTTGGCGTTTCACATTCAAGACTAAAAGATAATAATGATGTTGTCTGTTTAGAGTTATAGAGGTATAGGGATGTTATTGTGTTCTAAATTAGATTTACTACAATAACTATTATGAATTAAACTTTATTTAAATTAGCAGAAGTAATCATAGGTAGGTATCACATTAGTATATGTTTAAATCAAAAGATATAAGGTTATTAAACGTTAACATCCCTGAGTCCACCCAACTTAGGTGGGTACTGGCTTTAATTGGAGGAAAAATTGTTATTAGCACTGACAATGGTCCATTTTGTTTTTAAGTTGTATGTGCAGAAGTTGAAGAAAGAGATGTTTCACTACATTTACCAAATAGACAGCTATGTCTTAAGGGGTCATCCATAAATAACGTCACACTCGTAGGGGGGAGGTGGGTCTGTAATTTTTTGATGATGTGTGTGGGGGGGGGGGGGGTGGTTCAGATGTTGCGACGTCACATTTTTGCATTATAAAAAAAGCAATGTTAGAAAACGAATTTTAGACGTTATTTCGCATTTTAGATAACTGTTTTAATAAATTGTAATAGTTTAGACAAGATTTTAGAAAAATATCGATGTTTTAAAAAAAATTCAACTGCAATTTTGAGGGTGGGTTGTAGGTTGAGGTGTGACGTCATTTTAGGGGGGGGGGTCTGGCTTTTTGTGACGACGTGTAACGGAGGGGAGGGGGGGTAAAAATCGTCCAAAAAAGCATGAGGTCATTTATGGATGACCTCTAAAGGGACATATTTATGAAATGAAAAATATAATGATAGAAGCCAAGCACTGCATGTTGTTTTAATAGAATGTTATTTTTTGTAGCTGCCAGAGTTTGATAACTTGTACCTCGACATGAATGGAATTATTCACGTGTGCTCTCATCCTGATGATGAAAACCCTCACTTTAGGATTACAGAAGAGAAAATATTTAAAGACATCTGCCATTACATTGATGTGAGTTGATCAAACTTCACAAAAAAATATCTAATAATTTCTTTTAAAGTTTGTACTATTTTGTATTAGACATTTATTATGTTTAAGTCATGTCAAGTTAGGCGATATATCAATACTTTACAATTAAGAAGTATAATTAAAAAAATTAATGCCTATTATATAACTATTTTAAATTAAGTTCAACTAAGGTGAAGATTTTCTATGCACCTTAATAATTTTCTGTTTCAGTTTTTGTTCCGCATGATAAAACCAAGGAAAGTGTTTTTCATGGCTGTTGATGGGGTTGCACCCCGTGCAAAAATGAACCAGCAAAGAGGGCGAAGATTCAGGTCCTTAAAGTTTTAAATGGTTTTTTCTAGATTAGTGTTTATTTTCAGTTAGGGCTTAAGTAATTTACTTCAAATGTGGTTTATATTAGTGCAGGAAATCAAAGACATTTTTTTAATTTATTAAACAGTTTATAAGTTAATACTGAACAAAACATAAGTTAGCTGATTAAACTTAGTTAATGAAAAATTTGTTCTGTAGTTTTGGTAGATAGGGCAGTCTCTCATTGTGGCAATCTATTTCTATAAAATCAAAGAAAATGGTGGCAGTTTAATGATGATTTAAATTTTTAAAATTAGTTGCTCGGAAATATACATGCTGCGGGTTTATAGTATTTAACATTAAATTTTCAGTCCTTTCATCAATATCCTAGTTGTTCAATTATTTTTTAATTAGTTAAAAAAATATTCGGCTGTGCTTTTGTTCGCCCCTTATGTTGTTTGTAAAATTCAGATCGGCAAAAGAAGCTGAACTGCTAATTCAGAAAGCACAAGAGAAGGGAGAAGTGTTGCCTACAGAAAAACGTTTTGATTCCAACTGCATCACACCTGGTAAGTAGCGTAACCTTTTTGTATTGACTATTTTCTTAAATAAATAAAAGAAATAATAATCAAAACAAAATATTCACACTTTTCATGAAGATCTTGTAACATTCTGTTTTGTTCAATAAAATAGATTATGCCCTTTTGATTATCAGGTCTTATTTGATTTTAAGACACTTTCTGCTGGCTGTTTTTCATTCATTAAATGTGTGTTTTGTGTCTGTACTACTTTATAAAATATTACTGTATCTATAAATTACTTGTAAAATTAGAAAAATAATAGTTCCTTGAAAACATTGTTTTTTTATTATTTCTTTAGGAACACCATTCATGGTGCGATTACAAGAACATTTGAAATATTTTGTTGTTGACAAAATCTCACATGATCCTCTGTGGCAGGGTCCCAAAATTTATTTATCTGGCCATGAAGTAAGATTTTAAAACTCATTTTTAGATAATAACAATGATTTATCCTTGTTAAATTAAATACCTAGGTGTAACTGGTGCAGTAACCAAATTCAGGCAACCTGTATTTAATGTAAACAGTTAAATACCCTGTTAATCTAGTGATAATTTTAATAGTTATAAAAAAATTCCTCATAATTTTTTATGCTACTTTGAAACATTTTCTTCTTCCAAGTAATATATTGTAGAAAATGTTATGGAAAATGAAAATTTGTGTAAGGACTTTAATTTAAAATTTACAATTCATAGTTTTTGTGTTTCCCAACATGGAAATAAATGCACAAAGCATTAGTTTTTTTATAAATTCAGGAACATCATTAAATGCTATTATTTTAAGGCTGTGGCTGATCAAGGTTTTTAAATTTCAGACCCCAGGAGAAGGAGAACACAAAGTCATGGATTTCATCCGTTATTCAAAAAGTCAGGGAAATCATGATCCAGATACAAGACATTGTTTATATGGTCTTGATGCTGATTTGGTTAGTTTTTGTGTTTTTTTATGTTCAAACCTGTTGTTCATGGGCAGATAAAATAGAGTTCACCTATGTCCAGCCACCTTAACTTTCTGGGTCCTAATGGGTGAATTCAGGTACATCCTACAAACTCCATCCTCGGATATGAACTCAAAAACTTTTTTTTTTTAGTAATTAATTCTACCATCTGACTATGCCATTCTGTTTGAAATTTAAAATTTATTAAATGCTGGTTAATTTTTTAATATTGTTATTAGAGTATATTATGATGATTGTTTTTTTTTTTTAATCTTTTTCATTATTTTGTTATATTTCTTATAGATAATGTTAGGACTTACAAGCCATGAACCCCACTTTTCTTTACTACGAGAGGAGGTTAGGTTTGGTGGGAGAAAAGATAAAAACAAACGGTAACTATTTATCATCTGTAGTACTGTTCATTATAGCAACACTGCTTGACTTGTTTAAACATTTAATGTTTTTGTGTCTCAACTAAATGTATTTTAATATCTCTAGTCCTGTGACGCCAGAGGAAACTACATTTCATCTTCTTCATCTGTCCTTAATGAGAGATTATTTGTAGTACTGTTCATTTTAGCAACACTATTTGACTTGTTTAAACATTTAATGTTTTTGTGTCTCAACTAAATGTATTTTAATATCTCTAGTCCTGTGACGCCGGAGGAAACTACATTTCATCTTCTTCATCTGTCCTTAATGAGAGATTATTTGGCTTATGAATTTTCTGATTTGAAGGTACTACAGCAGTTATGAAGTTTAAATTCTTAAAACATTTTTTAAAGCTTATTTTGTCAAAAATTTGGTTAATAATAATAATAACAGAAAAAGTGTTCTTTTTTTTTTAACAAATTATTTCTTTCTTTTCCAAATGAAGGATAAACTGTCTTTTCCCTGGGATCTTGAAAAGATTATTGATGATTGGATACTAATGGGCTTTCTTGTGGGGAATGACTTTATACCTCATTTACCACATTTGCATATTCATCAAGATGCTCTGCCTTTGTTGTGGAAAACCTACATGAAAGTATTACCACAGTTAGATGGTAGGTTTTATTTACAAATAGTACCAATATCTCAAGTTCTTTATGTATACCACTAAGTGTATTCTTTACCTGACTATATTATGACTAATAAATGATTAGGGTTCAGTTTTCAGTACAATTCATTTTACAGTAATCCCTCATTATTATTTATACCATTTATTACATTATTTTCTGAATGTATAATGTTTCTTCTTGTTGAACATATTCAAATAGGTACATTTTAGATTTGTAACAATTTTCATATTATTTCACTATGCAGGCTACATTAATGAGGCAGGGCGTCTTAACTTACCCAGATTTGAAAAATACATGATGGAACTATCTAAGGTTTGTAGACAGTTATTTTAGGCAGGTCTTTAAAGAGTTAACATCAGTTGACTTCACAAGATGAATTATTAATTCAATACTTGTTTTTTAACAATGTTAAAAGCACTAACTCTTAGCAGTTTTGATAGTGGAATTTTTTCTCAGTTTGATAAAGATAAATATCATAGTGCTTTCATTGACTCTCCTAATAAGTGAATTGATTTTTCAGTATGATCAAAATACATTTGAAAGTGCTTTAAGTGACTCCAATAATAAGTGAATTGATTTTTCAGTTTGATAAAGATAAATTTCGCAGCGCATTCAGTGACTCCCTAATAAGTGAATTGATTTTTCAGTATGATCAAAATGCATTTGAGAGTGCTTTTATTGACTCTCCTAATAAGTGAATTGATTTTTCAGTACGATGAAGATACATTTGAGAGTGCTTTCAGTGACCTCAGTTATTTAGAAAGTAAACTTGGTGGGAAAACTATCAATGAGAGTGTTGGTGCAAGCAGACAGAAAGCTAAGATGAAAAAACTGAAACCTGTGAGTTTTTCTTTAAGTGTTTTTGTTTATGTCACTGGTATAGATTTTTTCTGTCATCTGTTTGAGTTGCATGTCAACATTACATCAATATCCTTCTTGTTGCCGCCCAGAATAAAACCTATCATCTGTATTATTTTAATATTAATTAAATTAATTATTAATATTTTTAACTTGGATATTTTGTATGTGGAAGCTGTGTAAATGATTTTTTTAATTGAAATAATTAGCTAAGGAATGCTGAATAAACGAGTTTATTATAGTCATCTGAAAAAAACACAATTTACAGTTCTTATTTTTTTTATACTCCTTAGTTTAAAGTTAAAAAAGATGGCAATCCTTTCTTGGCTCTTGAAGATGAAAGTACTAACAATGGTGGGTTGATATTTTGTGTTACATTTTTATTTTACTGATATTATATATTTTTTTTAAATTCCTTTATTAATCAATTATTGAAAAATGTTTTGTTTACTTCAGAGATATAAAAATAACTTGTTTGTTTTTTTAAAAGACATTATTGCAGATATTATTGATAGCAGTGATAATTCAGATGATGATGACGATGATGATGAATTTGATTATGATGAGTATGACGACGATGATGATGATGATGAAGAAGAAGATTACAATACAATTGGTGATGAGTTTAAACTTCACAAGCGCAACTACTACATGGATAAAATGTCATACTCTGAAGTAACACAGTGAGTTTCATTTTTGCTAAAGCACTGCTTTTTCAGAATTTATCTTGCATGTATGCCTACTTTGTTATATGTAATAACCAAATTGTTTTTGGTTTAGAAGATGTGCATTTCCTGTAGTACAACTTTTCCTGGGTTAAAAAGTAGTTTCATATGCTGAAAAGTATTAAATATTTAGTAATTTAGTATAATTTGAATTTATCTTTTGTCTATTCATATTTTTTTGTGTTACAATTTGTATGTAATTTAAATTACTTAATTCTAGCGATGTTTTGAAAGATCAGGCACATGGTTATGTTATTGCCATCCAGTGGATTTTGCTGTATTACTTTGAAGGCTGCCCATCTTGGAGCTGGTGAGTATTGATTGATAGATGGGGTTGGTGTGGTTGAGTTGGTAAAGCTCATGGTTGCTAAACCAAAAAGTCTCGAGTCCGAACCCTCGGGCAGATGAGGCTCATGAGCAAGGGACAGCCACTCTTCTAGGAGAGACAACTCCAAAATCAAACAGCTGCTGCTTTGTAGTTTGTGCTTAGTTAGACAAAGGCTATGGAAGCAAATCCAAAAAGAAAAGCAGGATGAAATCGGAGTCAACAACCTAAATGGCGCATAACTAGTTGACATGTATACTTAATTGTGTAGGAGGGGATCCCTTCCAACACTAAAATTAAGAATGAAGAAGAAGTTTGATAGATACAATCACAGTTTTTGGCATAAAACCATAATATTCTTTAATAAATAACAACTAAAATATGTATTCAAATTTTTCTTAAAAGTAAATTAATATCATGTAAAAGTTTATTAAATAGTTTTGTAATTGTAAAATTTGATTAGTCTTGAAAAAAAAATTTAAATTTCCCTGTAAAACATTTTGAGATATTTTGTAATTTAAAAAAAAATTGAATCATTTGTAAAACCTTCATGTTACTGGCTTGTCTATAAGTCTTTAACCTAGTCAGTTGGAAAGATGGTGCAACGGTTTACTACATTTGGACTTCTTTCATGGATGACTTGCTTAATGACAGTTTAGAATATAAATTATGTACCCATACTTTAGTCAACACTTGCTCTGCTAGTGCTTCTTGCTACATTTTACTATAAGGATCATATAACAAACACAAATTTAATATTTGTTTTGTCACCATTGACAACACTGAGTTGTGTTGTGATTTACAGGTTCTCCTTATATAACAAGTTGTGTTTAATTTTTGTTTCAGGCTCTACCCCCACCACTATGCTCTCTATAAAACAAGTTGTGTTTAACTTTTGTCACAGGTTCTACCCCCACCACTACGCTCCCTATAAAACTAGTTGTGTTTAATTTTTATTACAGGTTCTACCCCCACCACTATGCTCCTTACATCAGTGATGTTAGAAACTTCAGCGACATGGTGATCACATTTGATTTGTCCACACCCTTCCTGCCCTTCCAGCAGCTCATGGCAGTCTTGCCTGCTGCCAGCAAAGATTTACTGCCACCAGCACTTCAGGTAGGTGGTCAATACAATACTTGGTACTTTGTGTAGCAAAGATTTACTGCCACCAGCACTGCAGGTAGGTGGTCAATACAATACTTGGTACTATGTGTAGCAAAGATTTACTGCCACCAGCACTTCAGGTAGGTGGTCAATACAATACTTGGTACTGTGTGTATGGTACTGTGTGTAGCAAAGATTTACTGCCACCAGCACTTCAGGTAGGTGGTCAATACAATACTTGGTACTGTGTGTAGCAAAGATTTACTGCCACCAGCACTGCAGGTAGGTGGTCAATACAATACTTGGTACTGTGTGTAGCAAAGATTTACTGCCACCAGCACTTCAGGTAGGTGGTCAATACAATACTTGGTACTATATGTAGCAAAGATTTACTGCCACCAGCACTTCAGGTAGGTGGTCAATACAATACTTGGTACTATGTGTAGCAAAGATTTACTGCCACCAGCACTGCTGGGTGGACTTAGAGATCTCCTGCAGAGATCCGAACTAAACATTTTTGGGCTAGCAGCCGAACACTCTGCATATATAGAAATGTTATTGCCTGTACTATGCCCAAACACATTTAATTTTGCCAGACTCATCTTTTACTCATCAAAGCTCCAAAAATTTGTGGGTGTAAAAATATTACACTCCATTAAAGAAAACAACTTATCATGCAGAAATTAAAAAAAAACAAAAAAAACAAGAATTTCACTTTAACTATTTTGTTGCAATTATAATTTTTTTTTTTATTTATAATATTACTTAGACTATGTTAACCTAGGGAAATAAGTAGTTTAGTTAATTGAGATACTTTTGTACTTTGTATTTACCATTGATGAGTTCAAATTTTTTTACAGCCTTTAATGACTGAGCCAAGCTCACCCATCATAGATTTTTACCCCGTCAACTTTGAGACTGACTTGAATGGTAAACAACAGGACTGGGAAGCAGTGGTTCTCATACCATTCATAGAGGAGGTACAATTTTGGCTCATAATTTGTGTTCTTTAAAATACCAAAGAATAATTTGCAATTCTTTGAATTAAAACTGCCTAAAAAGTTTACAAGATAATTTTTATTTAAAAAAAATAAAAAATTGGGTGGGGAGGGGTGTATTTAAATGAGTCACAAAGGTAGACCATGATGTGTATTGTTCACAGAGAAGATTGCTGGAGGCTATGGCCAGTAAGGATCATCTTTTAACAAAGGAAGAGAAGGACAGGAACCAACATGGCCCCCACATGTTGTATCAGTACACTCAGGAGAACCAGGGCCTTTACAAATCTTCTTTGCCAGGAGTTTTTCCAGATATACATTACAACAGAGCCAAGTTAGTTTTTTTTATTAGTATAATTTTTGTGAGGAAATTGCACTACCCTGTTTAAAATATATAAAAACTGAGCATAAATAATTATCTATCATAGATAAAATTATATCTATACATGATTTTTTCTGAGACCAACTCTGGATAACTTAATTAAAAAACACCTTGAGGGTAAATGTCTCAAAAGTGATAAAACTGCCTTGCTGTGCACTCTCACTTATGATATTGTTACTTATGATATTGATATTTAGTATTACTACAGTTTTTCTTGATTTAAATTTTCTTTTTTTTTTCAATTCTGAACAGAATATCAAAACTGGACAAAAACCTGTTCAACATAGATGCAAACTGTCTGCGAAAAGGTCTTCTGGACACTGTTAGATTGCATGTTTACTTCCCAGGGTTTCCCAAGCTGCGATTTATACCTCACACTGTAAGGACATTTCATCATACTCTCTTGGTCTACATAGAATATTATATATTATCAATTTTTAAAATAAGTGTTCTTTTTTATTTACGGGTGCTGAAAGTTATTTTGTTAATACCTTGGTGAAACATTTATAAACTGTTCATGTACTTTTATTTTTAAAATTGTTAAAAGTGTCCAGTGCTAAGTTTACCATTAGCCTTATAACTGATTCTATTCTTTTTTTTATTTTTGTAGCATGAGCTTGCTAAATGTGGGTGTAAAGTCTTTCAACATAACAGTCGAGGTGAAAATATGCTTCTTAGGATCCAGTTTCAAGAAGGAGTTGTAAGTTTTCTATTTGTACTCACGTCTGTGGCTGTTGTTTTAGTTACTTTCACCGTGTAATAAGAAATACAATTTTTTTGTAGAGGCTGGAAGAGGTTGCTGATGAACTTCTTGGCAATGTAACATATGTTGGTTGGCCACATCTTCATGAAGCAAGAGTTGTTGCTGTTGCTAATGAATCCTTTAAGTAAGTTCGTTTGACCTTTATGTCGTTGTTTACTTTTGAGTAAAATTATCAGATTTAGAATTTTATAAATTAAAGCAAATTGAAGTAAAAAAAATGTGTTTTTTTTAAAAAATATTACTGTTCTTTTAGTCATTAAAACATTTTTTTTTAATTTCCACAATTTTGCTAAATAAGATTAAATAAACACTACTGAGTATTAATTTAATATATTTTTTATTCTGTTAAAAATAAAAGGTTAATATATCTAAAATGTTTTGACAGTAACAGTTAATATCTTTATTAATTTGTTTATGAAATGCTCAACCTGCAATTTCTTTTCCAATTAATGAATATTTTTTTCCCCCAAATAGGATAGAACTGTTGGAAGAAAATGGGACAAAAGGCTCGAGCCAAGCTGTTTCCTACAACAGGAAAAAACTGAGAGATGACGAAGCTGGTGTTGTTGCCAAGGAAGCTATGGCCATTAAAGAAAGGTGGAACTAGTTGGGTTTAAAGATTTCTAATGAAACCATTTAAAGTTCAAAATTAAGTATTTAAAGAAATTTTAATTTCTCATTATTATTAGTTCAAAAAAATCACTCACAGTGTTGTTATCAAGTGTATTTCTTTTTTTTTCTATGACTCACTTCTAAAATTATATTACAGGCATAAAGATCGGTTTGCTATAGATGTAGGAAATACTGAAATAGTTATTTATGCTTCTCCCATGACAGGAAAAATGTGAGTAGTTATAAACTCTAATTAAACAAGTTAATTTTAACATAGATTTAGATGTTTAGTATTCACCTGTTGTTTTTTTATTGTCTGTACAGATTATTGCTATTTGCATAACTATTTGTGTTGTCTCTTAAAACTTGCAGGTACACTTTTAACTCCAATGGTACTGTCACACTGAAGAAACAGTTTGCATCAGCTGCTGTTCCATACTTGCATCAAATGTCCATCAAGGTTAGCTATGATGAGTTACTTATTTTTGTTTACTTATGTCAAATTTAAAAAAATATAAAATGAAAGAAAGCTTTATATTAATTTATAATGTGAACTTAAAATTGTTTAATGCATCATTAAGTATAAACATGATAGTAATAATGTTATATATATATATCATCAGGACCTTGATGTGGAAGACTCGCCGGATGAGGTTTTAAAAACATTGGAAGAAGTCTTTCCTAAAGGATGTGACATTTTCATGACAGGGAACCCTCATTATGGTGCTCAGGGCAAGGTAGAGTTTCCTTGATATATTTTAGCAATTTAATCATTGTTCAATAAGATTGTTGAATTGTGGTTGGAAATTTTTAAAGTTTTTAATTTTTTATATTTTTTTTTGTTAACAATTTTAGGTGCTGGAGATTCTTGGTGATCAAAACCGGATAAGGATAGCCATAGATGTAAAAGAGGAGCCAGATTTTAGGCATATGAGTAGTTCTGTGAGTATCACACGACAATAAAGAAATATTTAAATACTTTTATTAGTGTGTGGTTCTGGCTGATCTGCTCTGAGCTTCTCCTAATCTTATGTGTTCTTGCTATCTACAAACATGACGCTATTCAACCTTACTTTATTTATTTTTTAAACTTCTAAAATACGCTATCAAGATGTTTTTTATTCGGTTTTCATTTCTGTCAATTCATATTTCATTATTACATCCAGTCCATGCATGAAAGATATTTCAACAACTACCAAGCTGCGCAGCAAATAGGCATTGATGGCCACATAATGGCTAGAATTACTGGCTCCATCTTCATAGAGAAATCTGGCGTCAATGGGGGGAAGGCAAACATTGGACTTAATCTCAAATTCACAAAGAAAGGGGAGGAGGTTCCAGGTTACACTAAGAAGTTGGATGACGGTTGGGGATACAGTTTTAAATGCATTAAAACTGTAGAGGATTATATCAACAGGTAAGAGGGTTTTTTTTAACCACTTTAGATTTTAATAATTTAATTAATTAATGCTGAATAAAAGTTTAAAACATCAACCAAAGTCAAGAATGGTATGTGTCCTATCACAGCATCTGGCAATTTTTTCATTTCCAGTTTATTGAATTTACCTAATATGTTTCTGGTTACTCATCTATATTTAAAGTTTAACTTAAAAATTACGTCTACCATTCAGTGTAACATAACTGATGTGTTTATGATTTACAATATACCCACAGCTTCCCTGACCTATGGCTGACTGTTCAACAGAATAAAAGTAACAATGATGTTTTCTCTGAGGCTCTACTGTTCCCTGAGCATGGGTAAGCTTAAGTTGTTACTTCAAATATCTTTTATCCTTTATTTTAAAAATTTAGTGTTACATTTATTAATTAAAGATTTACTAAATTGTATTAAAAAACAAGAAGTAAATTATTTTTAAACCTATTTTAAAATAGTCAGAATAAACAACTAGAAGAACACAATTTTAAAAAGAAAATAAAACATTTTTGTGAATGGTTTCTTATTGAAAGGATTAATTCAACAAAATTATTTGAGCTATAAAAACTATTTGTTTCTCAATTTTTCAGTAAGTCCAAGCTGAAAGATGTGCTCAAATACCTTGAAGAACTGCCGTGTACTAAAGCCCCTCGCATGAAGTTTGGTTCAGAAATACTTGATGAGGACAGGGTGAAAGAAATTGAGACTATGGTTGTAAGTGCAGATTTTTGTTAGAATTGAGTACAAATTAACCATTTACATTTTTTTTTTAAACTGGTTAAATTATGTACAAACAAAGAATTATTTCTGTCATAAATTATTTTATGTTATCAAATATAGTTTCATTAAATGCAGATAAAGTTTACTTAATTGTTAAAAGTCTATGTATTTTACATGATAGTCTGTTTCTTTTACTATTTTACAAAACAAGGTCATGTGCATCACCTTATTTGTTAACTGATGCATTAATATTTTTTTATTATTTCAAAATTAATTTGATGTTTATTTTTATTGTTCTTGTGCCCACTTTTTATAAATGGTAATATTAACATTCAAAATGTTTTCATCAACTTTCATTCAACACTGTTAATCATAAATAGGACATTGCTATCTACTTTTCTACCTTTTAACATAGATTCTGGGGGAATTTTAATTTACCATTTATAAAAAGTTGTTCTTAAACAAATTCATCAGTGTCTTGCTATGCCATTTGTGTAGTCATTTTTCTTCAATCTCCCAAAGGATGGACTAAACAAGGTGCCTGACACTGTTAAAATGAAAGTCAAAGCAAGATTATTGTTTAGGGTAAGCAGAGGTTTATTAAGCTTAAAATTTAATTTGGTTTATCTGAATATTATTAAAGTTGAAAATTACAAACAAAATAATTACAAATTTGTTGTTCTAGAAGTCATTAATGCTTTACAAATTATTGTTGAGATTTGTTTTTTTCATTTATTAAGTAATTATATGTTATGAAGCATTTTATTTAATTTTTCTTTTGAAGTTTTGTCTTTTATTTTCTCCACATATTTTTAGCCTTTAGCCAACCAAGGCACTTTGGTGCCTGATCCTGATGCTGACTTCTATTTGTATGACAGAATTGTTGTGGTCAAGGCAGGCTATTCTGTACCTTTTGGTAAAAGGGGAACAATCATTGGTATACCTGAAGCAGGGGAAGGAATTACACCTCATAGTTTATATGATGTTGTCTTTGATGAAGCATTTACAGGAGGGATAACTCTCAGGTATAAACTTTTTAAAAATGATTTGTTTGTACTTTTACTTATTCTTTTGGAGCAAGATGCTTCTGCCACACTTCACTATTGGACTCAGTGTTGGGCAGCTCTCTCTCTATATTTTAGCCCAATAAGTCCGGCAGCTCCTTGTGTATTACAAAACAAAATTGAAACATCTCATACCACAAACTTGATTAATTTTTTTGTATCTCTCGTTTTGAAAACTGAACATGTTTGTGAAGAAAATATATTTGCTTGAAAAATTAATATTAGTGGCTTTGATATTTTAGTTTTTAAAAAATTCTGGAAATAAACTGTATTTTGGTGATAGTTTTCTTTGCCATATTTACTGTTTGGGTTTAAAGCAGGTTTCTAGTAAAGATATATTCAGTAAGGCATTGCAGCCTCTTTTTGAATATCACAGATTTTTGTTTCTACCATGATACTAAAATGAAAGATACTAAATAAAAGATTTATTCATTCTATGTTATAAAGTATGAAGAACGAGTGTGGCTATGATTAAATGGATTACTCAAAAGTCGATACAATGCCTTTTTAAAATTGCACCAACTCCACATTAAATAATTTAGACAATTCAATTAGGTTTGAAGTAAAATACTGGTGTCTTCTAAATGTAGATGTTTAGAAAAGAAAGCAATTCAATTTAAAATTAACTGGAAGTTTTGTATTTTTGAAAATGAACACATATTTTAAAACCAACTGATGTATTTTTTTTTTTTTTTTGCAGGTGTTCTGAAAACAAAGGCTACAGAGTGCCAGGATCTGCCATGTTGAATCTTACATTTGGAGAGTTTAGGAAAAATGTTGGCATGGATAAAAAATCTAGTAGGAACAGTGCTAGGTAAGCTTGACTTTCCCATTTTCACATTAATAAGTCTTCGGTGGTTATTTTCCTAAAACTTTGCAATTGGCATAATTTCATTTTAAAAAATTAAAAATGTTATTCCATATAATTTGCAGAATTAGTAATTGTAATGGGATTTTCAAAATGTAAACGTTTGTTTATTTAAAAAAAAATTTGAAGACTATGTATATAAACAATAGTTGTCGTTTTTAGGAAAATAAATTTTGTGCTTTGATTTGTTTTACTTAAAAGTCAGTAAAATGAAAAGGTAATTCTGTCACACAATTCCAAGAATTAACTGTCATTGTAATTTCCCTTAATTTTACTTTCAATTTATCAGAGAGTACTTTATTTACTTTGGAATAAACATCTATGGATGTAAACATATGTTATATTGTAGGCATATACAAATACTTGGTATGTGAAGAAAGATAGTGAAACTATTATACAGAGTTGTACAATTGTATTATTTCTTAAATCCACCATTGTATACTTGACCAGCCAGTGTTAAATCCCTTTGTTTATATTTTCAACATTTAAAGCCAAGGTGAATTTTGTTAAATGCTAACAGTTATGTACATTTTAATTAAGCTTCCCTTCATGTGCAGCTCTGATAGGGTGGACTGCTGACTCTGGTTTATTGCACGGCTTTAGGTGTTTTGTTTTGTCATTATAGTTAAAGTAAATCTTAGCTCTCCAATAAATAACCAATATGGCTGAGAAATGTAAAAGATTCTTATTTCTGTTACGTCTGTTTTTTTTATACAACAAGAGAGAGAGAGAAATTTAAATATTTAAAATTTCTGTCTGCCCTGCTAACTAAAAACCTCTGTGTTACATGTCATCTGAGTGTAAGATAAAAATTGTTTTAGAACCCTTGTGCTACATATCATTGAAGTGTTTTAGAAACTCAGGGATAATGTGTTAGTGAGTTGAGTTTACCCAATTGTGATTATATTTCCTTTGTTAAAATTATCCTGTAAAAAGAGATGTCTGTGATACTGAGACTGATGTTGGTATTGGTAGAGCTAGCAAAATAAACAATAGTGTTGGGTAATATTTTTTGTGTGTTTAGGTTCAGATATGGAGGGGAGCTTTGAATGAACATGCCTGTGATGTGTCACAACAAAAGGAGGTTTTATTGTGTAGTTGTGTGGATGAAAAGGTTAATAACAACAATAACAATAGTAAATTACTGATTGTTTTATGAAACAGTACAATGCACTGAGCTGAGTTTCAACTTTCAGTGTTAAAATTAGTTTTGTTTGCCCATTTACATACCTGATCACATCTGGGTATATTTTTTTTCTGGGAATTTGTTATTGGTTCATGCTTCTAATTCTTCGTTCTTAATGTTGGATGGGATTTCCTGCAACACAGTTAAGTATTTCATGTGCATATGTTTTACACATATAGGCCATTGATTCTACTTGGACCTGCTTTTTTTTATGGATTAGCTTCCATCTAATTTGTGCATCCAAGAACAAACTACTAGGCAGCAGTTGTTTTATTTTGGAGTTCTCTCTCTTGATGGGTTGCTTTCCCCAGCTATTGGGCTTTATCTGTCTGGGTGTTCGAACTCAAGACTTTGGTTTAACAACAATAAGTTTTATCATTCCGACTATGCCGACCCCTTATTCCTGCTTTTAAATTTTTTCCTGAACCAAGTAGTTGACTTTGTTTAGCATTTGATTAAAATGTTATTGTTTTAACATTTTATATAGCTTAAAGTGTGCTTAAGTAAAAAAAAAATAACAGCCGAAATTTTTATTTATAATTTGTTTCTTATCCAATTTTTTTCCCCTATACGTAATAGTTATATACGTACTAGTTGTTTGTGTGGAGGGGGTTTGAGGTAACTTGTTTTTGAGGTTATTGTCTTGAATTTTTTTTTTTTTCAAAGTAATCAACTATATCTGTGAAACATGATCTTTTCTTGTCTTACTAAAAAGAAAAATTATAAAAACAAAAATAGTTTTTATGTTTACTGTCCCAGAGGTTCTTAACCTTTTTGGATGTACCAAACCCCACCATTTTCAAATGCGCATTCACCGAACCCTTCTTAATGGTTCTATCGTACACACAAAATCCATTTGTATGAGTTGGGCGTGTGTCTTGACTTCTGCCGTACTGACTCGCCACACTCCTGGGGTTCGACTGAACCCAGGTTGAGAACCATTGATGTTACCAGTGAAAATGTTTGTTTCAGGATGCATCAGAGTCACTCCCATGACCGCAGTTCAGCGTCACCACACTCACCACACTCCTGGGGTTCGACTGAACCCAGGTTGAGAACCATTGATGTTACCAGTGAAATGTTTGTTTCAGGATGCATCAGAGTCACTCCCATGACCGCAGTTCAGCGTCACCACACTCACCACACTCCTGGGGTTCGACTGAACCCAGGTTGAGAACCATTGATGTTACCAGTGAAAATGTTTGTTTCAGGATGCATCAGAGTCACTCCCATGACCGCAGTTCAGCGTCACCACACTCACCACACTCCTGGGGTTCGACTGAACCCAGGTTGAGAACCATTGATGTTACCAGTGAAATGTTTGTTTCAGGATGCATCAGAGTCACTCCCATGACCGCAGTTCAGCGTCACCACACTCACCACACTCCTGGGGTTCGACTGAACCCAGGTTGAGAACCATTGATGTTACCAGTGAAAATGTTTGTTTCAGGATGCATCAGAGTCACTCCCATGACCGCAGTTCAGCGTCACCACACTCACCACACTCCTGGGGTTCGACTGAACCCAGGTTGAGAACCATTGATGTTACCAGTGAAATGTTTGTTTCAGGATGCATCAGAGTCACTCCCATGACCGCAGTTCAGCGTCACCACACTCACCACACTCCTGGGGTTCGACTGAACCCAGGTTGAGAACCATTGATGTTACCAGTGAAATATTTGTTTCAGGATGCATCAGAGTCACTCCCATGACCGCAGTTCAGCGTCACCACACTCACCACACTCCTGGGGTTCGACTGAACCCAGGTTGAGAACCCTTGATGTTACCAGTGAAATATTTGTTTCAGGATGCATCAGAGTCACTCCCATGACCACAGCGTCAACTCACCACACTCCTGGGGTTCGACTAAACCCAGGTTGAGAACCCTTGATGTTACCAGTGAAGTGTTTGTTTCAGGATGCATCAGAGTCACTCCCATGACCGCAGTTCAGCGTCAAGTCACCACAGCAGCCCCGGGAGTCACCATCCTAGCTACAACAACAACAACAACTTGGCTGGGCAGAGGGTGTACAACGACCGCAACGGGGCCTACCCGGACAGGGCTGCCATCTGGAGACAGCAACAGCAGCAGCAGTTCTCAAAGCCAGGTCAAGGTCAGCACTTCCAGCAGCAGGGTGTCAAGTGGGACAATGGTCAGCCATTGTTTGGACAGTATTTTGTTGGGCAAAATCAAGTAAGACATATTTTTTTTTAAGTTATTAATCTGAGCGACCAATACAGTGAACACTGCCATTTTTATGTTCTTATTTTTGAGCTATTAATACATTTAACCTTTGACCTCCTATGTTATGAAAAAAAAATTCTTGCTTCCCTCATAAAAATTAACTTCTGTTTTAAACATCAAAAGAAAAACCTACATCAGCAAATATAATATTAAAATGGACATTACAGAGTTCAATGAGTTACCGAACTTGATTTTTTTCTTCTTAGTTTTTAATTATTATATTGAAGGATATATCCTTCATTACAATTAAGTATTATGCGTCAACTTGTTATGTGCCATATAGGCAGTTGACTCAAATTTTAGCCTGCTTTTCTTTCCGGATTTGTTTCAATAGCCTTTGTCCACCCAGCACAAACTGCATTGTAGCAGTTGTTTGAGTGAGGAGTTTTCTCTCCTTGGTGGGTTGCTGTCCTCAGCTATCAAGCCTTATATGCAGAGTCTGAACTATTGACTTTAGTTTGCCACCATAGTCTCTCCCTCCCAACGATGCCATCGCCACAGAACTTGATGTTTTTATCGTTTTAGTCAATTAAATATTGTTTTAATGTCTTTTCCTCACCAGTTCCAAGGCAAGGGACAAAGTGTTACTCCCCCTAAGTTTGTCACTCCTAAAATGCAAGGTCCTCAGGCATTAATGGCTAAAAATGTAAGCAATTATAGACAATTCTTCTCTCCCAGAGTTATCTTTCCCTTCACGTTTCCAGATTTGTTAAAATTTGGAAGTACAAAAAATGAATGACTCAATATCCAGTTTTAAAAAGAAATCATTTAAAAAACCGAACTAAATTTCTTGACTGTTCTGTTTTAGGCCAATGGGGAGGCTTCAGAACAAAATGAATTTGAAATTTTATGGAAATCATTAAATCAAGTTGGTGTAAGCATGATAGTGTCTCGCAAGAAGACGAGATATTCAAACAATTTATTTTTTGATAGACTGTAGAATATATAATACAATTTTACAAATCACCACAAAACTATTGTTTCAATTTTGGAATCAAACTTTTAATAAATTGGTCTAAAAATCCTAGCAAGATTAATTTTTTTAAATATAAATTTCAATGACACAATGTTTTAGATTTATTTAATGTCAATAATTATCTCATGAACTGCCATTTTGAGCAAAACATAATGTAAGCTTCACTGTGTTATTGAGAGATTAACTGTGTTCATGAGAGCTTAATGGTGTTAATTAATTTGTTTTAGCTACCATACTAATTGATAGTTACATAGTTCCGTTATATTTCTTTAATAATTTTAAAACTTTCTAGTTTTAAAAATACTTTTCTTTCTGAGAATAGCTTATAAAAGCTATTATTGGCTGTATATTTATTTAATTTTTTAATGTGTAAAATTAGTTCTTATTTTGGTCGTGTTAAAAGTAGAATATGTTAATCATTGAAGGTATGTTTCACATAGCCAGATGAAAAACTTTGACCAGCTGTATTCAGCGTCTTGCACCTACTTAAGTAGATCTATTGCTTTATTTAACAATTCTCTTATTGAAATTTAGACCAAAAGATATGAAAAATCTCTCCACGACTTATCTTTCCCACCCTCTTTCTGTAAAATCTAGAAATTTGGCTAATTTAACCACCTCATTTTATGTTTTATTGTTTAAGGAGTGAATGACTAAACATTTAAGTTTAGAAAAAAAATAGCATCTAAACTTGCGCTAAATTACTTAAGTTGTTTTTGTAACAATTCTATGTCTCAAGAGCTCTACTAGAAACATATCCATTTTGTATGTTTCAATTGAAAATTTTTTGATTATCACGGTTTAAAAATCTGTCTTTCATTTGCTTCTTTTGGTAAATTGTAGATAATTGGAAAAATAAGAGTATCTACCCATTTCCTCAAGAAACTTTTAGAGGAGGGAACAAAGAATAACTATGCATTGAAATTGGGGGGGGGGGGGCAATTATTTTAAAAATTGAGATTCATTTTTAACTGTTCTGTTTTAGGCTAATGGAGAGGCTTCAGAACATAGTGAATTTGAAAATTTGTGGAAATCATTATATCAGGTTGGAATTGGTAGAGTTCTTTTCAGAAAATGAGATATTCATACAATTTTAACCAATGATTTAAGACTAGTATTAATAAAATTTTATACGAATCACCACAGAATATTACTGGAATAAAACTTATAACTAATTTGGTAAAATATCAGATTAGCTGTTGATTTTTTAAATATGATTTTGAGTGACAAAATGTCTGAGATCAATATATTGTCAAAATTAATTACCCAAACCTAAAATAGTTTACTATAAAACAGTTTTCATTTTTTTTTTTTGTTATAAAATAGTTTGTTTTTTAAAAAAAGATTGTTTTTATTGCTTGTTTGAAAATCAATTTTTCACTTAGATGTGTAATGGTTGGTATTTTCATTTTCTTAAAAATAGAAAGTCTTAGTTACTGATGGTGTAGTATGCTTAACTTGGCCAAATAAAAAAGCTGACTACCTTTCTTCTGCACCTCCATCCTACTAAATCAATCTAGTTTTATATTACAGTTCTATGTCTAGGCCACTTCTTAAAATATAGTCTACTTTAACAGTAGAGTAAAAACAGTTGTGACATCATTAAACTTATGAAACCCATTTAGCAAAATGTTAAAACATGTATGCCATCATTTGATCTGATTTTATTACTAATTTCTGTTATATTTTTTGTTGAATTCACATTAAGCAATTAGTTTTTTGTCAGAATTATGTTGATGATTTTATAATTTTTCCATTATTGCTTTCCACTGTTTTATTACATGGAGCATAGATTCTAAACTTAACGGTTAGTTAAATTTCATTGAAACTTTTACAAAATGAAATTGATAGTACATTGAAATTTACAGTTCAGTAAAACTCATAATTCTTGGAAATTTAAATTTATAGTTCATTGAAATTTATAAACTAATTCATTCTAATGTAGATATTTTTGTTTGTATGTACTTTGTCCTCATATCAAGCCATTCTCATCCCTCCAGCATGTAGGTATATCAAGCACAGCAACATCGGAACACACACCGAAACAAGCAACCTCAGCATTTTCTCCCCAACTCCTACAAAAATCCAGCAACCTGGCGCAGTCAGCACCTAAACCACTAGATCTCATCCAGAGTCTTTCAAATCCAAAAATTGTTCCCTCCAAACCATCTGCTCTGCTAGCCACACCTGCCAGCTCAGGGACAGGCACGGAGCAGACAAGGTCTGGCCCAGTGGCCCAGAAAGCTGCTACCAAAGTTGAGAATTTGGCCAAGGCCAAAGTGGCAAGTGAAGTGAGTGGTGGGTGTGAGAATGCAGAGTTTCTGGCCATGTTTAACTCTTTGAAGGTTGGTTTACCTTAATATTTTCATTTTAGGCTCTTTAAGTACAGCCTGTTTTCATATTAAAATGTGATACATGTTCTTTGATTTATAGAGCTCTCACATGTAACAAAACTATATTTGTGTATTCCTAGAGTTATTTTAGCTAAAAAGTTATATTTGCATAGGTGTAACTTTTCCTATTTTTTTTCAAGAAAATATTTTTCTCTGAAAATTTTTTTTGTTGATAGAAATTTATATAACTTTTTTTTTATAATAATTAATTTTAATTTCCACTGCAAGTATCTAAAAATAACTTAATTTGTTGTCAGAAAAATGGTATGAGTTATGAGTTCTGTTTCTAACTTGTAAAAAAATTACTATTTTTATTTAAGTTATCAGTTGCATCACTTTGTGTTTCAAGTATAAATCAAAATTTCGCAATACTCGACAATGTGCCCTCTTTCTTTCTTTAGACCCAGGCAGCTGAAGCCAAGCTAGGAGGAAGCATGACCCGTGTGGTGACCGCTGCTCAGCAAACACCGCCCGTTACTGCACCTTTAATTAGCCCAAAGTCACAGGTATTAAATAATTCATTAAAAAGCTCATATATGTTTATCTGATGTTTATCCAAATATCCACATAACACTGTTTTGTTCTAAAAGTAAGCCCTAATCATAGGTATAAAATAATTCATTAAAATTCTTACGTATGTTTATCTGATGTTTACCCAAATATCCATGTCACACTGTTTTGTTCTAAAAGTAGGCCCAAGTCACAGATATTAAATTCTTATATATGTTTATCTGATGTTTACCCAAATATCCATGTAACACTGTTTTGTTCTAAAAGTAAGCCCTAATCACTGGTATAAAATAATTCATTAAAATTCTTATGTATGTTTATCTGATGTTTACCCAAATATCCACGTAACACTGTTTTATTCTCAAACAGGCTGATCTGGCCCTGAAACAGTTACTGAAAATTGGAGTGTCAGCGTCTGAGGCCCAGCCTGCCTCCACGCCAAGCTTTCCCCAGGAGAGACAACACTCCCCCATGAACCACCTGGAGGATGCTAGTGTTGTAGGAGCATCTCTGTCCACAGGTGTGCCAGCACCTGTCAAATCACCTGTGGGGGGGTCGGTGTACGGCAGGCAGCTGTCAGTTCAGGAATTGTTTGCAGAAGGTAGGTTAGATCTAATCTATTTTACCTGCATAAATTAATTTTGATTTGAATTTATTTTTTTTAATTTAAAAACTATAAAAAAAATTATTCTACAATTATATGTTGGGCATGACAAAAGCATATACTTTACAAATTTTATTTTCTTGGCAACTTAACTGGAATTCTTCTTTGTTTTTCCTACCAGCCAACAGACACCAACAGAAAACTCATAATTCACATGAAGCTCAACAAACAGCACCTCAGTCAGGGATGGATAAAGTCCCAGAAAATAGGTGAGTGAAAGCAGTAATGAGACCAGTTACTCTGAGGATTGGCTCTTAAGAAAATAAGTGACAAGAAAATCAGTTGACTATTAAACTGAACTTTTAGCCATAAGGGATAAATCTAGTTCATTTTATTCCATGCTTTTATATTGTCTATTAGAGAAAAAAAATATTGTTGAGCATTAGATTCAGAGTTGATCTGGTAGACATAGAGTAGTATAGTTCCCTGTACGAAAAGCCTGCTGTTCGGACAGTATCCAGTCAAGACAGTTTACTTATAGGACAATTGTGATTTCTTAATTATCTCTCTAAGGGATGCATAGACCCTATCAGAAACCCAATCTCTTTAAATAACAGAAAAAGGATTCAGTGTAATTTTTTCAGAAACCCTATCTCTTTAAATGACAGAAAAAGGATTTGGTGTTATTTTGTTTTCAGAAACCCAATCTCTTTAAATGACAGAAAAAGGATTCAGTGTAAATTTTTCAGAAACCCAATCTCTTTCATTGATAGAAAAAAGATTCAGTGTAATTTTTTCAGAAACCCTATCTCTTTAAATAACCGAAAAAGGATTTGGTGTAATTTTTGCAGAAACCCAATCTGTTTAAATGATTTTAAAAAAGTATGTTTAATGTAATTTTTTCTGAGACTCAATCAGTTTAAATGAATTTTAAAAAAGTTTGTTTAATGTAATTGCTTCAGAAACCCAATCTCTTTAATTGATAGTTAAAGGATTCAGTGTAAATTTTTCAGAAACCCAATCTCTTTAATTGCTAGAAAAAGGATTCAGTGTAAATTTTTCAGAAACCCAATCACTTTAGGTGACAGAAATAGGATATAAAGTGTAATTTTTTCAGAAACCAATTCTGTTTAAATGATTAAGAAAGTATGTTTAATGTAATTTTTTTCAGAGACCCAATCAGTGAACTTGAGGCTTATTGCAGTCAACATTTGACATCAGGGGCACCACAGTTTGACTTCAAGAATCAACCTAAACAGGTTGGTCCATGTGTATGATATTAATCTGTTGCAGGGGATGTTAGACTCATTTTAAAATACTTAAATAATTTATAACTTTATTTATTTCTATTTAATTAGATACTAGATTGAATTATCAAAGTAAATCAATAGCCTAGAAAAATTGTGTATGCTATTAGATGGCTACAATTCTAACTATTCCTTTGTAATGCTTTGGTGTTTTTTTGTTTTTAAATCTTTTTTTTTCATGCGTTCATCCATAACTGATAAAAAGTGCTGTATTTTTTCCCATTAAAATACATGGCAGGCAATAGGAGAGTAGCATAGTTGGCTGTTGTCTTTTCCTTATATTGTTTACGAATGTCTCTTTAATCTATATTACATTTTATTGCTGGAAATTGGCTTGGTGTGAAGGAGCATTTAATTTTTTTTAACATTGCTTTGGCTTAAATGTCGGATTTTATGTTACATTTCATGTTGTTTTTTTCTGTACTCTGCTCAAATATACCCAGCATATCAGACAAATTAAATACAGTTGGCCAGTGTACAACAAATCTAAGCAAATATTGTTATCATATCTATTGATGAAAATATAGTAAAATAAACTTAATAAAACATATATTTATGAAACTTGGTAAGTTAACAAATATGAAGCTTTGACTATTTCCTTGGACCTCTTCACTATGACCATAAAATAAGTTAGATCAACCAATGCCTTGATTAAATCAGTGTGTAGGCATTAAAATAGTTCCATCTCATCTTCTATGTTTGTTCAGTTTCACAGTTATTCCAGTGTGTTGAGGGGGAAAAAAACAGTTTTCCATTTAAGCATGTTTGCATGGGAAGGGGGATGAGTGATTTTGTTAGCTGTGCTCAGATATGTGGAGGGAGGGGTCAATGAAAAGAATTCTTATATTTCTAATGTGATTCTGGCATGCCTTCATGTGTTTTATGAACAAAATTCTTATATCGCCAATGTGATTCTGATATGTCTTAATATGAACAGAATTCTTGTATTGCCAATGTGATTCTGACATGACTATGTGTATATGAAAATAATTTTTATATTGTCAATGTGATTCTGGCATTTCTTTGTGTATTTTATGAACGGGATTCTTACATTGCCAATGTGATTCTGACATGTCTTTATGTGTATATGAAAAGAATTCTTGTATTGCCAATGTGATTCCGGCATGTCTTTATGTGTATATGAAAAGAATTCTTGTATTGCCCATGTGATTCTGGGCTACACGACAGTACCCCCCACCCCTCAAGTTAGAATCCTAACTTAAACTCTATACCTATATATCACCTTATTTCTTAACCTTAAGAAAAAGACCAAAACCTAATCATTTACCTCAGCCTAAAACTTAACACAAAACTAAAACCATCTCTACATAGGTTTAAGCCTAACCTTGACCATAAAATTAACCCTAATCCTAAATCTAGCCATTGCCATAGCCCTAACCCTTGATGTACCTTAACCAATGTCCATAGGGGGTGGGGGTAATGTCTGCGGGGGGGGGGGGGGGGGGAGTAATGCCCTGTTCCTGTTATTCTGACATGACTGTGTATATGAACAGAATTCTTATATTGCTTATGTGATTCTGACATGTCTTTGTGTGTTTTATGAACAGAATTCTTATATTGCCAATGTGATTCTGCCCAATGGTCACCGCTACGAAGGGTCCATGTGTAAAACAAAAGCAGAGGCGGCCAAAAGCGCAGCCAGCATTGCCCTTTTGTGCTTGGTAATTGGAGTGAATGGGTCGTAGTGTTTGTGCTTGGTAATTGGAGTGAATGGGTCATAGTGTTTGTGCTTGGTAATTGGAGTGAATGGGTCGTAGTGTTTGTGCTTGGTAATTGGAGTGAATGGGTCGTAGTGTTTGTGCTTGGTAATTGGAGTGAATGGGTCGTAGTGTTTGTGCTTGGTAATTGGAGTGAATGGGTCGTAGTGTTTGTGCTTGGTAATTGGAGTGAATGGGTCGTAGTGTTTGTGCTTGGTAATTGGAGTGAATGGGTCGTAGTGTTTGTGCTTGGTAATTGGAGTGAATGGGTCGTAGTGTTTGTGCTTGGTAATTGGAGTGAATGGGTCGTAGTGTTTGTGCTTGGTAATTGGAGTGAATGGGTCGTAGTGTCATGTCCATTTTGTCAAGTGCATAATGCAGTAAAGTTGTTTAATTTCTTATCCAGTATCATTTTTTCTCCACGACAAAGATATCAGCTCATGTGTCTATCTTTATCTCCAATGTTCAATTAAAATAACCAGCTTTTACTTTACATTTTTTTTCAGAACACGAAACCAAATACAAGTCATCCGGTTCTTACTGGTTATATGCCAGCTCAAAGGCCCAATGTTAACCGCTTTTTTTCCCACAATTCTGCTTTTAGTCCAATTGTTGGACCTCTACCAAGTAAGTAATGGCTCTGTGCTTATCCACTGAATCCAGTCAGTGGGGACTGGTTTAAATTTTGCTAAGGGGTCATCAATAAATGACTTCACACTCGTAAGGGGAGGGGGGTCTGTAATTTTGTGATGGGGGGTGGGGGTTTAGATGGTTTGATGTCACACTTTTGCATTATAAAGAAGCAATGTTAGAACGAGTTTTAGATGTTATTTCGCATTTTAGAAAACGGTTTTAATAAATTGTGATAGGAAATGATTAAAATACTCTATGATGACAGAGTTCAGACAAGATTTTGGAAAAATATCGATGTTTTAAGAAAAATTCAACTGCAGTTTTGAGGGGGGTTGTAGGCTAAGGTGTGATGTCATTTGGGGGGGGGGGGGGGAGGATGTGTGACGGAGGGGAGGGGGAATGTAAAATCATCAAAAAAAGTGTGACGTCAGTTATGGATAACCCCTAACCTCATATCTCTAGTCTGGGATCATCCTACTGTTTTACTTTGTATTTTAAACACTCTGTTATCTGCTTATGTATACTTGCTGTAATTACCTGATAATTTTTTTGGTTGTTAACCTATTTTATCTGTTTCACTGCAGCTATCATTTTCATTTAAGGGGGTAGGCTCCAGAAAAAAAACAACTACTTAACTAATAAGCTATACTTATTTATTTGTGTGTGTCTAAGTTAAGGTACATAAATGAAAATATGTGCATGTATCAGGAACTCTTCTAAAAGGATGGTTGTCATGGCAATGGTGGCCATCTTGAAAAAAAACAGCCTTTTCTGGAGGTCCCTCAGTTCAAAAACTAACATATATTCATCACATAATCATTAATAGTTTTTGTAACAGAAAAAACTCTAGAAATATTTTTCAAATTTTCAAAATTTGGTATGGTGAAATACCATTAAAATTAATGATAAATTTTAATTTGTTTGTCTCTCTGTCCAAACTATCAAGTTTATCTCACAAGTTGTGTCCTAACTATCAAGTTTATCTCACAAGTTGTGTCTTAACTATCAAGTTTTTCTCTCACAAGTTGCGTCCAAACTATCAAGTTTTTCTCTCACAAGTTGCGTCCAAACTATCAAGTTTATCTCACAAGTTTTGTCCTAACTATCAAGTTTATCTCACAAGTTTCGTCCAAACTATCAAGTTTTTCTCACAAGTTGTGTCCTAACTATCAAGTTTATCTCACAAGTTTTGTCCTAACTATCAAGTTTATCTCACAAGTTTCGTCCAAACTATCAAGTTTTTCTCTCACAACTTGCAAGCTATGAAGTTTATCTCACAAGTTGTGTCCTAACTATCAAGTTTCTCTCACAAGGTGTGTCCTAACAATGAATATCTCTCTTACAGATCTACTCCCCTCTCAACACAGCCAGATCCTTCTCCCTCCCCAGCACTTTGTCAACCAGCCCCCACCCCCCATCCCCCTTCTGCAGCTTCTACAACAACAGTACCAGAGTGCTGGCCACCACACACAGAGTTACCCAACTGAGGTATTTACACAATTTATCCATGCTTAAATGATTTAAAACAGCATAGTCAAAACAATGAGGACGTTGGTGCTAGCATAGAAACTGGTGAACTCTGCCCCAGGACCTGAAAGTAAAAAAATAGAGACGTTTTACAAAATATTTACATTGAATTCTAGCTCTGTAAAAAATGTAATTTTTGGTGAATGACATGAATAGGGCTTAGAAATTATAACTAGGTGAATTATTATAGCAAATAAAATGTTTACATTGAATTCTAGCTATGTAAACAAAATTTAACTTTAGGTGAGAAAACTGATTAGACCTATATCAAGAAAAAACTAATAGTATATATTGAGCTTCAGCAAACAAAAACTAATAGTTTACATTAAAAAAAAAAAAACTAATAGTTTACACTGAACCACACTTAAAACAAAAACTAATAATTTACATTGAACCACACACAAAAAAACTAATAGTTTACATTGAACCACACTAAACAACAAATAGTTTACATTGAACCACACTAAAAAAACTAATACTTTACAGTGAACCATACTAAACAAAAACTAATAGTTTACATTGAACCACACTAAACAAAAACCAATGGTTTACATTGAACCACACTAAACAAAAACTAATGGTTTACATTGAACCACACTAAACAAAAACTTATAGTTTACATTGAACCACACTAAACAAAAACCAATAGTTTACATTGAACCTCACTAAACAAAAACTAATGATTTACATTGAACTTCAGCAGCAACAGAGACATATGCATCAGAGAGGAGCTCAGGCCACATCCCCTCATGGCTTCCATAACCAGCCAAATCAAGGTAATTTGGCTTCTCACACTGGCCAATCTGGCAACCACGGAAATGTTTCTGGCAGTTCAACAACCCATGGAAGTTCTACTGTTACTCAACAGTTCATTCCCCTCCAGGTACTGACTAAAACATCTGATTCACTTTTATATTAAAACATAATTCAAAGAGCATGCCATTGAAAGTCTACTATTGTTTTGCTATTTTATATCTTAACATTGATAGATTAGGTAGAGAAATATGTATTCCTTTCATTTGTTTGCAGTGAAATAGTTATTTTACAATCTAGAGATTTGTAATATAAATAACACAAAAAAAAAAGCATCTTAGTATTTTTATTTTATCTTCACATAAAGCAAGAGGTTGATTTATAATAGTTCATATGCTTTGTGATGAGTTTTTATGTGCAATTGTTGTGGGGGTATCTAACTAGACTAAATGTACAATTGCTGTGTGGGTATCTAACTAGCCTATGTGTACGATTGTTGTGAAGTTCTCTAACTAGCCTATGTGTACAACTGTTGTGAAGTTCTCTAACTAGCCTATGCGTACAACTGTTGTGCAGGTAGCCAGAAACCAAACGCACGCAAGCAAGAGACGAGAGAGTGAATCAGAGCCCGACACAAAGCCTGTGAAACCTGTGGACAACCCGGCTCTGCCCACTGCCTCATCTACTGCTGGAGAACACCCACTGGAAACTAAGCCTCACACCAAGCCGTCTGGCGTAGTCACACCAGAGCAGAAGGACATACCTGATAAAAACGGAGTCTTGTCCCAGGTGTATTCGCCCACTACCCACACTGTTAAATCACTTGACAAGAAGAAGAAATCACGTCTTGCAGCTAATTTTCAGAAAAAATGATAGGTGGTGTAATATATTAGCCTAAGTGTTTATTATTGTTTTTTTTTTAACCTTTTGTTTTTACCTTTATCAAAATAGTTTTAAATTCAGTGAATTTCCCAGCCAAGGGACCGCAAGGCCGTTCATTATGACACTGTAAATTTTCTATAATGATGTACATATTATTTACTAGTTAAAATAAATCAGGACATTTATATAGATAAATGGCAAAAAACTCAAATCTGTTTTAAAATGTTTTATTCATTCTTAATCCAAAAAAAACATCCACTTTTTAGTTAAGATTTTAAAGGTTTTTTAATCATAGTTATTTTACCTTTGAAATTTAGCATTGTACCTAAATTTTGTTTGCAATTTTTATGATACTCAGTAGCATTAAAATCGGTTTTAAAATTGTAGCATTGTCCTACATCTTTGTAATTTAAAAACCGGTTTTAAAAAAAAAATAGTATGAGTCCTATATTGTTATATCATAATAACTAATATGGCTGAACCAGGTATGTATGTTATGTGTTATGAAACAGATTATTTTATAATATCCTGTTAGTAGAAGCAGTATTTCAATGAGAAGTTTAATTTTAACGTTATCATTTTAAATCTGAAACTTACTTAAATCAGTAGACAATTTTTACTTTGGTTTGCATTAGTTAGGTCATGTGGCTCTTTTGCCTGGTGATATGGAGTAACCATTTTGTAAGCCATTTCGGCAGTTAAATAACTACTGGTCTTTGTTAATGGGTGCCATCCAAGCTGCTTACAGATTTTTAAATGAATCCATGCTCCAGTTTTGTTTCGGTTTTGTTTTTTTAAAAGTGTTGCTTAGTGGAGTACTAAACAAAAAAAACTTTTCATCTTTTAACAAGTTTCTCTTTTTAACAGCTCTTGAAATAATTTTAATAGAAAATAAAATTGTGTATTTAGTCTAATAGAGATTGACAATGACTGTTGTGGATATAAGATCAGCCATTATAGAATGAAGCTAGTCAGTTCTATCATTGCATTAAGACTACTTCACCTTCTTCATGTTATGGCACTAGTTGTCTAAATTTTAAATTGATATAGACAGGTATTCTCATTTAATACAGAAACAGATTTTAAATCTGCACCTGATGGATACATAACTCAATTTATAGACACATGAACTTTATAATCATGGATTTAGTGGCATTGACATCTCATTTGTTATTTTGTGATGTCACATTGAACTAGTGATGTCATATATCCTTGTGATGTCAGATCAGTATGCAAGTCGAGGCTACTAATAAGTTTGTTTAAAAACCCCTCTAATAAGTATTATACATCATGATTTTCTTCCAACCTCAAGTATATGTTTTGGTTAACTATGTATAAAATCTTATTGTAATCAACAAAGAAGTGAAAATTATTGTATTCTATGCGATTATTGATTTTTTTTTTTTAAACAAAACATCAGTATAATTATTTTGGTAACAATTAGGTTAATGTCTCATAAATTGAGTGTGCAGTTTTGATTTCATTTACCAGAAAACCAGTTAGTAGAGGTAATTGTTTTTAAAATGTACAAATTGATTGTAAATATTTTTTAGAATAACTTCGCCAAGACCCCCCTTCGTTTTAATTATTGTCTCAAAACTTTCCAGAAATGAATTAAAATCTCAATGAACTGGCATATGAAAGAAACTTGTACATCAAAACTGATTTGGTTTTAAGCAATAACCAATTGGCCTACATAATGCTACCAAGATACTTCTTATTTTCAAATGCATATGTTGCAATTATCTTTTTTAAATCACAAAAAAGTTGTGCATTTTCAGTAGCTTGGCATTTAACACGGGCATAAATCAACTGTTGGTGCAGATATTTATAAAATTCTTTTATTTAATGATTCATATTTTAAGTTGGTTTACTTTTTAGCTGACACTGTGTATAACAATTTTATTAATTGATTCCCTTGTATTTTAAAAAAAGCTGCCGTAAATTAGCTTGTTTATATTTAAATGCAATTGTTTATCTATCTGGATAAGGATGAATGAAATGGATATACATCTTCTGAAGAAAAATAATTAGGATATATTAATTTTGTTCCAAAGATTTGTACGCAACTTTTCTTGTTGGTACTGTCTGTGTAAAAGCCTTGCAGAGTGGCAGACTGGATGAATGTTGGCTTAGTGTTTTCAGGCTGATAAGTTGTAATTACACTGGGCACTTGGTCCCTTGGTCTTTCCAGCTCTGGTGAATTATAAATGTGTGAGGGGTGGGGGGGGGGGGGGGGGGGGGGGAGTAATCACACTGGAAATTCATAGTTATGCTTAAACATGCTTTGTCACTATCTTTGCAGCTCTGATAAATAAATGGGGAATGGGGTGGCTTGAAGTTTGAACTCTGAACTATAGTGTTCCCTTAATTTTTTTAAATTTTGGTTGAAGTATATTTAAAATAAAGGCAGCTAGATACTGAGGTTACGTGAAATATAGAAGCAAAATAAAAATTTAAGAAAACTCAATAGTTCAACATATGCTCCTTTTGTGTTTTAACAGATGAGTTATTCATTGTTTTTAGCTTTTGTTCAGTTAACGTAGAAAAAATGTGTAACTAAAATATATTTTTTAAACATTTAAAAAGCTGAGTAGGTCATTTTTATCTATTTAATTCTACCCTAGTTGATAGTCTACAAAGTTTCAAATTTTTTTTTTAATACTTCAAAATTATTGCTGGCATACTGAAATTATTAACAGAAATCTTTTGTGGTGACTATTAAAAGAAAGTGCCCAGTAAAAAATAGTTAACTCTGTTGTTACATTTAGAGATTTATTCATAGAATTGTTGGATGTTTTATTTCCATAAACAAAATATTCTGAAAATAACATCTATTGTAGATATTTTAGTTCTTTCATGTTTAAATAACATCTTTGATAAGGTTTTGTAAAAAACCAGCAGCTTAGCAGAAAGAAATGATTATCAATTGTTTTGTTGGATGACATTAACACTAGAATATAGATCTAGATGTTTATTTCTGACAATAGTTTTAAAACTAAACAAAAATTTGTATATAGCATATTGTAACACAGTAACATGCTGAATATGATTAAAAACAAAGTGGATCATGATTTTATTTTCTGTTTATGTGTTTTAAATCAAAGTTTTTTTTTACTTTTACAGCACCCTATCGATATATATTACTATTAGGGTTGTGTCCATGGATGTGGGTCAACAGCTGTTTTTGTGTTGTGATTTCTAGGTCTTGGCTGGGAGTGAAGCCAGATTTAGAACTATAGGCCCGCGGAGATCTTTTTATCCACGGAAATAAAAACGTTTGTTAGAGTTGGCTGAGGAACTTGCTCAGAAAATCACGACATGCCTGGAAGAAACTGGCCCCGAACTGAAATTTGATAGTTAATGCGGCCCTCGGACTGAAAAGTTTGGAGACCCCTGGGCTAGAGATACCAGCAAAAAAAAAAAAGAATTGAATACAACTTGCTGGTAATTATAGTAAGAATCAACTTTTCCCATGGGGTAGATGGAATAGAGTTCATCTGTTTCAGTGATCTCCACATAAAAAAGGATAGTGTGGTCTTTACTATGCGCAGCCACTTTAGTTTTTTCCTATATTCAAACTATATTGAGTCATGTACCCATCAGAGATTTATGGATGCAGGAATGTCCCAAGAACTGCCATCCAAGATTAATATAAATTAAATATATGTTCTATAACAAAATATCAACAAGATGATTTCTTGAGTTTCACATCAAAAAGTGTTTTTATTGATTACCAAAAATATAAATTGAATACAACACCAAATATTAAATAAAATTATGGCAAGTTTTTAAATTTATATTCAATATTGTAATTTATACAGTGTCAGTTAGTGGAATGTAATTGAAAGTATACATAGTAAAATACATTTTGAGACCAATATGAGTCAATAGAGCAGCTTTGTAGAGCCTGTCAATGGGTCTAAGCTTACAAGGTATTGTGTGGTCATCACAATACCCATCTAAGATCAAGTACAAATCATTTTATTTCTGTCATGGTCATGCATCACCAACAAAAACATTCATAACTGAGTTTTAAATTATAAGTGAAATGCATAGCAATATAAGCTCAGCAGTCAGTAAATAAAGCTGTATAAAACTAGAACAAATTCTGCTGTGTATACAAAACACAGAAATGTTTTAACTTAACAGTTTTGGCATAGGAATGTACATTTGAGTGATTGCATATATTCTTACGGAAGACCTAGTTTTATAATATCAAATACAATATGTTTTTTAAAAAAAAAGCCATTTTTTTTTTCCATCATAAACTTTTGAGAAATGAACCGCATCCAGGGAAAAGTTTCTTGTTTGAGTCAGCCTTGACCTGAGGGTGGTGTTAGGTTCTGGTTTTAACACACAGACAGATTACCAGACTTTTCTACACTCTCTTGTGTGTTTTGATGATCAGACAGCTTGTCTTCCAGTGCAGGAACAAATCACAAACTGATCTCTCAGACTGCCCTCATCCTTGTGTCTATCAGTGCTTACGTCTAACATAAACCAAGAGGTAGAAAAGTTAATTTTTTTTTCTTCACACAGCAGATCTGCAAAAAAAAAAAAAGACACATACAGTATTTTGCAACTTTGTGGGACGGCATTGGCTAGCTGTAGAGTGCTTGACAGCTAACCAAAAGTCTCGATTTTGAATCCTGCAAAAAGTCATTTGATCGTCTTTGAGTCCACCCAGCTCTGATGGGTACCTAACTCATGTTGGGGAAAGTAAAGGCGGCTGGGCATAGTTCTGACCACATTATCCCTTCATATGCTGAGGTCAGTCAAGTTCTACTGACTTGATTCAAACTCGAGACATTCAGGCAGTAGTCTAGCACAATCCCATAAAATACTTATAGTTAATATCAAATTATTATAGTTGAAATTCTTTTTTGTAAATTAAAAACAAGCTGGATCAGCAAGTATGGACGGATAAAACTACTAGTAGAAGATTACTATTGTAGGATTGTAGTTCTAAATTACAACCTGGATACCTAGCACAATATGCCAAACTGACAGCCACATTGAGTAAAGACATCAGTCAGACTATGTCAACAGAACACAGGCTTATCTAAGAATAAAAAATGTAACTCCATGTCTTACTTTGTTCCAGAGGTTTTAGTGTAAAGCCCAGCCCTTAACTCTGCCAGCTGTTTCTTTGTGTCTGCGTCTGCCATTTCAGCAAAGTCTGCCAGACGACTAATTGTCTGCCTGCTATTCTGTTAATGGTAAATGGTAAAATTAATAAACCAAATACCTAAATAACATAGAATCAGAAATATTTTTTAAAAACATTTTTTTGTTACAATAATCCCAAGACAACAGAAATTTTTTATTTTTGAAAGTTAAATTTTTATTTTAATTGCTGTAGAAATTCCTCAACTACGTGAGCAAATTAAATTGGTCTTCAATTCCATCTAGGCCTGTATGAGCTAGCTAGAATGAAAAGACAAACAACATTCTGAGCCATCTCTTTAGCTCTCTTAAAGTACCCTCTCTGACCTGACTATCAAAAAGGTAGATGGAGCAGAGTTCACCTGTTTCTATCACCTTGGTATTTGAATGGATAGTGTGCCCATTTCTATACCCAGACACTTTTACTTTCATGAAAGAGCAGGTTGATCTTAGGGATGTCCTACTGATTGAAGCCTTGGATCCAAAACTGATATCTTTAAGTAAGTTGACCACATCATCATTAAAATAGCTCTCTTAGTTAAGTTTTTTAAAACAGTATGGGCAATGTATAAATTTCAGAGCTATGTAACACATTTTTTAAAATTTGATTTTGCTTGTTTGTACTGAATGTAAAATGAAAGTAACAATCTAACTAATCTTTTTAGCAATCTTCAGAAAATTGTTTTGTTTTTTAATTAAAAACCTAATTTAATGTTTTTTTAATGTCTAAACTTTCAAATTTATATTTGGCCTGTATGAATTTGAACAAAAAAAGACCTGGATCATTTCTTTAGCCTTCTCTGCTGCCTCTTGTGCCTTGGATCTCTCAGCTTCTAAAGAATTTCTCTGTTCTGTATTGTCTTTCTCAAGCTTGGCTTGCACTTGCCTTTATCACAAGTTATGGGATAAAATGGTGAAAAAAAAATATTAAAATTCCAGGTAAGCCGAAACTGAACACTGATTTAGAAGATGACCCTTTCTTTACATCAACACAAAGATAAGGGAAGGTTTTAATTAAAGTGATTACAAATTGAGAATTGCTAGCTAATTATATTTTAATCAGTTCTCTAAATGAAGTTGGTAGGTATAGAGATTTTAAAGTACTAAACATACTTGGAGGCTGTAATTTCTGTCTGAAGCTTATCGAATTTCCCTCGAAACCATTCATGGGCTTCTTCTAAATGTTTTGATATCTTGAAAAAAAATGTAATGCTATTTAAAAATTGAGTCCACCTATAACTTGATGTAGTGTTTAAACATCAGTAAATTAAAACCTTTTTCAAAGACGCTCACTTGCATGAGCAGAAAAAATAAGTTTAATTTACCCTGCAGTGTTATCTCAAGTATTTAAATATGGCACATGCAAAAAAAATAATTCTTTATTATCTGATCAAGTATTGATTACAGTAAACATCAGCTTGTTGACCTGTACCCAAAGTTTGACCATGTCCATTTACAGCTCTATGCACTATGTATAGGATGGTGTAGAATGGTAGATCGTTGACTGTTAACCGAAAGTCTCAAGTTCAGATCTGGGGCTCTAATTCATAGCACGTCCCTGAGTACACCCAGCAATGATGGATACCTGACTCATGTTAGGGAGAGTAAAGGCGGCTGGGCATAAAGTTGACCACACTATCACTTCATTGCTGAGGTCATTGAAATAGGTTAACTTTACTTCACCTGTCTTATGGACCGCAAGGTTCAAAAGGGTACTTTACTAATGCAGGATATCCATTTACAGCTATATGTGGTATATCTATTTACAGCACTATGCACTACACCTGATAAACCCACCTCAAGTGATTCAGAATGCACTGCCTCTAACTTCTCATCAGTAGACTGTGACTTCTTGAAAAGTTGCTCCTCTTTTTTCTTGCTCTCCTGTAAAAAAAAATACATAAATGTGCAGCTTTGTGAGGAAGTGGTGAGAAACATGCTTTACTTGATCATGATAGGACTGTGTGGCTTGGAAAAGAATGCATGGCTGCTAACCTAAGTTTGAGTTAGTATAACATCCTTGAACCCACCCAATTCTGATAGACACCTGGCTTACATTGCAGAAAGTAAAACACACCTGGACATCAAACTAACTAGACAATCCCTACATATGCAAAGTCATGAAACAGATGAATTATACTTCAGCTGCTATATAAACCATCAGATCAGAAACATATCCTACTTCACTTTTTATATGATTATGAGTTTTAACTCCATTGTCTCTGGCAAAAATTCATAGAACGCTTGAGATTTAACCCACCTCAAAAGGTGAATAAAAACTAAAATTCAAAACCTAATTGCTTGTTAGGATGTATTTTTTAAAAAACAAAATTTACCGTGTATTTTTTCCTCATCTCCTCTCTAATTTTCCTCTCTTTCTCCAAGGCTTCCTCTTTCATCTTCAACAACTGCTGAGCTTTCACGTGGGCGCTAGCTAGCTGCCGCATTTCATCTTGTAGTGATGATATCTGGTTGATAAACTTAGCTATTGCCTCACCCTGCCACGTAAGAGTCAATTTAAAAAATTAATAATAAACAAAACTAACTAGAAGTTTTTTTGGGGGTTTTTTTTATTATTTATTTTTGTCTCTTGAAAATTTGATTTTAAAGTTAAGGAGTTCCATTTTTTTAAATATTTGAAAGCATCTTTTCATATGGTTTATGTAATAAATTCTACTTTGTCTGCCATATTGACAGAATGATCAGAAATGGTAACTTGATGCAGTATTTATTTCACATAAATATTATTTCACATACAGTCTGTTTGAAAAACTACTAAACACTGAAGGAAATCAAATTTAATTTTATTGTTTAAAAACTAAGTATAACAACATAATTTGTGTTCAATTGAATGATGCAGTTTTATAGAATATTAATATAAATAAACTCCGTGAAATCTGCAGTAGATATTATCAAGGCCAGATTTTTTAATGTGTCTGCATATCTTCTAACCCTAAGGTGCACATCTTTAAACTACAGGTTCTACAACATTAATTAAATCCTACCTGCTCTACATTTTTTTTCATGTATTCTTTTCTCATTTGTTCCAACTCATCTATGTCCTCACGAACTGTCTGAATAAGAAAAAAAATTTATTATATTTATAGATTGTTGTAAATTTAAACATTTTATTTATTTTTGTATCATGATTTTTTTACACATTCATAATTTTGAAAATCTATTTTCAATTTTTGTTCTTCTCTTCTTTCTTCTTCTTCGTTCTTAATTATTAGTGTTGAAGGGGATCGAGATTTATCTGCCAGTGGGTTTGAACTCGAGACTTTGTTCGAATTTATCAACCATGAGCTTTTTGCCGACTCGACCACGCCTCCAACACAATTAAGCGGTACGTGTCAACTGGTTATGCGCCATTGAGGCCATTGACTCCGATTTCAGCCTGCTTTTCTTTTTGGATTTGCTTCCATAGCCTTTGTCCAACCAAGAACAAACTACAAGGCAGCAGTTGTTTAATTTTGGAGTTTTCTCTCCTAGAAGAGTGGCTGTCCCCAACTAACGAGCCTCATCTGCCCGAGGGTTCGAACTCGAGACTTTTCGGTTTAGCAACCATGAGCTTTACCGACTCGACAACGCCGACCCCAAATTTTCGTTCAATGTTTACATATCTTTAACCCCAGCCTCTTAACCCCATTCATTACAAAACAAGCACAAACCTTCATCTTATTTAAATTATCCTCCAACTGTTTCTTGGCTTTGTGAAGATACTCCATCTTATGCCGCTGGCCAGAGAGCTTTGTCTTCAAGTCTTCCTGTTCCCTCTCCAACTCTGACAACTTTTGACGGATCTCAGTATTAGCTTTCACTAGCTCCTGATTTCTGTTTGACAGGTTCTCATTCTGCTTACGAATCTGCAAGTAATAAAATAATCGTTTAGATGTGTCCTTTCTGTATATATTTTTACATGTAAACATCGATAAGGCCTTATAAAAATTCTTATGATTCTATGTGCTTTAAATAGTTATGTGACTTGATTGTTCAAATGGTAGATAAAGTAGAGTTTATCTGTTTCTTTGACCTCAGCAAATGAAATTTTTTAGTCAGTTATAAGACCAACTGCTATTACTTTCGCCAACTACATTCAGGTACTTATTAGAGCTGAGTTGACACAGCAGCATACTATTTTTTAAAATCATACAAATTTAAAAAGAAAAACCGCCCAGCCATCACCAGTAACTTGTCAACAAACCTCGCCAAGTTCCTTTGTGATTTTCTTGCCGTTTTTATCTTTCTCCTTTCTTAACTCTAATCTCAAAGACTCCGCCTGCTCTTCTATCTTCTTCTTTTCTTGTTTCCACTCCTCGTTTTCTTTATTTCTGTAATGTAATACATTCAAAATACTTTTATAGCATTACAAATCATCAGAGGTAAACACAATCTCTCTCTCAAATACAGTCAGCACAGCACAGGCCATACCAGGCAGACCTGAACAGACCCACCCATGTTACCAGTACCTGGACCTCTGGGTTTTCTGGACTTTTGCTTGGTGTATAAGTCAGACAATTGAGATGTTCTAATCAAACCTTTGACAAAAAAATTAATGTGTTCTTACCTGAGAGTTTTTAGCTGATTTATTTGGCTGTCTCGTTTTCCTAGCTCCACCTATGAAAGAAATAGTCATGAATTAGTTTATCATTAAAGAAAACATAGAAGTCATAATTAGTTTGAGGGTAGGCAGGTAATGATATGGATAGGGGAAAAATATTCATATAATATAAATATACGTATATATATTTATATATACATATTTATACATACATACATATATATATATATATATATATATATATATATATATATATATATATATATATATATATATATATATATATATATATATATATATATATATATATATATATATATATATATATATATATATATATATATATATATATATATATATATAGCTGTAAAATATTGTGAGAATACTTCTATGTTGAGCGTCCATCCATGGGGTGGGGGTCAAACCCCAACGTCTCTGCAACCTACACCACTGGGTTGGAGGACTGATGGAGTCTGATAATTACAATCTTAGTTATATAATTAAGGCAGGTACCTGTAGGTTTTCAACAATGTTTTGTAACTGTGAGTGTGACGTCATGACGGTCTCGAGGGTGTTGGCAATCTCCTTGTTGACACTCTTCGCCTCCTCCATGCTCCTCTGGTAGCTGGACACCTGAAATGTATGGACAGGGTGGCGTTTCAAACTGATAATATGTTGCAATAGGGACTGTACAAAGATGACGTCATGCATCTTTGAGGGGGGTAGGGTGATAATGTGATGAGTGGAGGGGTTCAAGAAACATTCATTGTGCATTTCTCAAGAAGATATATTATGTAAACCATGCCAATAAATTTTAGAGAAAATTACTTGTGCTTAAATTCATATATTTGATATTAATGCAAGAAAAAAATGTATTTTAATTTTAGCTAAAAATTGGTTAAACTATAACCGAATAGTCAAAAGTTATTAAGTAAATATTGTATGTCTTCATTCATGTATAACCAATGTTTGAAATATTATCTAAACAAACAAAACAAATATGACAATAACATTTCTTTTACCTTAGTTTGTTGTCTCCCTTCTAGAACTTCAAACTGTTTTAGTAGTTTCCCTTTGTCTTTTTCAGCTTCATCCAACTTACTCAATGCCATTTGTAATTCCTGATCTTTCCTCTCTATTTCTTCTATAGCTGCTCTTGTCTGCCCTTCATATCTCTGAAGTGCTATTTTATATTCAGAAATTTCTTGCTGGCTCTGAGAATAAATTTTCATAAATTTCTATCTATATATATAATTCTCTTCTGGGAGACGCTAGAAAACAAGCTGTAAGCGCGCTCCCTACCACCCCACCCCTACATGGTCTGGTGAGCTGTGGTTCACGCTGTTTACAAGCAGAGCCGGGTTTAGTGACGACTATTAGGGGCAGATAATTTAGTTTTAAACGATTTTAAATGTAGGGGGAGGAGGGGGGGTGGGGATAACTAAGTGGAGTTTACTTTAACAGAGGGGGGGGAAGGAGGGGGGGTTATCGTCCTTAACGAGCTACTTATAGTGTTTTAAAGAAATATTTTCAGTGACAGCGTTGGTACTGTCGAATTCACAAATTAGGAATTACTGAAAAGTAGAAAAAACAAAAACTAAATAGCGGCGTATGATACACCGCGGGTCGGCTCATTTTAGAATAAAGGGTTAAGTATTTACAAGCAAATATAGTCTTTTTTCTAACCCTAATCTAAACCCATGACCCAAAATATAACTATGCCAAGCTATAAGATCAAAGTGTATGTAGACCTATTCAGACATTTTGTTAAATTGTATAATGGTTGTATGACTGGTATATAATGGTTGTATGACTGGTATTTGTTTTTTGTTAATCTAATGATTGATCTTTAAGCTCATGTCTGTTTGATTGATGTTTATAGCATATAAGTGAACGATTGAGAGTATTCATTTTATATAATGGCAATATGACAGGTGTTTGCAGTTCAAAGCTGTATGACTGACTGATGTTTTTAATTAACCTAATTGCTATATCTCAAGAGAAAAAAAGCAGGGAAAGCCAAGGGAGACATGGAGGTGCATGGCGAGGAAGCAGCTGGCAGAGGCAGGACCGTCATGGAGGACTGCCAGGAAAATTGCCAGAGACTGACAAAAGTGGAGGGGACCTTTCTGTGGTGGCCCCATGAGGCTTGAGCACAAAAAGGAAAAGACGAACTGCTATATTATTGGTGATTTAATGTATAATGTTTGTAGTTTAAATGATATCAGTATATTTAGTGTTTGTAATTTATCTAATGTTGGTTTATTCAATGTTTTTAGTTCAACTAATCTCAGTATATTTAGTATTTGTAGTTCATCTACCGTCTGTAAATACATTTTTTGTAGTTGATAAAATATCTGTATTTTTTATGATTGTAGTTGATTTGATATCTGTATATTTTATAATTTTAGTTGATATAATTATCTGTATATTTTATAATTGTAGTTGATACAATACCTGTATATTTTATTATTGTAGTTGATATGATGTCTGTATATTAAGTGTTTGTAGCCTATATCTAATGTCTGTTCATTCATTAATGTCTGTTCATTAAATTTTTGTAGTTGTTCGTATATCTTTATTTACGGTGTTTATAGTTCATCAAACGCCTGTATATTAAGAGCTTGCAGTAGAAGCTTCCCACTACCTTTGTGTACTTCTCCTGGAGACTGTGGCTTAACTTCCTCAGCTGGGCCAGGTCGCCCTGGTCCTTGGCAGTGTCGACCAGCTCCTGCTGCAGCTGTTTGATAGCTGACTGCAGTCGGCCATTTTCATAGGCCAGCCTCTTCTTCTGCTCCACCATCTCATTCAGTGTCTCCTCCACTTTGCGCTGGGTTATCTAAAAAGTTTCAAAGGTAGTAAACAAATTTATCGAAGTATAAAAAAAAAATTCATTTTTCAATGGGATGGAATGGTCAGACGGTTAAGTGCTTGACTAGTAACCCAAGGTCTCAAGTTTGGATCTGTGCTCAGAAACAAATCATACAGCAAGCTATAAAATTTTAAGATCAAATTTTAAATTTTGCATAATTTTTTTTTTTAAAACAAAGTTTGCACTTTGAGTTTTTACCATGATGTTTCTGTTTATGATCATTGTAAAAAAAAACGCTTCTCCAATCTTTGTAAAATTTTTCTTTTTCAAAACATAAAAATCTATTTAAAAAATGTAGTGCACATGTTCACCTTCCTAAGTATGTGAATGAAGGAATAAAGGAAAAGAAAATGGATTTTATAAAATGTATCTTCACCTGGTGTTGCTGTAAACTTCCTACTTTCTCCAGCAGAACAGCTTTATCTTGTTCCAAGTGCGCGCAGGTTGTTTTCAGTGATTCCATGTCCACGCGGCAAGCCTGGAGCTCCGTCTGAAGACGTGAGCGCTCGGACATGAGCGTGTCCACTGTCTGGTTGACCTGCAATCATACACTTTGTACAGCGGCAGCTAGAAGATGTGGATTTTAGCTAAAAGGTAGGGGTTGGCGTGGTCGAGTTGGTAAAGCTCATAGTTGCTAAACCAAAAAATCTCGAGTTTGAACCCTCTGGCAGATGAGGCTCATTAGCTGGGGACAGCCACTATTCTAGGAGAGACAACTCCAAAATCAAACAACTGCTGCCTTGTAGTTTCTTCTTGGTTGGACAAAGGCTATGGAAGCAAATCCAAAAAGAAAAGCAGGCTGAAATCGGAGTCAATGGCCTCAATGGCGCATAACCAGTTGACACGTATCTTTAATTGTGATGGAGGCGTGGTCGAGTTGGCAAAAGCTCATGGTTGATAAATTTGAAAAGTCTCAAGTTCAAACCCTCTGGCAGATAAGGCTCGATCCCTTCCAACACTAAAAATTAAGAACAAAGAAGAAGAAGAAGAAGAAGCTAAAAGGTATGAAAAAAGTATTTAAAATAACACTGGACAAGATGGTCCGGTGGTAAAACACATGACTGCTAGTCAACATTTTCTTCTAATGAGCAACAGCTTACACGCAAAATATATTTCTATGTGCTGTGCTAACAAACACCTTTTACAAGATTATCTGTATTTTACAAAATGATTGCACAGCAGGTTTATAAAATGGTTTATAACTATAAACTATTTTTAATATTGTTTTAGATACATGAGTAGTTAAATACTTTTAAAAATCTGTTAATTGTTTAGCTAGATTATTCATTAATATCATAAAGCTCAGAGTAAAAATTGTTGCTAAGCTAAAAGTCCTTATTACCACTTCAAGCAAAAAATAACAAAACAAAAATTACTTCTACAATGTTTACCTCCTTCAACATTATATATCAGAAAATAACAAAACAAACATGACGGCTACAATATTTACCTCCCCAAACATTTTATATCATAAAACAACAAAACAACCACTTCTGCTACAATATTTACCTCCCCTAACATTTTATATTTATATCATAAAATAAAAAACGTTACTGCTACAATATTTAACTCCCTAACATTATATATATAAAAAAAAACAAGCAGTACTGCTACAATTTTTACTTCCCCTAATATTATACACCATAAAACAAAATAAACGGGGAGTGATCTCCCCTAAACTTTCTCGAATATTCTTATATAAAACAACAGGGGATGGGAACTCGGGCTATAGACATGATTTTTAATCCATTTTAAATACTTAAAGTTTTAAAAATAGAATAAAATCTCGTAGACAAAAGAATTGCACACCAAGTGAACGTAAAATTTAAAAAGTGCATAATAGTGCGCAATATTATTAGTACTTTAAAAATTTACATTAGTTTTTTGAGAAATCGGAAGTAGCGTAAATTACTACTTCCGATCAACAGAAATTACTCAAAATTTAACAGGAGGTAGAAAATTAGATCTTTTACTCACATGTGAAATTTTATTTATCTATCTGAAATAGTACTCAAGTTATAGGCTTTTGAAGAATTCAAAGTAGAAAAAGTACCACTTCCGATTATTGAAATTGCTCAAAATTTGATACGGATCTACGATTTTGATAAAATACTTATATAAAAAATTTCATCAACCTAGCTGTAACGGTACTCAAGTAATCGTGTTTACACACAGACACACACACAGACACACAGACATACGGACCGAATTGCAAAGCCCAGTTTTTCAGACTGGATTACGCATAAAACCTCTTAATTTTGATAAATCTGGATTGATAATTTTTGCCCGATTAAAATAAGTCCTCTATACTTCGGATGTGATGAAGGACTGAGGTGTAATACGGTGAAAATTGTTAAAATTTCAAGTGATTTTTGTGCACAATTACAATACTTTCTCTATACTTCGTATATACGAGAAAGTAAAAAACATCACTGCTACAATATTTACCTCCCCTAACATTTTATATCATAAAACAAAACAACCACTACTGCTACAATATTTACCTCCCCTAACATTATAAATCATAAAACAACAAAACAAACATCACTACTACAACGATTACCTCCTCTAACAAGTTCTCTTTATCTTTCAACACATCTTGCTTTTCACTCTCCATAGCCTCCAGTTGATCCTTCAGTCCTGCTAGCTCATACTCTAGCCCATCAGCAGCAGACATGAACTCCTGGTTTTTATGGGCCAAATTATGTTTGACGGTTCTCAATTCATGCTCTAGCGTGTCACTAAACACAATAGAAAAATTAATTTAAAAACACAAAATAAATTTAAGTAAACTTGTAAAAAAAAGTAGAGATAAATGTTATAAAATATGAAAAAATTAATAAAGAATATCCATGGTGTATAGTATTTTATAAATGTTAAATCCTTGATGAATAGTTACGTATGTCAGTAAGCATTTGAGCAACATAGCAATAACACTTTTTTGTATTACAATATAAAACTTACATTTTTCTTTTCTTTTCAAAATTCTCCTTTATTATCTTCTCCCTCTCTGTCCTCAACTTGCTAAGATCTCCTTCTAATGTACTCTTCTCATCTTCCAATCTTAGTTCAGTCTGTGTCAGAATCAATATGTATATCAATAATTAGGACATTATAGAATCCAATGGCAAAATAATGTTCCAAATTATAATATGCTGTATCTATAAAACTTTAAATACTGAAAGGAGAACTTTAGTCCACACTGGCATCAAACTGTGTAGCTTTCCAACTGTTTGTATCCATAATTATAACAAGGCTGTTGGTTAGAACATTAAACTGGTATGAATGCATCATTATCTAATAAAATGTATAAAGCCACTATTTCATTAAGTGGAAATCAACTTTTGAAATCATTACCTCTTTTATGCTAGTCAAGATTTTCTTCTAATGAGCAACAGCTTGCACGCAAAATATATTTCTGTGTATTTCTGTGTACTGTGCTAACAAACACCTTATACAAGACCATCTACATTTTACAAAATCATTGCATAGCAGGTTTATAACTACTGCAAAGCTCAGAGTGAAAATTGATGCTAAGCTAAAAGTCCTTAGTACAATTATTACCACTTCTAACAAAAGAAATCCATCAATAAATCAAAATTTATAAAGCCACTATTTCATTAAGTGCAGATCAACTTTTGAAGTCATTACCTGTTTTGTGCTTTCATAAGTTCGTTTTAAGTTTTCTAAATCTGATGTCAGTCCTTGTACCATGTTCTGCAGCACATTTTTCTCCTCTTCTAAAGACCTCTTGCCTGACTGAGAATATTTTTAAAGTTATTGAGACTACAGCACATTTTTTTCCTCTTCTAAAGATCTCTTGCCTGACTGAGAATATTTTTAAAGTTATTCAGACTACTGCACAAAGCAGCTAAACAAATAAAATTTCTACTAAGAAAATTTCCTTTTCAAATCTGATGGACAATGGGGCAGGTGAAGTAAAGTTTTCCTATTTCTGTGACCTCAGCATATAAAGGGATAGTGTGGTCAGCACTATGCCCAGCCGCCTTTACTTTCTTAACCTAAGTCAGGTACCCATCAGAGTTGGGTGGACTCAGAGACTTGCTTATACTCTAACCAGAGATACGAACTCAAGAGACGGTAGGTTAGCAACTATTTGACTCAACTATTTGACTACGCAGTCATTTCAACTAAAGACCTTAATTTAAAAATATTAAAACCAAAAGCAGCTCTTGTTAGCCATATTGAAACAGTTATAAAATTTCTTACTCACTGTTAAATTATCAAGAGTGCTTTGAGCTTGATCTAACTGACGAATTAGCTCAGCATACTGGGCTTGCAAACGATTTAAGTCCTGTGAGACTCTTTGGTTTTCTGCTTGTGTGTTGTTGGAGCTAAGCAATAGCTTGTCTGGAAGAAAGCCAGCCATCAAAATGATATAGTTTACATAAACAAATAAGGGAAATTTTTTGCAAAAAAAAATCTGTTCATTTGACTATTTTAACTTTTGATTTTGTTAAAACACCTGCATAATATAAAAGATGCTATGTGCTAAATCCTTTGCTAAAACAGGGCAGCTATATAAAAACTTATACACCTAAAATATAATAGTTGTTTATTAGGTTCCTCATATAAATGTAACAAGTTTTAATTTTTAAAAATGTATAGAATACAATTTGCTGATATTTCAATGAATAATCTAGCTAAACAATTAACAGGTTTTTAAAAGTATTTAACTACTCATGTAACTAAAACAATATTAAAAATAGTTTATAGTTATAAACCAATTTTCAACCCAAGGTAATTTTGCACAAATGTTTTGTTTTAATAATTGATAATTTAACTTGTATCATCAGTTTATGACCACTAACATTGCACATTATGACTAATTTGAGAAGAGAAATCACAGAATTTTTACCTCTTTCTGAAATGACATGTTGGTAGTTCTCTTCAGCCTTTTGTCTCCTGGTTGTTTCTGAAGCGAGCTCATTTTTCAGTTGAATTATTTCAGCTTTACTTCCACTGATGCCAGCAGTATGAGCTTTACACTGAGTGTGGGAACCAATCAACAATAATGACAGGTGTGTAATAGGTGACAGAATATCTCATACAAATTATTTCAGGTAAAATATTTTAGAAAAAGTAAGTCAAAATATCTCAAGACAAATAATCTCTACAAGTTATTTTGAAAATACATCAAGAAAAAATATCTCATACAATTTATCTCAGAAAAATAATAAGTCAAAATATCTCAGACAAATAATAAGACAAATAATCTCAGGTTAATACTTTAGACAAATAATTTTTAAAATATCTCAAGAATGAAATATCTCCCAGTCAAATTATCCCTCATTAAATACCTAAAGGAAAACATACTACAATGTAAGACACAAAGCAGGTGGAGAGAGGCTGCCCCATGAATGACAGGTAATGAGAACTTAAGAACTATGAACATGGGTTATTATAAGAAGAAAACTAAAACAAAATTGCACAGGACGGAGTAGAAAGCTGTAGATAGTGGCCCATACCCAACAGAAGTGACAAGAAAAGATGGTGCAGTACTTTAAATATACCTCTGATCTTAGTGATTCTATCACTTTCTCCATATCCTGCAATCTGGTTAGAAGAGTTGCATGGGATTCTTCTAGGCTTTTCCGTAAACTTGACTCCCTAAGAGCCTCATCTTTAACCTCTGATATCCTGCGCATTAGCTTCTGTTTTGTTGTTGCCAAGTCTTCAACTTGAAATTCTAATTCAGCCTAAACTTGGTATATAAAAATGTATCATTTTTCTTTTGTATACTAATGCTCATTAGCAAAACTAAATAAATACTCTTTTTAAAAAAAAACATTGACTTGTTCAATTCAAAGTAAATATTTTAAGAGAAATTTGTAAACATTAATTTGTTTTTTTTTTAATTAAAAATGATAATTAACAAAAACAGAAAGCAGACCTTGGATTTAATAGAATCATCATAAAGTGATCTTAAATTTTCAATCTCTTCTTTCATTTTCAGTTTTTCTTCAGCTTCAAGCTGCATGGTGTCTTCTGTCTGTGATAAATGTCTCTTTAGTCGAATCAGCTCTTGCTCCAACTCATATCTTTTTGTACTGGACTACAATAGGATAGAAAAGTTTGGGTTTTTTTTAATTTATATTTTGACCTGTGTTAATGATATGACTACTGTTAAACAAATACTAAATAAATCAGAGACTAAAACCGCATGCTCAAAGTCCCAAAACCATAACAGAACAATAAAAATGCTATATATTTTGTAATATGAATGAAGATGCATGTATAGATATGTCATGTAGTCAACAAATATAGCCAATTGAGCAAAGCATTCTAGGTATAATTTAACTATTCACATAGATAATTATGATAATTATAAAAATTAACTACATAGGCATACATAATGTATTTGTACAAAGTAAAAAAAATTATACAATATATTTACAAATTAAACATCAAATAGTTGGAACTACTTACTTTTCCTTCATGTGAATCACTTCTTTCTTTTGGTTTAGGTCCATATTCCAATGATGATCCAAATGACTTAGGTATAAAATTATTTGATGATTTCGACACAACTTCAAGTTCTCCAGTAGCACCAGAAATTTTAAATTCTTTCAGGGACAGTGGAGTTATTGGCCTATGTTTTGATGTCCTACTACTCTTTTCATTTAATAATAGTTGTGTTTGTGAATTTAAAGTTTTTGTTTCCTGAGACTGTTCTTGATCAAGATATTGTGTCTTAATGCTGGTCGAATGATTATCCGAATAGTTCCGATGTGGGATATTTTTTTGTGAGTCTTTTGATATGCTCAAAGGTTTGTTTATTGTAGAGCCGAATTTAGAAAGCACAGCTTTTGAAACACACCCTTTTGAGATTGAACTCAATCCCATTTCTTCAAGTTGTTGCATAATTTCATTTGTGCCTATTTCTGCAGCTGCTAGTCTATCTTTCAATGAAATTGTTTCTACAGCTGATTCTTGTCCAGGACGGTACTCAGAAACAGAGGTCATTTTCATTCAGCTACTTAAAAAATATCACAGCCTGTTTCATTTACTTTTCCAAAACTGTTGACTGTTGATTGTAGTAAGTAGTTGAGTGTTGTGCTGCCTTGCAATTAGTTGCCAATTCAATTAGTCTACTGATAATTACTAAATTAGAGCTTATTTATGGCATAAGGGTAACAGTAATGGAGTTAAGTCTTAATAAATTTCACTACATTCGAATTAGATCTAGAGGAATCTAGATCTAGATCTAATAGGTTAGGGGCCAAAATAATTTATTAATTTAAATTTTTTAGTTGGATTTTTTTTTCATTTGTTCATCTTTTTTTCATTTGGATTTAATAAAAAAAAGGACCGCCCAAATTAGTTTAGTTGTTCGTTTTGTTAATGAAGTTTATTTTCTTTATTATACTTTTACTTAAGCATAAAACTTGCATTATTTAAGCAATAAAATATCGCGAAACACATTGTTAATAGTAATACTTTGAACTTGCCATTGCTTGTCGCCATAGACGCCATTTGTTCTTATGAGTAGCTCTTTTGCAAGGAGATTGTAATCTAGAATTTAGCACAGCTCATTAAAAACAGAAGTAAGAAAATGAAAGGAGGCTTGATCTGGTCTAGTCATTGGCTTTGGTCATTTATTTTTATTACTGCGGGGATTATGAAGGTTTCTTTCAGACATCTTCTCGTTGGGGAGAGGGGGGGGGGCACTCGTTAAAGTAGGCCTGTATATTTTTAATTTTTTTAAATTTTCTCCATTGTCCGGGGGCCGGGGTGGTAAATATGCCCCGCCCCTCCCGGAGAGATGCCTCTACTAACACCTGTGGCGTAGGCAAGGGGGGGGGGGGTTAGAGGGGGTTATAACCCCTCCCATGTATTCACACCCCTATATATATATGTATATATATATATATATATATATATATATATATATATATATATATATATATATATATATATATATATATATATGACTTTGTACTTATGGAAAAATATTTTAACTTCTCCCATGACCAATTCCTGGCTACGCCACTGACTAACACAATGCTGTTTATTTATTATTAACTTTATTTAGGTGCATTTTTTTTTAATTAACGTTATAGAGTTTCCGCTTCCTCCCTCTCCCCTCATCTGAGTAGGGCAGCAGCATGCCATCAATGGGGGGTTATCTTTCCACCTTGTAACATATGCTCATTACACAAGCTACATGCGCCCCCCGCCCCGACATATGACTGACAGAACCTTTAATTGCAGCCCTTTCACTAACGTCGAGCTGGTATATACCAAAGAGCAGACACAACATAGACCAGTGGTTCCCAAACTTTTTTGAGTGGTGGCGACCCCCTTTTATAAAAAGTAAGTGACCCGCGACCCCCATAGAATTAAAAAGTCGAAATTAGTAAGGAATTTAATAAGCACTAAAATACTAAAAAAAATAAGATTTTCTAATAGACTTTCAATATAAATTATTCTTGATATCTGTTTAAAATCGATGAGTGCAAATTACATGCGATTAACTAGCCTCAACATTCAATGTTGAGTTTTTGTTAACGCCAACCTCATGTCAATCTCAACATTAATTTATTTCTTCGTTGTTGTTTTTTTTTAATTTGAGAAGTGTTGAGAATTTATTCTCGCAAAGATATGGAGACACGAAAGGAACTAAAACTCGAAAGGCAATCAATTTCACGTTTGGGTATGAATGGCGCATAATACACAAAAATCGGTACGCGACGCGGAATCATTCCGCAAATGTACGAGTTCATCTTGTAATTCATCGGCAATGCTGGCAACAACAAGGGAAGCAGAGAATGGGTTATGTGTCAATTCATATTCTTCTTCTTTCAGCTCAGGGAAATAACGCCGCACTTTGTTTTCAAGAGATTAAAGATGCCCAGAATCATCTTTCAAATTTTTATTTATCTCACAATCAGATGTATCTACCACACTGCAGAGTTTCTCAAACATGGCAATATTTCCAAGCTTTATTTTTCTTCGCAAATGTTGCAGCTTTGGAAAAAAAATGCCAAGAGATTTTCATGAAAAGAGATAATATTCGTTCACTTTCCCGGTATCTTCAGATTAAAGCTCATGTTGATGTTCGAATATGTCTGCTAGGTAAGATACTCTCTCCAACCACTCTTTGTCGTTAAAGTGTATTAAAAGGTCGTGTTTCCCTTGCACTTCCAAGAACAACTTGATTTCATCTTTCAATTCAAAAACACGATTCACATTATTTCCTTTTGACAGCCAGCGTACTGTAGTGTAGAAAACCAGAACTTTATGATCTCTACTCATGTCTTTGCACAGTTCTTTAAATAGACGGGTGTTTAGGGCTCCAGATTTAATATAATTTACGACTTTTATTAGCAATGGAGTTGGAAGAGTCTTGATGACGAGGGCTTACTGCCGAATCATGCAAAGGATTCCCTTGGTTAGGGAGCTAAACCTTTTACATTTATCTGAAAGCCCGATTTTGACCCAAGCATAGATGGCGCACCATCCGTACAAACCCCACAGCCGTTTTCCCATCCAGTTTCAAAAAACGTATTTATTTTCTCCATGATATCTTCACAAAATAGCAACACTTCTTTGCTATCATTTAAATGAATACTAGCCGACCCGCGGCGTATCATGCGCCGCTGTTTAGTTGTTTTCTATTCTACTTTTCAGTAATGCATAATTTGTGAATGCCGCCACTGAAAATATTTGCTTTTAAATAGTATCAGTAGGTCGTTAAGGATGATGCTTAAAGAGGAAGAGAGGGGGCTGCTAGGCGCGCTTACAGCTTAGTGTTTTCTAGGGTATCCAAGAAGAGAATTATATAATGAATATATTTCACAAAGACAAGCAACTGCTAACACGAACTCACATCTGTTTAATTCATCAACTTGAAAAGCAAACAACGGCGAAAGCTTGATTTAATTCAAAACTCGTTCTTTTACATCTACGGACATGTATGCAATAAGCCGCTGAATAGTATTATTAGACAGATATATTTATTGCATCTAGAATCCCCAAGAATTAATTTCACCACCTTCAACACGCAGGGGTTGATAATATTTACTCCTATTGTGTGAAGTTTTTTTTTCTTCATATGCAACTTCATATGACGCTTGAGGGGGTTGCAAATTGATAACTTGAGGGGGGGGGGGTGCAAAATGAAAAGTGAAAGGTTGCTCCCGAGGGGGGGGGGGCGCCAAAAGTCTATAAAAGCCTATATAAAGGCCAACATAGCTATATATGTATTCAATTCAAACGTTTGCATTTTAAACTTGTCTTTGACTTTCATATACGTTTTTTTTTTACATTGGCAACGGCTTTTTTGTTCTTCAAATAGTTTTGTTATGTGATCTTACTCAAGACTGTTCCTGACTACACGGATTTATTTATTGATGAATAGATGAATCATCCCATCTTTTGCCCTTTCGAGCCCAAGACACATGAGTTCGACTGTTTCAGGGACCTCTGTATATGACAGTGTTTCTTTCAGACTTTTTTTTCTCCGGAGGGGGGGGGGGGCACTTGAAATTTTCGGGGCGGACAACGCTTTCCGGGAGGAGGGGTTGTGGCGGACATTGTTAAAAGTATATATTTTCTATATAAATTACTTTTCGCTCCGTTTAAATCCTTATAGATCCTCCTTAAAGTTCATCATTCGACGACAA